CAGATGCCACTGACGACTATTTTAATTTGTAGGTTTTCAGTTAACAATTCTTTTTTGTAAATTGCAGATACATATTTAAAGAAACATTTGATAAATTCAAAAACATCATTCAAGTTTTTTCACCTTTAGGAGAAATAAATCATTATAGAAAATTAGAAATATCTACCGTATCGTTTTTTTTCTTCATTAGATGTATTCTGACTAATTCCTATAGGTAAATCCGTAACACGTACCGGCAAACGGTATTTAGCCCAGTTTCGAAAGGTCAATTTAACCAATTCATATACGGTTTACGAGATACATGCTCACAATCTGTGTGCCGTAAGGGTCACATGCTCCTCCATGCCTCAAAACTTAAACCGTACCAACCTGCCAGTTCCAGACCGCAGGGGAATAATTAACAACCTAATGTATAAAATTAACAAGAGGCCATGATGCCCGAGTCGCTCACATGTATATGAGACCCCCCCCCCCCCCCCCCGGGCAATTTTCCAAGGGCTCTTCTTTGTTTATTTGAACAGACTTGCGTAAGAACCCATAAGAAGATGTTATCATCTAAACATCTAAGTTCTAGCTTGTCATTGGTTTTTTAAAAGAAGATTTTTAAGTTATTACTATACACATATAGTTAAAAAACAATGACACCCCTGGGCAGGGCAGTTTTGACCCCGCTTTAATTTGTAGATATTTACTTATAGATGTTTCATGCTTAATATCTAAACTAAAGCTATTGCGGTTTTTTCAAGAAGATTTTTAGTTTTGCTATACACATATAAGGAAACTCAATGACCCCGGGGCGGGCCGTTTTAGACCCCAGGGCTTTTATTTGAACATACTTGGTAGACACCCATAGAACATGTTTTCATGCTAAATATCTTAGCTCTAGCTCTTGGGTTCTTTAAAAGAAGATTTTTTAAGTTTTACTATAATGCATATAGGGAAAATCATGACCCCTGGTGTGGGGCAAATTTTGACCCAAGGGCTTTTATTTTGACAAACTTGGTAGACATCACAAGAAGAATGTTTCATGCTAAATATATAAGCTCTAGCTCTTACGTTCTTTAAAAGAAGATTTTTAAGTTTTTACTATATGCATATAGGAAATCAAATGACCCCCCAGGGCGGGGCCAATTTTGCCCCAGGCGGCTTTTATTTGAACAAACTTGGTAGACCACTCACTAGAAATGTTTCATGCCAAATATCTTAGCTCTAGCTCTTTGGTTCTTTAAAGAAGATTTTTTTTAAGTTTTTATATATGCATATAGGGAAAATCAATGACCCCTGGGGCGGGGCCAATTTTGACCCTAGGGCTTTTATTTGAACAACTTGTAGACATTCACTAGAAGATGTTTCATGCCAAATATCTAAGCTCTAGCTCTTACAGTTTTGTTTAAAGAAGATTTTTAAGTTTTTACTATATGCTATATAGCGGAAAATCAATGACCCCCCTGGGCGGGGCCAATTTTGACCCCGGGCTTTTATTTGAACAAACTTGGTAGACACTCTTTTAGAAGATGTTTCATGCCAAATATCTAAGCCTCTAGCTCTTACAGTTCTTTAAAAGAAGATATTTTAAAGATTTTTTCTTTCGGTTGCCATGGCAACCAGATTCTGCATGGAATTAAATTCTTTGAACATTTTTTAAAGGTGACCACCAAAGGAACATTCCTGTGAGTTTGGATGAAATTGGCTCAGTGGTCTTATGAGGAGATGTCATTTAAAGCAAAAGCTTACGGACGGACGCCGGACGAAAGCGATCACAAAAGCTCACACCTGTCACTTTTGTGACTGGTGAGCTAAAAATGACATATGCTGGATATAATTGTAACAAATTGTAACAAATACTCTTTTTTTCTCTTCAAGAAAGAGATAGCAATAAGTCTATATATAAGCTCAGACAGATTAAAATAATGTTAATAAGAAAATGTTATGGCTACAAATTTTCATAGTTTACAATCATCCTTAAGAAGACAATGATAGCGCTACAAAGATCACTCACCTAAGATCCATTGCTAAAAATTTCATCAATGCAGTAAGATAATTATACCACATTTGGGTATGTCACTTGTCCGACAATCTGGTCAACATTAAAGGTGCAAACAGTAAAAGTTTGGTCAGAATGTACAAACATCATGCTGAGTGGTTGTTTACATACTGGTGGAAAAGTTTGTGTTCAGTCCCCCCATAATTTATTATAACAACATAATTATACTTACCACAGAATCCTCTTTTAAAGACCAGACAACTCTCAGCTTACAACGATCTCTGTATATATCCTTGTCTTTCGCATCTCCCTTCTCATACGGCTCTAAAATATATCATATAATACACTGGACATAATAATTGTACTTGTATTAAAGCTCTATATTTTATATCTATATAATCATGATTCAAATCTAATATGTTATTATAGCTTATTATTCGTCATTTATAGGTTTATTTAAAGCTCTAAATATATCATGACACGTATGGGGCCCATGAAATCATACTAGCATAATATCTAAAAATATATTTTATAACACATATGCTATAAAATCTATTGACTTTGGTATAGAAACTCTAATTTTATTTACAATTTATATAACATGGTATAAAACTTACTAATATATGATTCATTACACTTGATAACATGGTGTATGTATAGGTGATCATAATAGAACATTTGTATAAAGCTCTAAATTTATATTATTTATTACACATGGGCTATTAAATTTCATGAAGTAGAGCTATAAAGCTCTATATATAATATCATATATCTACTAATGGACATAAATCATATCTGTATAAACGTCCACTATAATATATCATTATACACTGACCACATAAATCATTTGGTATAAAGCTCTTATATATATCACATATGGGCATAAATTATACGGTTATTAATCTTTACAGAATAAAATCTATGTAGTATTCACGATAATTGTATCCATATTCAATTAATATAGTCACCATGTGTAAATCTACGATTTTACTTAACCCACCATTTGTTTAGTGTTAGATAATATAGCATATCACATAAAAAAACACATCATCGTGTGTCACATTATTATACACGCTATATCAATTAAATAATATGTATAATGTGTGCATTCCAGTTACACTTATATAATTACTACATAGCTTGACACACCATGATTTGAGCTATCCACCTCAACATTCTTACAATTCGATGGTCTTCTAACTGATTTTATGCATTAAATAATTAGGGGACCTTATAGATATATAGAAATCCCCCAAGATACTGTACTAATAATCATGTGAGAGTGTCTAGATAAATTATATATTTCATTTGATGTATTCAGATAGATTACTTATCACATAAAATACAACACATTTTCTATAAAACAAAAGGACCTCTGCAATTTTAATTGGTTGGCATCCAAATTATAATATTTATATATAATATCAAAGTTCTACTAACTTTTGCATGTAAATAAAAGTTATAGATTTTACTTAGCAAGAAAATGGAGGACATTCATAATGTTTTAGTCTTTTTATTAACATTAGAATTTTACCAAGTTTGGTAATAAAGCAAGCCATTAATCGCCAGAAATATGTCCATTGAATAAAAATGCTCCAATTGTTGTGCCACAAAACATCTATATAAACTATTTTGCAAATAAACAAAGCAGTTACACTACAAGTTACAAGTGGCACAAGCCCAAAATTTTCAATCTTAAATCTTACAATATACTTTCAATTAAAATACTTAGGTGTGTAAGTTCACGTGCTGAAAACAATTGATAGAAAGTTCCATGGCTCTAGCTGTTATACTCTCTACATTCACATATGACCACAGATATAAAAAATGCTATTTTTGCTTAATCATGGGCCATAACTCTGCTGATCATCAAGATATTTATCATCAAAATGTTTAGCTGTGTAAGTTCCCACATGCTGACAACTATTCTTAGCAAGTTTCAATCATTAGTCTTTGGAGCTATACTGATTGAATTTCATACAACACAAACTTTGTCTACGGATGGACAGAATAAAGGCAGATGAGTATGATTGGAATGGCAGATAAGGGCAAATCTTTATCCTCCAATAAATTGTTGAAAATAAATGATGCACACTACACAACATGAGACAGAGTGTAATTACACTAGCTTACAATGTGAATAATGTTGCTCAGTGCTCAGGTGAGCTATAAACAATCACACAGGCACATAGTTAAAGCGAAAAATAACTTACTTTTCTTTTTCTTCACTTTTTCTTGTATTTTTATACATCTCTTTTTCATAATTTACCCTCATTCTGCTGATTATTTCTGAAAATAAGTATAAATTACATACATGTGTAATTCTATTCTAATTATCAAGCTATACAAAATAAAGTAACAGTATCTACATGTAGCAGTGAATACAATACTACACTTCATCATGATGTATCAATGAAGATTTACATAAATACACATGAGCCCTTGACCTGAATTTCTGAAATAGACTTGTCAAGATTCCATTCTAGACCAGTTTATTATCAAACATCGCTTATTTTCCAAACTCCATCAGGATCACACTATTGTTTCTTTGAAACAAGAAACTTTATACTGAGAAATATCTCAGTACTGGTTTGTTCCAGGTATAGATTTGAGAGTGTGTCTATAAGCTTTTAGCTTCCTACTATATCAAATAAAATAAAATCTGTATAAACCAATGGACATTATAACATATAATTTATAAATATTTATCAATCATATAGTCAATGTTTTAATAGTTAAAAATCATTATTATGATATCAAATGATTCCTTTACTGATTCTTACAGTCTAGTGTTTGTGATGGAATAAGATGTTGTTAAAATCAGCACCAACAGACAGTGGAATAGGTATGTTTATATTACCAGTGTACATGAAGTATTGTTAACAATGAAGACCATTTACCAAATTACCATGCACAAGTCAAGATTTCAAAACTTTTGAAATTGCTGTTTCAACTATTTACATACTCATTTGTGTTATAAACAATACCAGGTTCAGTTACAACAATAAGTAACAAATTAACAAAGGTTGGTGGACATACTATGAGTTTTGGTGAATTCTGTATGTACCCTTCTCAGGATGCCTTTGCCCCCTTTATTTCCAGACACTTCTCTTGTAATCTTTTTCACAACTGAAGGTTTTTCTACAATGTAAACAAAAATAGGTTAAAAGGCAATGGCTGCTCCCTTACCTACATATTTGTCCATATACTTCAATGCACAATGGTCAATTAATAAAGGCATGAAGAAAAAATAAATGTAAGTTCTATTTGACCTTGACCTTGACCCATATGGCCCTTAAACTTTAGAGGACCAAAGAAGGTATCCATCTATGGCATAGGATTGACTTCAGTAAATAAATAAACATCACTTAAATAATCTACAGGTTTCTAATTACTATAATTAGCAAATAAGATATCTGAACAGTATGATTTATACATGCAACAAATGCCTTTTACATTAGCTGTCAAAACATAAGACTATCAAAGGAACAATTAAGTATATTATGTGAAAATTTGAGAACAATAAATTTAGGTCATTACACATTGTTTCTGACTCTGAGCCACTTATTTAAATACACAATAATGATTTATTTGCAAAAGGTGAAATATAAAATGTTGTAAAAAAATCCTTAAGTAATTTGACAGATTTTTGAAAGTTTAGAATTTATGGTAAGTTTTACTCATATCATGTTTCAGGTAAACAGACTATAATAAATTCAAATGTTTTTAATTTATTTTTAAACATGGTATTTGTATAATGATGGATATAAACATGTTTACTTTTTAAACCATTTTAACTCAAACAGAATATATTATCTACAAAGAGATCATCTTATATCTTCAACAAAATGAAATAACACAAAGAAAATAAAAGCATGTACATAATTATAGCAATATGAAACATTTGAAAACACTTTTTGGGTACCTCGAGTCATATGTGACTTTTTTGGGCCAGTCCCATTGAAAGCCACAAAAGTTTGACTTTACTCTATACAAAATGAACACTCTAACTCATCATGAACATAATTATTACAAATTCAAAGGTGAGAAATTAGCCCCAAATAAACTTACTAGGATCATCAGGTCTTTCCTTGCCTTTCTGTCGATTCTTATTAAAGAAGTCCACAACTTCCCTTTTACTTTCTAGGTCCAGTCCTGAAATGTCAATTATTCACAAATGGAAATGAAAATATTATATCAATAACTCTTAAATTGGCAGACCTCTTACCTTCAATGGGTAGTAAGAACAAGAATTTGTAACAGAGTTACCAACGTCCCCAGCCCCGGGAGTTTTATATGAAGCATAAAATTGTGCTATTTCAAAAGATTGAGGTATGGATCTCAGGACATTCAGTCCAAAATTATGATCAATGCTAGATCTGCAAATGTAACAATAAATTTGTTAAAAAAATAAAATGAAACACGGAATTTAAAAATCTATCATGTTAAGCTTTGACCTCTAAGTGTGACCTTGACCTTGGAGGTAGGGGAGCAGGTGTTGTGCATAACATAACGTCTTATTATTGAGACTATTTGTGCCAAGTATTTTCAAAATCCCTTGAACTATGAAGAAGTTATAGATTCGACACAAAATATACCCTAAAACAGACTATGTAAATCTTTGACCTCTACGTGTGACCTTGACCTTAGAGGTAGGGACACAGATGTTACGCATGACATATCATCTAATCATTGTGCCTATTTGTGCCAAGTATTTTCAAAATCCCTTAATCTATGAAGAAGTAATGGACGGGACAAAAAATATACCAAATAACAGACTCTGTTAACCTCTGACCTCTAAGTGTGACCTTGACCTTAAGAGGTAGGGGTGCAGGTGTTGTACCTGACATATCAGCTTATTATTGTGACTATTTGTGCCAAGTTATTTCAAAATCCCTTGAACTATGAAGAAGTTCTAGATTCGACACAAATTATACCCTATAACAGACTATGTTAATTTTTGACCTGTAAGTGTGACCTTGATGTTGGAGGTAAGGATGCAGGTGTTGCGCATGACACATCCTCTTATTATAGTGACTATTTGTGCGAAGTATTTTCAAAATCCTTTGATCTATGAAAAAGTTATAGACCGGACACAAAATATACCCTGTAACAGACTATGTAAGTATTTGACCTCCAAGTGTTACCTTGATCTTGGAGGTAGGTGACTGGTTTTTACGCATGACACATCATCTGATTATTGTGAACAATTATGGCAAGTATTTACAAAAGTCCTTCATAGATAAGAAAGTTATGGACCGGACACAACATATACCCTCAAATAGACAATGTTGACCTTGAATGAGCAAGTACGACCTTGACCCTGAAGGCACGGGTCTGGTTGTTGCGCATGACACATCGTCTTATTATGACAAACATTTGTGCCAAGTTATCTCAAATTCCTTTGATAAATGACAAAGTTATGGACCGGACACCAAATATACCCTGTAACGGACTATGTTAATATTTGACCTCCAAGTGTGACCTTGACCTTGAAGGTAGGTGACTGGTTTTTGCGCATGACACATCGTCTGATTATTGTGAACAATTATGGCAAGTATTTACAAAATCCCTTCATAGATAAGAAAGTTATGGACCGGACACGACATATACCCTCAAATAGGCAATGTTAACCTTGAATGAGCAAGCACGACCTTGACCCTGAAGGTAAGGGTCTGGTTGTTGCGCATGACACATCGTCTTATTATAACAAACATTTGTGCCAAGTAATTTCAAATTCCTTTGATAAATAACAAAGTTATGGACCGGACACCAAATATACCCTGTAACGGACTATGTTAATATTTGACCTCCAAGTGTGACCTTGACCTTGAAGGTAGGTGACTGGTTTTTGCGCATGACACATCGTCTGATTATTGTGAACAATTATGGCAAGTATTTACAAAATCCCTTCATAGATAAGAAAGTTATGGACCGGACACGACATATACCCTCAAATAGGCAATGTTAACCTTGAATGAGCAAGCACGACCTTGACCCTGAAGGTAAGGGTCTGGTTGTTGCGCATGACACATAGTCTTATTATAATAAACATATGTGCCAAGTTATTTCAAATTCCTTTCATAAATGACAAAGTTATAGACCGGACACGAAAGTGTGACGGACAGACGGACGGGCGGACTGAGCCTATTTCTATATCCCCCTTTTTTCTTCGAAAAGGCGGGGGACAATAAGTAACTATTATGACAGTCACAGAGAAACTGTTTTTGTAATGGTATATGAATAAAGAAAAAAGTAAAGTACACAATTGTAATATGGCACTATGGTGCCTGTGTGATTGTTTATAGTTCAGGCCATTCATCTGCATCCTCCCCAGTTACATCCGCTGTACCCCAGGGGACAGTACTAGGTCCTTTACTGTTCCTCCTTTACATCAATGACCTACCAAGGTGCCTGACTTCCATCAGCCGCCTTTTTGCTGACGACAGCCTGATCTACAGGAAAATCAAATCAGAAGCTGACGCATTAGCCCTCCAAGAAGACCTAGATAGACTCCAGGAATGGGAACGCAAGTGGATGATGTCTTTCAATCCCAGCAAATGTGAAGTCATACACATCACCAAGAAAAGAAGCCCCATCATTTATGCTTACAAGGTCCACCAATCAACTCTACAATCTGTCAAAAGTGGAAAGTACCTTGGTGTCAACATCGCAAATAATCTTTCATGGAACATACATACAGAATCTACCATCAAAAAGGCCAACAACTCTCTATCATTCCTCAGATGAATCATCACAAGCTGCCCACAAGACATCAAGGCCCAGGCCTACAAGACCCTTGTTAGACCAATCCTGGAGTACGCAGGCATAGTCTGGGACCCACACACAGCCACCAACATCAACCAGCTGGAAGCTGCCCAAAGGCGAGCTGCCCGATTTGTAAAAGGCGATTACAAAACTACCAGCAGCACCACTGCAATGATGACAGACCTAGGCTGGCCAACTCTACAGCATCGCCGCTCCAATGTCAAGCTAGTGATGGTCTACAGGATCACGCACAACCTCATAGCCATCCCAGCTGCACAGTACTTCCACCCCCTGACACTTGGTGGCCATGGCTACGGACACAGATTCCATGTCCCATTCTGCAGAACAGACACCATGAAGTTCTCCTTTGTACCTTCGGCCATCCGCCTGTGGAACCAGCTTCCAGAGCACCTAGCCACAGCAGTCAACCTTGAGGCCTTCAAGGGAGGACTAGTCATGGGGCCCTAATATGCCGGAGTCGATTTTATTTTTAACATGTTCTTCTTTTAAATCTGCACTTATGCGCCGCACAACACTTTGTACATACACCCTGTACGTCAATGCTCCAGAGTGGGTTATGTACAGTATTGGAAGAAGAAGAATTATCTTATAAAAATTATGTAAGTTTTCGAATATTTTAACAACCATAGTCATTATAGTGCAAAATGATACAAAACAAGATGAATGTGGCCTTGACCTTTGACCCCTTCACCCAAAATCAATAGTGCCCATCTAATGGCCAAGACCAATGCACCTGTAAAGTATAAGGATAAGGAACCGATGTGTTGTCAAGTTACTGGTCAATGGGAACATGAATGGAGTACATGACTATAGCAATTACTCTTATTTTCTAGCTAACAAATTGCAGAATATTAAACCTGCAGAAATAAGTATTCTAAGAGATGCAGAAACATATAAATGTATTATCATGATGAAATATAATTTAACTACTTTAATTAAAACTAAAACTATCACTAAATGTGAACAATACCCCCGCAAGAGTGCTTCGGCAATGAGGAATGTACTAGTAACAGAATACCTTGTAAAAGAATTGAAATAGAGTTATGGATGTGAGCAATTAAAGATAGTTGTGGTTCTTGTATGTTGCATTTCCTTTCAATGTGGTTGACCATTGATGAAGTTGCTCTTCTTGAGCACTGCACTTTCTCTCATTGCACTTTCTCTCATTGCACAAGCACCGGAGTAGAACCACCAATGTTCCGTAAGCTACCTTCTTTTATTTAATCGATAGGTAAGTATGTGCAATACTAAAACTACAACTATCACTAAATGTGATTAATAAGCCCCGCAAGACTGCTTCGGAAATGAGGAAGTAACTAGTAACAGAATACCTTGTAAAAGAATTGAAATAGAGTTATGGTTGTGGGCAATTAAAGATAGTTGTGGTTCTTGTATGTTGCATTTCCTTTTAAAGTGGTTGACCATTGATGAAGTTTTATTGAATTACTCTGTAATAAGTCCAGAAAGTGTACGCTTCTTGAGCACTGCATTTCCTTTCACTGTGCTTGAGCATTGTATCAAGTTGCATCAAATTCAAACCATTAGTTTTCAAGTTATGCTCCAGACAAGGAAAAGTAACAAAGGGCAAAAACTCTGTAATTAGTAAAGATGGAGTTATGGTTCTTATGCAATGCACTTCCTCTCAATGTGCTTTACCAGTGTATGAAGTTATATTAAATTCCAACCGTCTTCAAGTTATGCTCCGGACAAGGAAAATGCAACAGACAGCTGAACCAACCGCCTGACCGACACAATAACCGACCACCGACAGACTCCTATATACCCCCCAAACTTCTTTCCAGGGGGTGGGGGGGGGGGATAATTATATGATGATAAAAATATATATACATTTGTCCATGTGTACATCATTTTTACATAAAATTGAAATTAAAAAAATTACAATAACCTCTAAATGAAGCAAGCTAGGATTGTTTTTTTTTTATAAAAAGCAATTAACAATGATTTGATTAATTATCAATATAAAATAAACAATAACCTCCTTTAAGTCCAACAGCAATAGACAGTTTCCTGTATTTTCTATGTGGTTTGAGCACACCAGAGTTTGACCAGTTCTTCATTGTGTGACTGAAATATTATGTGAGAATCATTCACCATTAAGAAACGTACCAACTGAATACACCTTTAAATGCATATGTCACCAGTGCAGATCCAGATCAGCCTGCACGCTTTTCAGTTAGAATACTTTCTTTTCAATATAAAAGTGAACAGTGGAGAGCACAGATCTGCAGGCTGAGCTGGATCTAAACTTGTCCCATATGCGAAAGCACGTACTCATGGAGTAAAGGTTTAATTAATTAATGACCATCAAACAATGGTAAACATAACATTGTGTTCAGACTTCTAATCTATCTAGACTTCCCACACATAAAACATATATCCTTTTCCACGTCTGATAATGTTGTAAAAAGTATATACATGTATAATCAACAAATCATGGTATGGCTAGATTGTTCTGGGGAGTACAACGAAACATTGGTGATGGATAAGGCAATCATTCAATTCCTTTTTTAACAAACCACATGTGTGAAGATTCAAGTGAACACCTCAAATGATTGTGGATATAGAACTTGCAATAACCTGGCTATTAAGGAATATTCAATGTTTACAAGAGGACATGATTCAGTAAAACTTGCAGCTGGAGTAAAATAGGTTTCTGTTGTCATAACCTGTATTACCCTGAACATGTGATAACAGCTTAAGTGGTCAAAGTGATATTAATTTAAAGCAGCACACCTCCAGATTCATACTTATATTCGTGAAAATTTTGAAAATGTTTCAAAAAGTGTAATATTGTAATGTGAACAAAGAAAATAATTGTTTACATTGCAAACAGCACTTACAACCAATGTTAACTACCATAAAGATGTTAAAATATGCAAATTAGCCCTGCATTAGTAATGCAGTAAAATATGGTGAAAAATACCAAATAAATTTCTACTAAAAAAACAAATACAAACATGTATTGATGACTTTTTTTAAAAAATTGTAGTATTAAAATGAAACCCTGTACTTAGTCTCGAATTTTCCAGAATTCTATTGAGAGAAGGCCATTTTTGGCAGTCCCTTGAGTAATCTCTTAATTCAATGTCCACTGTATCACAAAATCGGTCATAAATCACATACAACATGGAAATTATTACTTTTATCTTGAATCTTTTTTTGTGTCTTTTTTTAAAATCTCAGTACATTATTTCTCAAGCTTGATTTTCTTGAAATATTTTGGTTCATATGGAGGCATGCAGCTTTAAGAACAAGAATCAGATATCCCTCTTACTCTTAGAACCAAAAATTCGCTGTAAACATGAACACATCTTGAAACGTTTTTATCCAATGCATTTAGTCTAATGTACCAAAAAATGAAAATCTCATTTCAACTTTTACTATCATATTTAAATAGAGAATTGCAGGTTTTCAAATAAGAAAGTAAAGATAACATATAGCATTAGAAGTTGCCTGAATGTGGAGATATTGGCAAATGTAATGAATCTATCTGATTATCTGTCTATTATAAACACAAGCATTCTGTTGACACATTAAATATCAATCAAACATAATATTGTGTGTTTGTTTGTTTGATTGGGTTTTACATTACACAGACACAGTATAGGTCATATGGCGAAGTTCCAGCTTTACTGGTGGAGGAAGACCTCAGGTGTCCTTCCACACAAACGGGCACCTGAGTAGAACCACCGTTGTTCCGTAAGCTAGCTGGATAGATTCCTCACATGAAAGAATCCAAAGTCCCTGTCGGGATTGGAACCCACATCAGTGAGGGGCAAGTGGTTTGAAGCCACTTCACCACAGACGCCCCAGCAAAATATTGTAAAGTTTACCTGAACAAAGAGGAATCTAAACCTGCACCTCCCCTACGATCACCAGGTAAAACACCAACATCTTTCACTGTTTCTGGATTATATGCTGCACTTGCTTGCTTCAAGGATTTTATTTCAAATGTTACTTCATCTTCAAGGTCTTTATGAACCACTGAAATATGCGAAATACAACAACTTGTCAACAACAGCAAACATACAGTTAGGTGAAAGATTACTTAACTTAGGCACTGAACACATTTGAGAAAAGGTGTTGATACATAGCTTTAGGTACTTGTATAAAATCTATCACATACCACATACATTTTTATGAAAATCTTTCAAAGGCTGAAAGAATGGAGGCTCAAACATTTGACCTTCAAGAGTAACCTTAACCTGACATGGTTGATTCATACTGCTTTAAAGAGGTTTACATCTAATTCAAGTTTATGAAAATCCTTCAAAAGTTATAGGAAATAAGCAACAGACAAAACAACCCATTCCCTTCATAATTTATGGAGATACCATCTTCAACACAAAAACCTAACCAAAGTGTAACGGTAATGGCTATGCCAACACCTACATCAGGATGATTACAATAGCTCTCCCTATTCTTCGCATAGTTGAGCTGAAAATGTTTTCAAGTCACACAAATAAACAGTAAGGTCGACATCTCTGTGTACAAGTATTAACAACTTTGAAAAAGAAACCCTCAAGAATGATTTAATATTCCCTATTGTTTCAAATGAAAGAACAATTATAAAACCCCTTCCACTACTCTGTGGGGGTTTATGAATTATAGCTATAGAATTTTATAATAGCGCCATAACAGAAAAAAACAACAGAAGAATGCCCTGATGGTACTGAATTTAAATTACTTTTGTTGAGGTCAACAAGAAATGCTACATGCTTAATGTATAAGCTCTGTGCATTGTAGTTTCTGAGAAGATTTTTTAAAATTTCATCTTTTAAGTCTATATTTAGCTCATGTGACCAACTGATACATTAGACTGGAACAATTTATATAACTTTTGTAGATGTTTGGTCAAAATCTTGATATTAAGAATGAGATGTTATTAAAGAAATCTTGGTAACATTATGTAAAGCACAAGACAGAAATCATGCTATAAAAAAAGCTCACCTTTAACACAACTTAAAAATTACATAAGTATTGTATTGGAAAGTAACCATTAACATGTCAAACTTACTTGATTTACATCCTAGATTACTATTTACTGCAGTAATCTGAAGAATTTCCCAGTATGTCTGCAGGTCACTTAAAGTATCAAAGTGGAATTGTTTCTCTTGGAAAACATGACCTTCAGGAGCGTTTGTTTTGTTGTAACCCTTTAACGATAGCTTTGTGTCTAATAAGGAAGCATTTTTGTGCAGGTATATGAACATCTGAAAATAAATCATAACATAATACTAGAAAACAAAACAAGACCATGATATGTAATTTTGTCAGGTTTCAGGTCTCAGAGTCCTATTAAAGACATAAATTGCATTTAACAATAAGCTAGAAGATTACGCCTCAATGTTAATCAGGCATATGCTCAGTCGACGTTACAACCACAGTGTAACTTACAAAAATATAGGATAGTTAAAAGTATTAAACTAATTAAAATCCAACTACATTGTAAACTAAAGAATGGATAATTCTGGAAACATAGTTGCCAGTGTTACAAACATTGTCATGTGCTTAACAGAGGAATGATTCATAAAACAATAATCATTAACCTTATATGTCAGACGGCTTATTGCAGGCACATTTTAAATGAAAGTAGGTAGATTCTAATTTGTAATCTTAAATTAAAAGGGGAGAAAACTCTTGAAATTAAGATGCTTGTACTAAAACTTTGTCATGTACTGGTTTAATGTGGGAAAAGATAAGAAACTAGTGTTCTAAGTCTGAAGTAAATTATTTTAGCAATAATGATTGAAGAGTAAAAATATCAAATTTAAACAAATTCTATGTTTACTGAGGTAAAAGTGGCGCAGTTTTTAAATATACAAGCCACGGTTAAGAACTTTATCACATATTATGTGGGTGATGATGAGGAACATACATTTGAAGTTTAAAGTAAGTTTAAAGTAAATATATAAAGTTTTCCCAAAATTCAAAGTTGAAGAAACTTGCAATCATGAAAAAGTCAAAATTTGTGATATTAGAAGATGGCATACTTGAATTATTATATGTATATATGTACCACATAAAAATGTTGACACAACAGAAAAATTCAACTTATGTGTAGAATTTTTATAGATATATCAGGAATTTCATTTTACCTCAACACAGCAAGAAAATCAACTTATCAAAGTTTAACACATAAAAGTTCTACTGAAGTAAATATTATTTCAATCCAAAAACTTTATTTAATCTGAAATCTGGAGACAAATGCTGCTGTTGCAGGACAGCTCTCTGTATACTTTGTATAGTCAAAAAAATATATTTCAAGGCAACGCTAATAAAAACAAACCTGATCCTTCTCTTTGAGGACTTCCCTGCCAAATGATAGAAGTCCCATCTCTGCCATGTAATAACACAATGTGGAGAATGATTGTACATACTTTTTAGAGTGGAGAAGTTGTTGGGTGAGAGAGAAAGGTAAGTTTATAACTGGATAAAACCTCTTCTGAGGATGTTCTAAAACCTCTTCTAGTCCTTCTATCTGTGAATCAAATTTTATACATAACATATATAATGATATAAAATGACAGACATATGTAACGTGAAAATACTGAAAACCTAACTTTCCAGATGTCTCTAGAGAACAATTCTAAATGTCTAGATGCTGCATGTTAATAATAATAATTCAGTACACTGTGTAAGATAATCTCATTCTCTGTCATAAAAGCATCATTGTACTTTAAAGATTTAAACTGTTGCTCCAGAATATCTAATGCAGAATGATGGTTTATATTATGAAATACTTTTTCACAGCTCAGTCAGTTTTGTTTTTGTTTCGCGACCAGGGTCCAAGGTTATAAAGAAATTCTCCAAGCTCAAACTCAAATCTCAGGTATTTGATTGGTCAGAAACTGCCACAGAATGTTCACTGACCAATTAAAATCCTGAGATTTGCGACAGAACTCAGAAAAGAAGTTTTATAAACCTGAGACCAGGTATAAGATTGACCTGTTTATAAGCCAGTGCTCTCTAATTGATCTAAAACAACGAACAGCTAATGTGTAATGTAAATAGTTTTAATTCAGAACTGCTTTATAGAAAAATTCTGATGGAATAAAATACTATGATTCTAACTCCTGTAAAGGAAGACACTTATACCTTCCATGTATTTTTATACTTGTTTCATTAGTATTAATTGCTTTTCAATGTAATTGTTGTATGAGTTAAGGAACAAGCTACAAGTACTTACTTTATAACAAACATTGACCATTTCACAGAACAAACATACTGGCATATTGAGCAAACAATCACTAAGCAACACCCAACCTTTTGGATAACCTGAAAAAAACCAACAAATGTTTAACAAGAAACATGGCAATGCCATGAAACCAGGTTTTCAATTATCACCATTGTAGATAAATATGTTGAAGTTGAAATACAAATACAAGCAACAAAGAATGTAACTATGTGCAACGTAAATCATGAATAATGTAGGAGGAATTGCACACAGAAGAATTGTTCACTATATATTCTGTTTAGGTGAAAAAAACAAAGGGCCATAATCAGGTAAAAAATTATCCAATCACAAAACCCCGACACTATAACCAGGGCACTTGATGAAAAGCTTCTGTGAAAGTTAGAACAAAATCCATTGAGAAATGTAGGAGTTGAGCATAGAAGAAATTGTTCATTATATATTCTGTATAAGGAAAAAAAACAAAGGGCCATAATTAGGTCAAATATTATTCAATCACAAAATCCCGACAATATGCGCCAGGGCACTTGATAACAAAGCTTCTGTGAAAGTTTGGTCAAAATACGTTGAGAAATGTAGGAGGAGTTGCGCACAGAAGAATTGTTCACTATATATTCTGTATAAGAAAAAAAAAACAAAGGGCCATAATTAGGTCAAATATTATCCAATCACAAAACCCTGACATTATGTGCAAGGGCACTTAATTACAAAGCTTGTGTGAAAGTTTGGTCAAAATCCGTTGAGAAATGTAGGAGGAGTTGCGCAAAGAAGAAATTGTTCACTATATATTCTATATAAGGAAAAAAAACAAAGGGCCATAATTAGGTCAAATATTATCCAATCATAAAACCCCGACAATATGCGCCAGGGCACTTGATGACAAAGCTTCTGTGAAAGTTTCGTCAAAATCCATTGAGAAATGTAGGAGGAGTTGCGCACAGAAGAAATTGTTTACGCCCGCCCATCCGCCCGCCCGCCCGCCGACATACCTCAATCTAATAACCAGTTTTTTCCTTCGGAAAACCTGGTTAAAAATGGTTGTGAATGGTTGTGTATAATTACAAGATTGTAGATTGTGTCACATACTTTAATACAAGATTTTGTATCATTACTTAATGCTAGACTGGCTGTCCATGAATACCTGATTTGTCACTGATTTAAGACTGGTTATGTAAAATTACCTCATTCTAGAATGGTAGTGTACAAAACCGTCCAGTTAGCTAAATTGGTATAGTGTTGAACTGTAAATCGGGCAACCAGGGTTCGATTTCCTGGATACTACAGGTCACTTTCATTGTGATTCTACACAAAAACTTTTCTACGGTCATTTGCACTGTACCTCTGCTCTGGCATGTACAGGAGTTTTCAGTTCCTTGCTAAAGTGAAGGCACTTGTACTGGTAAACTGCTTGACAGCATGGGCAGAAAAGATGCTGTGGCTGAACTGTGCTCTGATAATTCAAAGTGGCTTACTGATGTAATCCCAACACCAATAGTGTTAAAATTTCTGATTGTGTACTGGGTGTACATAATTAGCAGATTCCAGACTGAGTGTATATATTTGTCTAATTCTAGACTGGATATAAAGAAGAGGAGGAGGAGCAACATTGACTAATGACTTAAATGACAAGTTTTGTGTGTATGTGTGATTACCTGAATGTACTGGTACAGGTGGTAGATATCTTCTCCATGTCATCTCATTACAATATACTACAGGCTCATTCTCTACATGCTGACAATAACCACCAGTTATATCAACCTGCAGCAATTATATAACCATGTCAATAATACAAGAAAAATATAAAACTTTAGTTATAACAACTGCAACTCAATGTAATGAAATTACTGGATAAAACATGTATGTAAAGAAAAGACCTTTAATAAATTTGTTACTGTATATAGTAACAATTCAACTGATTATTAGTGTCACATGACCTGCGGCCGAAAATCATAATCATAATTGGCTCAATGAACACGAGTAATTGCACCAACTGAAACAATGACGTCACATTTTAGGTCATCAAAACCGCTAGCTGTCAAAGCGAAAGTAAGTTTCAACCACAAATCGCTTAATTTTATGGTGAGAACTTCAGTATAATTTGTACAAACACAGTTTACTTGAAAATAAAAGAATAAGAATACAACAAAATCATTCTGAGAAAATAAACCATGTTTCTTGATTTTAGCGTCCTTGTATGAACATAACCGAAAGCAACTGTCAGTATAAATCTATAAACAGAGACAGCAATTTCAACTAAAGAAATATCAAAGTAATTTAAAAGAAATGCTTCTGTTAGACCCATCAAGTGTATTAAAGACAAAAACACACATCAGAGACGGGCAGGAAAATGATAATCGGCCCTGAAATGAATAATGCCCTCGGGGGCAATTATTCATTCTGTGGGCCGATTATCACCTTCAGGACCTACTCTGCTGTGTATTTATCTCTTATTAACACTAAAATTCTTAACTTAAAAAAATGACAGCCATTTACTTTGTCATTAATTTTTACTGTCAAGATTTCAATAATAAATGATGTCATTAATTTTTACTGTCAAGATTTCAATAATAAATGATGTCATTAATTTTATACTGTCAAGATTTCAATAATAAATTCTTATATAGTAGGCCTTTACAGGCCAACCAGTAACATAAACATGAACACAAATATACAACTCACAGAGACTGGGATAACATTAAGTGACCTTGCCCCCATTCTAATAGCCTAGCATAGTGCAAAACAAAGAAAATTTAATGAAAACCCACTGTTAACTACAGTTAAAGACAGTTATAACTAGAACTATCACTAAATGTGATTAATGCAAGACTGCTTCGGAAATGAGGATTCTACTAGTAACAGAATACCTTGTAAAGAATTGAAACAGAGTTATGGTTGTGGGCAATTAAAGATAGTTGTGGTTCTTGTATGTTGCATTTCCTTTCAATGTGGTTGGCCATTGATGAAGTTTTATTGGATTACTCTGTAAGAAGTCCAGAAAGACAAGGAAAAGGAACAAAGGGCAATAACTCTATAAATACTGAAGATTGAGTTATGGCTATTGTACACTGCACTTCCTCTCATTGCGCTTGACCATTGTATGAAGTTGTATTGAATTCCAACTACTAGTTTTCAAGTTATGCACTGGACAAAAAAGTAACAAAAGCAATAACTGTAATTAGTCCAAATAGAGTTATTGTTCTTGTGCACTGCACTTCATCTCACTGCCCTTGACCATTGTATAAAGTTTCATTGAATTCCAATCATTAATTTTCAAGTTATGCTCTGGACAATACAAAGTAACAAAGCAAAAACTTTTAAATAAGTCAAAAGAGTTATGCTTTCTGTGCACTGCACTTCCTCTCAATATACTTGACCATAGTATGAAATAGTTTTGAATTCCAACTAGTAGTTTTCAAGTTATGCTCTGGACAAGGGAAAGTAACAAAGGGCAGTAACTCTGTAATTAGTCAAAATGGAGTTATGGTTCTTGTGCACTGCACTTTCTCTTATTGTGCTTGACCATTGTATGAAGTTGTTTTAAATTCCAACCAGTATGTTTTAAGTAATGCTCCAGACAAGGAAAAGTATCAAAGGGCAATAACTCTGTAATTTGTCAAAATGGAGTTATAATTCTTGTGCACTGCATTTCCTCTTAATGTGCTTGACAACTGCATGAAGTTGTATTGAATTCCAACCAGTAGTTTTCAAGTTATGCTCCAGACAAGGAAAAGTAACAAAGGGCAATAACTCTGTCATTAGTCAAGATGGAGTTATGGTTCTCATGAACTGCACTTCCTCTCAATGTGCTTGACCATTGTATGAAGTTATATTGAATTCCAACTAGTAGTCTTCAAGTTATGCTCTGGACAAAAAAAAGCAATCGAAAAGTAATAAAGGGCAATAACTCTGTAATTAGTCAAAATGGAGTTATGGTTCTTGTGCATGGCACTTCCCCATATTGTGCTTGGCCATTGTATGAAGTTGTTTTGAATTCCAACCAGTAGTTTTCAATTTTTGCTTCGGACAAGGAAAAGTAACAAAGGGCAGTAACTCTGTAATTAGTCAAAATGGAGTTATGGTTCTCATGCACTGCACTTCCTCTCAATGTGCTTAACCATTCTATGAAGTTATATTGAATTCCAACTATTAGTCTTCAAGTTTGAGTCTGGACAAAAGAAAGCAATGGAAAAATAAGAAAGGGCAATAACTCTGTAATTACTTTAGATAGAGTTATGGTTCTTGTGCACTGCACTTCCCCTTATTGTGCTTGACAATTGTATGAAGTTGTTTCGAGTTTCAACCAGTAGTTTTCAAGTTATGCTCCGGACAAGGAAAAGTAACAAAGGGCAGTAACTCTGTAATTAGTCAAAATGGAGTTATGGTTCTTGTACACTGCACTTCCTCTCAATGTGCTTGACCATTGTATGAAGTTATATTGAATTCCAACTATTAGTCTTCAAGTTATAGTCCGGACAAAAGAAAGCAATGGAAAAATAACAAAGGGCAATAACTCTGTAATTACTTTAGATAGAGTTGGTTCTTGTGCACTGCACTTCCCCTTATTGTGCTTGACAATTGTATTAAGTTGTTTCGAGTTTCAACCAGTAGTTTTCAAGTTATGCTCCAGACAAGGAAAAGTAACAAAGGGCAATAACTCTGTAATTAGTCAAGATGGAGTTATGGTTCTTGTGCACTGCACTTCCTCTCAATGTGCTTGACCATTGTATGAAGTTATATTGAATTCCAACCATTAGTCTTCAAGTTATGCTCTGGACAAGGAAAATGCAACGGACCGCTAGACCGACCGACCGACCAACCGAAAGACGGACCAACCGACCGACCGACCGACTACCGGGTGACTCCTATATACCCCCCCAAACTTCCTTTTTGGGGGTATAAAAAGTACCATCTGATATATTTACCCTATCTTCTCCAAGCCAATGTTCTTGTCCACTTTCAAACTCTCCTTTATCTGTTTTACTATCACCAGCATTATCACCAGCATTATCACCAGCATTATCACCGGCACTATCACCAGTACTATCACCAGTATTATCACCAGCATTATCACCAGCATTATCACCAGTATTATCACCGGCACTATCACCAGTACTATCACCAGTATTATCACCAGCATTATCACCAGCATTATCACCAGTATTATCACCAGTATTATCACCAGCATTATCACCAGCCTTAATATCTGTATCACCACCAGTGTTATCATCATTTCTTGCAGTATTATCAGAATGACTGGTCTCAGGTTTTACTGTCTTCACAGGTTGACCATGTGTATCATAGCACAGATAGAACAGATATTGATGAGCAGCCTGTATTCTCAGCATCTTAGGTAAAACTCCATATCTTAGACCTGCAGTCTGGTAAATCATAATATAAACTTAATAAAATAACTATTCTCTTATACATCTTTTTATACTTCCTTAGAAAATGGTCTAGATTTAAGCAGATCTGTACCCTATGACCAACACCAGAACTGAACACATTAGAGGGTAATTAATAGAAAGATTAAGCTGTTTTCACAAGTGTATTTAAAATATTGATCTAGTTAAAATGAACAGGGGAACTTACTCTGTCATATTTCATGGGTGGTGCTTTCTCAGCTAACTTCTTCCTGTATTCTTGATGACTTCTAATGGTCTCTAACGCAGACTGAGGGATATCAGATGTCTCTACAACTTTCTGTAAACGCAATCATGCAATACACATTCAATACTCTACAAATACAAGCATACACAATACATATTTATTTCTCAATGACTTTCAATAAACACAAACATACGCAATCTCAAACTCAATATCTTTACTAGTAAGATGTTTATTATAAGTTTATCACAAATAAGAGACAGAATGCTGAAAGTTTTGAATACCTTTTCTGTTGCAGGTTTGGCACCTTTTGTTAACAGTTTCCTCTGTAAGCTCCTGTTTCTCAGCTCCTCCTTGGACACACTGAAGTAACGTAACTTGGCTTCATCTATCATCCTCCACAATGTCTCATCTTCTGTTGATATGCTCGGTGTACACAGGTAGATAAACTAGAGTACAGGAAGATAAACTAGAGTACAGGTAGAAAAACTAGAGTGCATGTAGATAAACTAGAGTACAGGTAGATAAACTAGAGTACAGGTAGACAAACTAGAGTACAGGTAGATAAACAAGAGTGCATGTAGATAAACTAGAGTACAGGTAGATAAACTAGAGTACAGGTAGATAAACTAGAGTACATGTAGATAAACTAGAGTACAGGTAGATAAACTAGAGTACAGGTAGATAAACTAGAGTACAGGTAGATAAACTAGAGTGCATGTAGATAAACTAGAGTGCATGTAGATAAACTAGAGTACAGGTAGATAAACTAGAGTGCATGTAGACAAACTAGAGTACAGGTAGACAAACTAGAGTACAGGTAGATAAACAAGAGTGCATGTAGATAAACTAGAGTGCATGAAGATAAACTAGAGTGCATGTAGACAAACTAGAGTACAGGAAGATTAACTAGAGTGCATGTAGATAAACTAAAGTACAGGTAGATAAACTAGAGTGCATGTAGACAAACTAGACTAAATGTAGACAAACTCCAGTGCAGGTAGATAATCTTGACTGCATGTAGACAAACTAGAGTGCATGTAGATAAACTAAAGTGCATGTAGATAAAATAGAGTGCATGAAGACAAACTTGAGTGCATGTAGACAAACTAGAGTGCATATAGATAAACTAGGGTACAGATAGATAAACTTAAGTGCATGTAGACAAACTAGAATGCATTTAGACAAACTAGAGTGCATGTAGATAAACTAGAGTGCATGCAGATAAGATAAACTAGACTGCATGTAGACAAACTAGAGTGCATGCTGACAAACTAGAGTGCATACAGATAAACTAGAGTACATGTAGACAAAATAGAGTGCATATAGACAAACTAGAGTGCATATAGATAAACTTGAGTGTAGGTAGATAAACTAAAGTGCATGTAGACAAACTAGAATGCATGTACATAAACTAGGGTTCAGGTAGATAAACAAGAGTGCATGTAGACAAACTAGAGTACATGTAGGCAAACTAGAGTGCATGTAGACAAACTAGAGTGCATGTCGACAAACTAGAGTGCATGTCGACAAACTAGAGTACAGTTTGATAAACTAGAGTACATGTAGACAAACTTGAGTGCATGTAAACAAACTTGAATGCATGTAGACAAACTAGAGTGCATGTAGACAGAGTACATGTAGACATGCCATATATTTAACCAGCAGAAACAATGGGATATCACCATATGAAATACATGTGAAGCAAAATGAAAATAGAAAAATGTTCTTATAGAAGTATACACAGGATTTTTTTTAGACTCTGTTTTTTTACGTCGCACTAACACTCTATAGGGTGCCTTTCTGTGCATTATTTCAGGCATGAAGTCACCTGAGTAGAACCATTAAATACTCCATAAGCTAGCTGGATAGCTTCCTCACAAGAAAGAATCCCTGTCCCTGTTGATAAGTCCCTGTTGTGAGTCAAACCCATAGCAGTGAGGGGCAAGTGGTTTGTAGTCAATGACCTTCACCACTCGGGCCACAGATGTCCCTTCATAATTATACCATTCAAAATAAAATACCTCTTTAGTTCTTTCATCCATAGTAATAATAGCCTTGTAAGATTTCATTTTCCCCTCTTCGCACAACGCATAAACCAGACGTTTTAGAGACTTTTGATCCATGTTGATAGATAAGTTTATCTCCTTTTCTCTGTTCCTCAACAACTGGTGATTAGAAAAACAACTAATTATATAAGTCTATCTTATCAAAACCTATGACTGCCTAGAAAAAATCAGTTAATTCATGTTTCTTTGATTTGTCTTGGGTCAATTTGCAAATCATATATACATATTGACCAATACCTCCTTTATGTTTATGAATACTCTATAACTTCTATTTGGATTTACTGTTGTATAAATTTCTTCATATTATTTACATAAATAAGGCAAAGGAAGAAAATATTAACTTTTGATAAACTGTTTAAAACCAGTCTCTTACTGGACAACATCAGGCTTGCTAGTCCTCAAACTAGCAAATATAAGGTCCTGTATTTATATATAATACCTGGAGGTATATCTACTTGACCAACTGGACATTACTGGTAATGCAAGCTTATTGTTGATTTTAAATTATGTAATAAATGTATACATGTATTGCTCTAACTATCAAGGTGGTAAAAGGTTGTGTATTTCAAATAATGTAACAGTTTTCTGAGGCCATATATTGTGCTAATTGCAGCATGGAAAAATTAATATCTTGCAACACCAATGATTGGGCGAGATGTCAATTTTTCCAGTCTGCAAGTAGCAGAATACATGGCCCTTTGAATGTTACTATAGCATACTAGAGGTATTTCTACTCGACTGAATTGATGACTGGTAAACAAAATAAGGGCAGTGATGGAGTCTTGGACACCAGTTTCATACCTATTTGTGCATGTCAAATTAGTTAAATACAGCCTTCAAGAAATAAAATTCATGAATGAAGGATGGATGAATACTTGTGAAAATATGTGGCATTTTATCATGTTTCATGAAAATATATTCCATATCTCATTTAAACGAAAATATATCCTCTTGATATTCTCTTTCATGACATCATCAATTCTGACATCACAATGTTCATATTAAAAAATAACAAGAGGGCCATGATGGCCCTAAGGTCGCTCACCTGTATATAGCCCCCCCCCCCCCCCCCCACACACATAAGATATTCATGCTAAACATCTAAGCTCTAGCTCATTGGGCTTTTTAAAAGAAGATTTTTTTAAGTTTTTACTATACACATATAGTTAAAAACAATGACACCCCTGGGGCGGGGCCAGTTTTGACCCCAGGGCTTTTATTTGAACAAACTTTGTAGACACTTACTAGAAGATGTTTCATGCTTAATATCTAAACTCTAGCTATTTGGGTTTTTTTCAAAGAAGATTTTAAGTTTTTGCTATACACATATAAGGAAAATCAATGACCCCCAGGGCGGGGCCAATTTTGACCCCAGGGCTTTTATTTGAACAAACTTTGTAGACACTCACTAGAAGATGTTTCATGCTTAATATCTAAACTCTAGCTATTTGGGTTTTTTCAAAGAAGATTTTTTAAGTTTTTGCTATACACATATAAGGAAAATCAATGACCCCCGGAGCGGGGCCAATTTTGACCCCAGGGCTTTTATTTGAACAAACTTGGTAGACACCTATTAGAACATGTTTGATGCTAAATATCTTAGCTCTAGCTCTTTGAGTTCTTTAAAAGAAGATTTTTTAAGTTTTTACTAAATGCATATAGGGAAAATCAATGACCCCCTGGGGCAGGGCCAATTTTGACCCCAGGGCTTTTATTTGAACAAACTTGGTAGACACTCACTAGAAGATGTTTCATGCCAAATATCTAAGCTCTAGCTCTTAGGTTTTTTTAAAAGAAGATATTTAAAGTTTTTTCTTTCGGTTGCCATGGCAACCAGAGTTCTGCATGGAATTAAATTCTTTGAACAATTTTTAAAGGTGACCACCAAAGGAACATTCCTGTGAAGTTTGGATGAAATTGGCCTAGTGGTTTATGAGGAGATGTCATTTAAAGTAACAGTTTACGGACGCCGGAAGCCGGTCGGACGCAGGACGGACGCCGGACGAAAAGCGATCACAAAAGCTCACCCTGTCACTTTGTGACAGGTGAGCTAATGATGTACTACTTCATGAAATTCTTCTCATTTTTAGCATGATATTTGTCGATATTTATGTGTTTTTCGTCATCAATCACATTTTACTTACAAATATGTGTATTTCTCAAGATACAGATATTTACTAATGATTGAATTTGCTTTTCATCATTATTCACATAAAGTCCGGCTACTGTGAAAATTATGTTTTAAAATTTCACATAAAATTATCAAAATATAATCTCACTACATACTGAAAAGAATGTTATAATTGTAAGTTAACTGTGTATGCCTGTTTACACATGTTAATGATGAGCTTAATTGTAATGACAAAAGGGTAGCTAAAAATATATTTATCCCATGATCATTAACTCAACCAAATAGCTTAATATAAAAAGATCTCTCTTTAGCGACAAATACTAAAAATGATAAAAGTTCAACAAACTTTGAGAAGTCTGAAGTTCTCCACAATTTTTATTGCATTAATGACTTCAAGAATCCAGTTCGCTCTTCTAATATGACTTTCTGTCAACATATCTACAAAAATAACATGTACAAATAACCATCTTAAACGACTTTCTGTCAACATATCTACAAAAACAACATGTACAAATAACCATCTAATGAATTTCTGTCAACATATCTACAAAAATAACATGTACAAATAACCATCTTATATGACTTTCTGTCAACATATCTACAAAAACAACATGTACAAATAACCATCTTATACAACTTTCTGTCAACATATCTACAAAAATAACATGTACAAATAACCATCTTAAATGACTTTCTGTCAACATATCTACAAAAATAACATGTACAAATAACCATCTTAAACGACTTTCTGTCAACATATCTATAAAAATAACATGTACAAATAACCATCTTATACAACTTTCTGTCAACATATCTACAAAAATAACATGTACAAATAACCATCTTAAATGACTTTCTGTCAACATATCTACAAAAATAACATGTACAAATAACCATCTTAAACGACTTTCTGTCAACATATCTATAAAAATAACATGTACAAATAACCATCTTATATGACTTTCTGTCAACATATCTACAAAAATAACATGTACAAATAACCATCTTAAATGACTTTCTGTCAACATATCTATAAAAATAACATGTACAAATAACCATCTTATATGACTTTCTGTCAACATATCTATAAAAACAACATGTACAAATAACCATCTTATACAACTTTCTGTCAACATATCTACAAAAATAACATGTACAAATAACCATCTTAAACGACTTTCTGTCAACATATCTATAAAAATAACATGTACAAATAACCATCTTAAACGACTTTCTGTCAACATATCTATAAAAATAACATGTACAAATAACCATCTTAAATGACTTTCTGTCAACATATCTATAAAAATAACATGTACAAATAACCATCTTAAATGACTTTCTGTCAACATATCTATAAAAATAACATGTACAAATAACCATCTTATATGACTTTCTGTCAACATATCTACAAAAACAACATGTACAAATAACCATCTTATATGACTTTCTGTCAACATATCTATATAAATAACATGTACAAATAACCATCTTATACAACTTTCTGTCAACATATCTACAAAAATAACATGTACAAATAACCATCTTAAACGACTTTCTGTCAACATATCTATAAAAATAACATGTACAAATAACCATCTTATATGACTTTCTGTCAACATATCTACAAAAACAACATGTACAAATAACCATCTTATATGACTTTCTGTCAACATATCTACAAAAATAACATGTACAAATAACCATCTTATATGACTTTCTGTCAACATATCTACAAAAATAACATGTACAAATAACCATCTAATGAATTTCTGTCAACATATCTATAAAAATAACATGTACAAATAACCATCTTAAACGACTTTCTGTCAACATATCTACAAAAACAACATGTACAAATAACCATCTTAAATGACTTTCTGTCAACATATCTATAAAAATAACATGTACAAATAACCATCTTATACAACTTTCTGTCAACATATCTATAAAAACAACATGTACAAATAACCATCTTAAATGACTTTCTGTCAACATATCTACAAAAATAACATGTACAAATAACCATCTTATATGACTTTCTGTCAACATATCTACAAAAATAACATGTACAAATAACCATCTAATGAATTTCTGTCAACATATCTACAAAAACAACATGTACAAATAACCATCTTATATGACTTTCTGTCAACATATCTACAAAAATAACATGTACAAATAACCATCTTATATGACTTTCTGTCAACATATCTACAAAAATAACATGTACAAATAACCATCTTATACGACTTTCTGTCAACATATCTACAAAAACAACATGTACAAATAACCATCCTTTTAACTGATTTAAAAAAACTGTCTTTAATTTAAAGAAAACAGACAGCCGTTTAATATTTTCACTTTTCAAAAGAAACAAAATTTTACAATTGAGTATTTGAAAAATTTTTTTTTAAAATTTGACATAAAAGGAAACAATCTTTAAAAAATTTCATACACCTCAACTTACTTCCGAAACGTTCAATGCCATTAATCACCTTGCCCGTTTTTTTGTCAATAACTTTTTCAGGTACCAACTCTTCAATCACCACTTTAACACCAGCATCCTCTAAATATGTCAGGAAAAATAACAATAAAGTTAAGGTGATCAAATCCTGTAAATCTTGATAAAAGAAAGGAAAGATGGAGCATCCTGACAGAATCATATACAGTAGAACTTCTATGAGTCGAACTTTGATTAGTCGATTTTCTCGATGTGTCGAAGAAAAATTAAAGTCCCGACTTTTCCCCCTATATATTTCTTACAAAAACCTATTTATGAGTCGAGATTTTATGTGTCGAATTTTTCGATGTGTCAAGGTTTTTTCGTGGTTCGTGTTAAGTAAATCTAGTGCAATTTACCACAAATAAGTCGAAGTTGTTTGATTATTTTGACACCTTCGATCTCGACATTTTCCACACCTTATCTGGCTGCGAAGACAATTTCCAATCAACTTGTGTGACAGGTGTTAATTACACAGCCGTGTGTTCAAACAGCCTTTGTTTGCAATAAAATATGTGATAAAATGCTTTAATCGTTACTATTTTAATTGCCGTAGTGGTATTTGAAAGTAAACAGTAAGAACTACATCCTTGACCCGGTGTCGCGTGATAATAACACGTGAAATATATACTATAATTTGGTTATGTTATCGCCCTTTCGTATTGTTACGCCTTTTGTAACTCTATTGTATACGTCAACGGTAGTCCAAATAATAAACCTTGAAAAACGTTATTTAACATGCTAGATTTATCATTGTAAAATGTGAATATCAGATTAATGATTGAAAAAACATGAAATAGGTTTCGTTATAGACTAGTCACGGGTCGAAATTTTGTCATGATATTGAGAGCGATTCATGAGTCGAAGTCCCGATGTGTCGAAGTTTTTACGCAAGTCCCTTCAACTTCGACTTACCGAAGTTCTACTGTACATGTAAATTTTTTACATGTAACAAAAGGAAAGACCAAAGATATATATGACTCAACTTTGCAAGATCTTAGAATATGATAACAGAAATATTTCAAGGGGGATAATAATTGGGGTCATCAAGCAGTTCTTCAAGCATATTATCTTTAATTTCAACAGAATTTTCAGTCTCTTTACTTGAAGGAACATAAGTGATAAAAGCCTAAAACATAAAATTTGAAAATTTTTCATTTATCAAATGAAGCAATAAGAAAAACACTCAGCATTTAATTTCAAAACCGGCCTTTATGCCATTCTAAACTTGATTGGAGTTAAAAGTGTTTATATGCTTTGGGTCATTTTGCACAATGAAGACATGGCAGAGTGGTTAACACGTCTGGCAAGTAATCTAATGATTGCAAACCACATGGGTTCAAACCCAGATTGAGCAAGTTGTTGTTTCCTTGAGCAAGAAACTTTACACTCATTCCTAAGTACTGGTTGGTTCCAAGAACGGATTCAAAAGTGTGTCTATAAGCTTAAAGCTTCCTACACAATCAAACTAAAATAACTTCTGTGTAAACAAATGAAGATGATTATTCTGGAGATATGGATTGAGCGAATGAAATGAAAAATTCATTGCTTCAGACCAACATCAGATGGTACAAAAATTTAAGAAGTTTAACATTAAATATCATAGAGTTTTCATTTTGCGTTTATATCTAAAATTTAGATTTTACTTACGAGTCATCTCCTTCATAATTTCTCTCTTCACAGCAAGTTTGACTGGTGATATAAACTGTATCTCTTCCAGCCGCTTCAGCTCCTGTCTTATCTCTGATACCTTATCATCTGATGGCTCCTCTATATAATATAAACACAAGACATGAGCCACGTCATGACAAAACCAACATAATGGATTTGCGACCAGCATGGATCCAGACCAGCCTGCGCATCTGCGCAGTCTGATCAGGATCCATGCTGTTCGCTATCAGTTTCTCTACTTGTTATAGGGTTTGTAAACAAACAGCATGGATCCTGATCAGACTGTGGGGATGCACAGGCTGGTCTGGATCCATGCTGGTCGCAAACACATTATGTTGGTTTTGTCGTGATGCGGCTCATATAAACACAAGTGTGTATTATTAGCTATAAAGATTTTTGACAGGTTATATGGCGCTATATAAACTTTTTTTTGAAAAATAACCTGAGCTGCAAGGTGAAGGTTATATTGCAAACAACCATTCATATATGTCCATATAATCTGTCAGGAATATTTATAACCAATTTAAAATACAGCAAACTTCCTTTTTAAAAGTAAAAAGTGAGATTTTTTCATAAATTGACAGCAGCTGTGTATATAAATTTATATAAATGTCACGATTATCAAATGAAAAGCCATGATACAAACGTGCAGTATTATAAGAATATTTATAATTTAATTCGTTTATCAGTTAAAGATATACTATGCTTTAATTTCATATAAGAAAATATTGATAATTGCTACAGTCTCTTTATAAATATAAAATAAAAATGTTTTAATGTTAACAATTCTACACACTATAGGTGGTCACATTATGAATATATACGGTCAGTGTTAAAAAAACTGGCAGTTTTTATAAGAAAAGACCAACTTTACTTGACCTGTAATAGGGAACGCAGCTTCCCATACATAGTTTATTCATTCTTTTTTTCAAGTTCTACATATTCAGTAAGAATATCAAAGATTTCAATAAATTTCTGTATTAGAAATATTTTACTTAAGAATGAGCAAAGTATATCTTAAATTACACATCTATTATCATAAAAGTACAGTACAATGTTTGTTGACAATATATTTATCAATTTATTGATATTTATTTTTTCATTCCATTTAGTTAACCCATTACGCGATATACTTGCCTTTTAACGCCTTTTTCACCCCCCCTTTTTTTGTTGTCTCAAATGGTGAAAAAATGCCTTATTTAGGCCCCCAAACACTTGTTTTTGTTTGAGAAATGTTGTTAAAAAAAGTGACCACTTTTTCGGCGCGGCCCCCCAACCAAAAGATACATCAGGGGGTTGCCAGAAGGGGGATGTGCCCCCTTCTGTTTGGGGGTTTGAAGGGGGGTGGCAGTCCCCGTCATCGCCAAGAAAATTTTGGACTTAAGAGAGGCTAAAAATGACCCCAGAACGATCATAAGGTAACTTTTAACCAACGCTGAAAAGCATTTGACTCCATCTCAATCCATTGAGAAGTTGCAGCACTTTGAAATCAATTTTGATGGAAAAAATCAACGCAAAAATAGTGATTTTTGGCAATTTTGAGATGTCCCCTCGTTACCATGGTAACAGAAAATTTAAGCCTGAGCATGTTGTTGCAAAGGCAATGGTCCAGTCAACATTTGTGCCAAGTTTGATTAGTATTGAAGGAGTTTTTATAGTTTTATAGTAATTTGAACTTGAAACGGGAGACTTTTCAATGAAAACAGTTATTTTTCACAAAATGCTCATGAAGTAATGGGTTAATGTAACATCATTGCATGTCTTATGTGCTTAAAGAAATTAATTGAACAAGGGTTGTCTTTACACTTGACTATTCTCAGTGCTTGACACCAAGAAAAGTGGTATCACTCTGTTAATAGGTAAATTAGACTTATGGGACCTAAGTCCATCATTTTATTTTTTTTATTTTTTTTTTTTTTGTCCTCCTCATATGATGCTAAAAGGTCGGGGGCATTCCAAACAGCATCTTACATATATAATTATAAACTGTATACAATGACGAGAAACAATAATGTAAGATAGTGTATCACATTTATATAATCACAAAGATCAATTGTGTGAAGTTTCCATCCATTCCCTTCTGTAATTTTGGAAATACCAACTTGCATGCAAAAAATTGACACCAGGTTTAGTACAGTAGCTCTCCCTTCCAATAGTCAACCTAATAAACAGCTAATGGTACAAGGTCTATGTTAAATTACATACTGTCACCTTAGAGCACTAACTGTCTAACTCCTAGTAAATTTAGAAGGAATTAACCCATTGCTAAGGTGACAATACCATAAGGACTTTACCCATTAATGCACTAAAATCACAATACCATATTTATACAGCAAGGAAAAACACATTGCTTTACTAAATCAATTTTACTTTGAAAACATACATAATATTGTTACTTAAATTTGCATATACTTCACATTTGGTTTTCATTTTCATTGCTCTTGGAATGTCCTTCATACACGCAACATATTCTGACACCTGTGTTTGCTTTATGTTGAAAACATACACATTTAGCCAGGAAAGTGGTCGCTTAATGAAAATATGACTAATTAACAATGAGCAAAAGTTAAGATATAGTGGGAAAATGATCAGGTAAAGAAAAAGGTTATTTATCATGAAGAAGACTAACTGTTGACATTACCTTCATTAAAGGTCATCTTGGGCAGCTCCTTCTTAGCTCTCTTCCTGGAAGATTTTGTTTGTGGTTTAGTTGAATCTGTTTGTTTATCTTTCTTATCTGGTTGTTGAGTGGTGTTATTAGAAACTGTTTCCGTGGAGATTGTCTCAAACTCCTGCATTGCCAACTTTACACTCTGCTTTGCAGCATTCTCTCTTTTATTGCGTTTATCTACATAACTTAATAAACAATTCAAAGTTGTTAAAGGAGACATTTTGCATATAACTATTAATTATGTAACTGGAAATCAAAGAAATGCAACATTGTTAATACAGAGGCTAGCATAATGAATAAAAGTCGTATGTGATGTGACAGATGATACTGATCAATCATAACAAATATGTTGAAGTTATTCTCTTCTTCACATGTGCTGGCCTATTTTGGTCTAAACTGGTCACATTGGTAAAATCAGTCGTGACCAGCTGGCTATGAGTTAAATAGTTTCACCTAGTAATACTTACAGGATTGTTTTCTGTCTGCCCCTATCTTCTATAAATGTAGTCACATAATTTGTCTTCTGTAGAAAAACCAAGATACGCCTTACTGCCAGTCGTGGAGAACTCATTGTACGTTGTAAATCTACCTGTGACATTCCTTTTGACCCAGATTCTCTGATTAACTCCATCACTTGATATAAGTTAGGCTCATCAAATACCCTGTTGTAATTCAGTTTACTCACTAAAATATATGTATACATTTTAAATTCTTTTAAGTTTTATATACCTTTCACCAAAGTTAGACAGTCATCTCTACTTGTAAACTTCAAACTTCTACATTATTACAGTTCATTGTAGATCATTCATGTCTCTTTAATTTTGTTAACTTGTTTTTCATGCTGCATTAATTCACCTTCATTATATATGGTCAGTTTAAATGAGGCTTACAAAAGAGTAACATTAAACAAATGATCTCAACCTTGAGATCATGGGTTTGAGCCCTACTCGGTTCACAACTATATTTCTTCATATGACACCAGTACTGGTTGGTTCCAGGAAGCGAACTCGAAAGTGATTAATATAAGTTGCAAGAACTTGTTTCGCAATCAAGCTAAAATAAATATGTTTGAACCAAGAACATTTCAATATACTTAAAAACCATTAAATAAAATCAACTATTGCTATTCTTTCAGTATTTACTGACTTTATGGTATATCATTAATCAAAATATCTCAACCTGTTCATGTAGAACAAAATCACATAAAATGTATAGTGAGAGAAGATTTAAAACTCCAATAACTAAAATAAATAAACAACAACAAATAAAACAAACCATAATTAGTGTCATCTTCGTCTTGACCATCAACTTCATCATCTGATTCTTTCTCTGTCTGAGTTCGTAAACTCTTCTCTACCTCTTTCAATGTCGGGATTAACCGAATGTGTCGTATCTTCCTCTCTTGACGATGATTCCTAGACCAAACATGATAATTATAGTCTTATCTCCACATGACAAGAGATAAAATGTGATTTTGTAACAGTTCTAACTTGTGAAAATGACATGCTATCCCCAATCATAATTTCTTGCATATCAGACTGGTGTTTCCGTTAGTTTTACCCATGCCGGAAATTTCATCTGGCATGAGGGATGCCAGATGAATCGCATGCTATACAATGGCATCATTTTAGCGCATTTTATTAATGAACCGAGTTAAAATAACATCATATTGACGTTATGAAAAAAAGTTGTAAATTCATATGCTATTTTAAGAAAAATATTTACCGGTGTAATGACATTCATTTAATTTCCATGGAAAATTGTTTCATTGAGGTAAAGAATTTAAAATATGGTAGAATATGCAAAAAACAACAACATATGTTGGCGATTCAGATTGGAATATCCGTGCCTCAAGAACCCACCCAAGGGCGACAACTAGGCAAGCCTCTTTACCGCCTGATGGGCGGGTCCCCACAAGATTGATATTTTGATCCAAACCGCAGCATATGACAGATATCATTAGTCTTCTACAACAAATATTCAAGTTTATGGGTTAAAGAATCTAAAGCTTTCTTTATAAAACTACCAGAGAGCACCTGAAAATAATGATTACTGCAGGAAAACTTACTTCATTAAATAGTCCTTGGGTTTAGCATCAGGGTATCTCTCCCTCCATGGAACATCTATAAATTCAAAATATCTCTCACCAGATGGCATTGTGTTCTGTGCAAGCTTCTTGAATACATCAAACAGTTTCTGAAGTTTGAATAAAAATGGATCGAAATAACTCTTTATGTTTAAAGTTATGTTACAAATTTTATAAAAACTACTTAATCAATGATTCTGAGGACATTGTTTTAATATCTCAACCATTTTTTTTTAACTCAATCTTTATGAAATTTGAAAATCTTATGACAACACTTTTTGCAGTAGACACTTCATTTAGAGATTTCAAGTGACACATCATTTAGAGATTTCAAGTGACACATCATTTAGAGATCTCAAGTGAAGCGAACAAATATGTGCTGTCTGTGGGAGAACTCGTTCAACTATTTTTAGCACTTCATTGTTAAATAAAAGTCTGGATAATGTAGATTTCAACAAATAATTTTATTTGAAATACATGACATTTTTATTTTCTTTCATAATGTACACAGTGACCTTCAAGTATTATTTGAAAACAGTTTCAAGTAAATACCATCAATAGTTCTAAAGATTTATTTTCTATGTAAAACTTAAACTAAGATTTTTTTTATTTTCACAAAAGGCCATAAAAAAATCTGTCCAATTTCAGTGTTTTGGGCCTTGGAAAGTGAACTTCAATTCTGATTTTATAGCTATGTCTTTAGTTTCCAGTGAGCATTGTTTGTATAGTATTTTGTAGTTGTTGCATGCAAATCTTTAACCAAACATTTCGTAAGTTCATAAGGGGCTATATTTCAGATTATGGATGATAATTCAAGACATATTGGCCTTGAACATTGATTTCTGATAAAGATTACAGCAGAACATGTATTAAGTTTTAAGTAATTATCTTTATTTGTTTTAAAGATTGATGTTTAACATAAAACTTTGAAGAATTTTTTTTCTTAATTCACAAATGGCTATATTTTTTTTTTTAAATCCATGCCAGAGTTACATGCATTGGCCTTGGACAAGAACCTCCGATTATGGTGAGTGACAGTGACAAATACATGCACAATTTAACCCGTTTAGAGCAACCTCCTATCAGAGTTACAAAATATGGAGCTACAAAAATAGTATTAGTATACAAAGTCTAGTATCCGCTTTTATTTCAATACCTTCACATTTTCTATGATGGTCACATGTATTTATGTCCAATATCTGCAATTTTCAAATAATTTTAATAATTTAAACATAGAAATAGCATTTATTAGTATATTTAGAAAAACACATGTGAATAACATGTACAACAGTTTCAAACCTTCAACAAATCAAAATCACCATGGAGGACTACAAAGGGTTAAAATTCATACAGAATTTATTTTAACTAAAAGTGTAAGGAAGAACTACACGTCAAACACCTTGTCTGTTTAACTGGTTTTATTAAAGATTCTACCAGTTTCTGTACAAACTTTATCAGGAATTTAGTTTCGTTTGATTGTAAAGAAAGCTAAGTTATTGGTTAATTTAGTTTTTGGCCTAAATGTTAGATTTTCTAAAGTTACCTGTATCTTATACTATTATACACATTAGAATAGACTTACTCAGGGATTAAGAATATTTTGAGGCTTTCCCAACTAATCTAGGGATACACGCAAACTTTAAGTTACAGCTTCGAAAATAAGCACAACAGGTTGACTGATCTATTGTGACAGGTAGTTCACCATGAAGTTATAATGGTAAAAGTTTGTTTGTACTGGGAGGGATAAGCTTGGAAAAACCAACATTTGTCGAGTTCCGGATAACATCTATTCTCCAATATTGACTGACATAATGTTAACCTACATAATGTCATATAATCTATAGGTATATTTTACATTATATCACTCACCAGATCTGTTTTAGTTTTAAACACTTCTTCCATACACTCGGGTTTTTCAGAGAGATACCTGGACATGTTCAGTAACTCATGATTAACTCTGTTTCCCACTTCTTTATAGAACCTGTTTAAATGGTACATGAAACAGGTAATCTTTGTGTTTGTCTGTTTGTTCACCACAATCAATCTCTGAAAACAACAACAATAATTACGTCTTATCCCCATGTTATATTGTCTAAACTTAAAGCTTCAACAAAAATAATGTGTACATGATTAAACAGAATTAAGAAAGAGCTATTAACTTATTCTTTTGCAACTGAGTTAGTATCTGACAGAACTGAAATATTTTCATAATCAAGCTACTGTAATCAATTAACCTTTATCATGCTATGTTTCCTTAAACTTTCTTATTCATCTTTCAATCTGGACAAAAACATCACTTTTAGGGAAAATTTCAAAATATTTACTGAATGAATAGAAAACAGTATAAAAATCTGATAACAAAGTGATTCCTTAGAAGCATTCATCAAAACAAAATTACTTGAAAATTAAAGACTCAGTTTGATTGAGTCTGTACATGAGGGATAATGAATAAGTGCAACATCTCTCACGCTCCCAGCACCGGCTTGAGTGGTACTCTCAACACTTAATAGTGCTGGCATCAATGATCCCGAAGGACCAAAAAAATATAACAACACTGACGCCATGATCAGATAGTAGTACTGGTTGCCTTGGTAGAATCAGTTGCTGCCACCAAGTTGAAAGGTTAATCCAACAAAAATTAGTTGATTATGTTTTAACATTTTTTATCACATAAACCGCGGCCAGGAGTGTAATAAAGCCATTTAATAAAAACGATATTACACTAGTGTAAAAACACTTTGATGTGATGTCATTTGCGCTATAAAGAAACAAAGCGTTAAAGCGCGCTAATGTTAGTGTTACACTATGGGCGCGTCATTTAAAAATTACTCATTTTAACAATTAACTGTTCTTATTTTATATATGTGATAAATAGAATATTATTTTCGTGTAGATTCAATACTAAATTTATTGAACTTGTTGAATAAAACAATATTATGCTCGCCAGAGGCTCGCATAATATGATTTTATTCTACTTGTTCAATAAATTTAGTATTAAACTAAACTCACTCAATATCCTCTATATCTCTCTTACATGTATAAGACCCAGTAAAGTGTATATTATATAAAAGCCATATATCTGCTGTTAAAATTTTGTTTGAATTTTACAAAAGAATACTTCCAAAATGCTTATATGAAATAAATATTGAAGTAAATTGCCTTAAAAAAATGGGGGGGGCTTTTGTCCTATGTGTAAATTTCATGGGGGGGCTTTTGTCCACCTTGTCATTTTTAGATGGGGGGGCTTTCGTCCAGGGGGGCTTTTGTCCGTATCCCTTCTGGAACATTTTATTCTGTTTACGTACAATATTCATGAGTACTGAATAACAGAGACAATGTAATATACAACTCTTTTGAGAATCAACTGTAAGATTATGGAACCAATAAATTTTACCTGTTGATATATTTTATAAAAATATTTCAAAAGATAAAGCTTTATACCCTTTCGAAGTTTGAAAATTTCCATTTCTCATTTCTTACCACTGCTATATGGAGGCTCTAGATTGTTAATAACATTAAACACCCCTGATATCTTAATTAAATCATTTTAACTTCACCTGTTTTTTGAAGACTTTCAAAGGTTTTAACTTCTTTAACATATAAAAAATAGTCTTCGGTGATTCTTTAAAATCTTGTAAACTTAGTTTCCCAGTAGATGCTTCCCCACTGTAGCGAGTTCTGTAACAAAAAGATACATTTAGATATATTTATCAATCTTTTTTCTTTCAATCAAAACTTATTAGATAAATACACAAGCATTTAAGAATTGTCTTAAAAACCAAGCATAACTATTAAGTTAAATGTAGAAAATAAAGTCCAACAAAGAATTGGATGACAATATAGGGCAGTATGAAATTTTTACAGACACTAAAGTAATATCGATGCAAGGTATGTACTCAAGCAAGAGCTGTTTATTTAACACTTTCCATGCTTAAAAATCTTAAATGGACTTGTCCGTCTTTCAATCCAGAAACAACCATTCAGGTAAATTTGTTCAAAATATACCAAAATAAACACTAACTGAAAAGCAAACAGTGTAGACCATGATCAGATTGTCAAATGTGCAGGGTGGAGGCCGATGTTGGTCCACACTGGACACATGGCTATAATCTGTTGCTGCCAACTGGCTTATATTAAAGTAACCCATAATAAAATTATCAATTTGTTTAATACAAAGTATCTATAATAAATTGGATATCTGATAAGCAAGATATAAACAATGTTTACAATAACCATAGTCATATAACCTGTCATATTTTTATATAATTATGTTACATTCTAGGTTTTACTTTACATATCTCCTTTACCTCCCAATTCTCTCTAGTAAACAAAAACTGAAGACATCAAATTGGAAGTCAGGATCATTTTCTGCTCCTACTATAGTCTCTTGCCTTATTGCCTGAGAGGCAACCATAACCAACATGTTTCCATACCTAAATGACAAACATGCCTCAATAAAAATAATCATAATTCCTGTTTCTGGTTTAATAAAAATACACATTTATCTTACTTAAAGATATACTATGCTCAAATTTGATATAAGAAAATAGAGCAATAATTGCAGAGACATAGATAACAGAGATAGGCAATTAACTTCATAGCCAGTTAAAATATCACGCGTGCTTGCTAAACTTGTAGCAAGTAAAACTTATTAACAGTAAATTAATACATTTTCTGAAAGCTTATGCATTTGACTCTGGCTGCAGGTAAAAACCTTTATTGTTCCCATTTTAATAAATGATGCATCAATTTTTAAAGAGACCTACATATTGATTTTGTTACAAAACTATTCATATGACGAACAAACTGGCTCAGTGAGTATGTTCTGCTATGTTTTTAAATAATATGCAAGGAAAAGAATCAAACACCTGCTGCTGTCATAGAGGGGGATATCTAGTTCTCAGGTAACTGTTCAAGGGAAATTCGGCAAAGCCTTGTTACTTTCATAAACTATGGAATGCCGGTAGGGACATGCCACTTTGCTTATTTGCCAACTACTTAATTGCTTATTTGGTAATTGCTGATTTGCTTATTTGCTGATTTGCCAATTTGCTTATTTACATAAATTTTTATGCTATTGTCAGGCGACACGTCCGACTCACGAAGTTCTTGTTTGATATAAAATAACAAGTCTTTGTAGACTTTATTTCAAGCTCATGAACCTACATCATGCTATTATGTTTATAAAGTTTTGTTGATTATAACTTGTGACAATTATGATCAATCCATCATTACCTAGAATATAGGTAGAAAGACAGATGGATACATTTTAATCAATTTCGAAAAAAATAAATTTAGTTTCAGAAAGTAGTTGTTTTTTTAATTATCTTGAGTTTCAGTTTTAGCTCCACTATTCAGAGAATAGGGATGCTATTCTACACACCAATGCATTGGTTTTCTTGGTAACTTGTTTTTCTATCATATCTCTGTTACTTTTGCTGATTCATGCATCTTACTGCAACTTTGCATAAACTTTGCGTTACAAGCATGCATACAAAGTACATGAAGAAGCTGTGCCCGTTATATACTGAATGTTAAGGTCACCAATGTATTGTACTGAAAAGCCTTTGTTTTTCTGTCATATCTCTGTTACTATTGCTTATATCTAACTGTAACTTCACATAAGCATTACAAAGGCAGCATGCATACACAATATTCAAAGAGGCTTTGTCCATTATACCCTAGGTCATGATCATGGTCATGGTCACCTGATAGCATGTAAAATGTACAACACGAAGAAATGGAAAAGTGTGACCAAATTTCAAAAACATTGAACCAAAGCAAAATGTTGATGCACACACAGACATAAGTGATCTAAAATCTTACAGAGCTAAAAACGAAGCCTATTGCTTAAGTGCAAAGACAAACACCCGTGTTAAGCATGCACCAAATGTATCATTCGTGATACTATGTGTTCGTACCACTAAAATGAGGCCCTCTGTGACAAATGAGAATAACTGAGAATAACGACATTTTATATGCCATAAAATGAGAAATAGTTTTGTTTTCAAGTTCTTTTATTTTCAATCTTTACCCAATAATTTTCACTTATATATGACTAATCAAGTGTTTATTATGCCATCAATCTCTGACTTAAGCTGCACAAACAGATATATAGCTGCAGCACATTATATATATAAGACACTCTCAAGCACAGATGCTGGCGTGCCAGATCCTGCCCCTAACGTAATACGCGTCTGTAAACACTATATCAAAACTATTTAAGTATTTATTTAAATACGAATTGGACATTTGTTACAACAATTAAACCATTAAGTACTTTATTGAGACTTGGTGGTATATGGTATTTTTTCATACCGGTATATGTAAAAATTGCTTGACAACCAGTTTTAACGATGTCCAATTCGTGTTTAAATATTAAAATATTTTAAATAGAGTGTTTACACAGCCACGTATCATGTTGGGGTACGGGATCTGACCCCCAAGCGTCTGTGTTCTCAAGGACATGTCAGCCATCAGTTGTAGACATATATCTGCTTAGGCATCACTGCAACTAAAATCATTGACCAACAGTATTCTTGGAAAAACACTGAATTTACAAGAATACTGTTGGTAAAAGTTAACAGATCTGGCTCAACTGGTTGTCTGTAGTCAGATTTTCCATATACTTCCGGCACAGTGTAAACTTTTTCTATTGCAAAAAAGCAAATAAGCAATAGGCAAATAAGCAAATACGTAAACCAGCGGTTAACAAATAAGCAAATAAGCAATTGGCAAATAAGCAAATTTGTCGTTAAGCCTATCAGCCATTGGCAAATAAGCAAATCGGCAATTAGCAAATAAGCAATTCAGCAATTGGCAAATAAGCAAATTGGCATGTCCCTACCGGCATTCCATACATAAACAGTTACCCTCTACCTATCTACATCAGTCTGTGCTGACAGCCAGTGTAAGATTTTTATATGATCACTCCGTACTAAAGAGCAACGGTGTGAAAAAAGAAATCTAGCTTATAAAACTACAAATTTTTACAGCACAAAAAATTAATTTAGGAGTAACTAGGAGATAATAAAATGGTTTAGAACAACATACATGTGCATAACTTCAGCAAGATTCTGTTTCTTGTCTCTTATCTCCATGGTTACATTCTCACGTGTGCTGTATGTACTACATGAACCAAACACACCATCTTTATTGATTATGTTGATTGGATAAATATCATCTGGAATATGTTCCTGAAAATTCACAGCAAAATAATTTCATTTCAAGTTTAAAACAACATTACATAAGTTATCTCAAATAAAAACTTTTGTCAAATGTTGTTACACATCCCAAATCAATTTTACTGATCAAATTCAACACCCCTGTTTACTTATTTTGTTTCTATGTTTACAAGTTTAAAGAAAATTCATGTGAATATATATTAACAAGAAATTAATAGATCTTAATAAAACAATAATGGTATGATCACTATTTGTTTTGTAACACTGAACAAAAAACAGTACTCAAGACACAACTTAGTTTCCATGTTTGATCAATCATGTGTATAGTGTAACAGTTATACCTGATGATTCTCAATATGATCATTCATGTTTAACAATTATTCTTACAGTTTCCAGGTTTGATCATTTATGTGTAACAGATAATATACTTACAGTTTTCAGGTTTGATCATTCATGTGTAACAGATAATTCACTTACAGTTTTCAGGTTTGATCATTTATGTGTAACAGATAATTCACTTACAGTTTTCAGGTTTGATCATTTATGTGTAACAGATAATTCACTTACAGTTTCCAGGTTTGATCATTTATGTGTAACAGATAATTCACTTACAGTTTCCAGGTTTGATCATTTATGTGTAACAGATAATTCACTTACAGTTTCCAGGTTTGATCATTTATGTGTAACAGATAATTCACTTACAGTTTCCAGGTTTGATCATTTATGTGTAACAGATAATTCACTTACAGTTTCCAGGTTTGATCATTTATGTGTAACAGATAATTCACTTACAGTTTTCAGGTTTGATCATTTATGTGTAACAGATAATTCACTTACAGTTTCCAGGTTTGATCATTTATGTAAATTACAGTTGCTTGATCATTCATGTGTCAGAGATGTCATCTATGTGTAAGAGTTTCTAGGCCTTGAGATTATAACTTTTTTTTCTGAGTTCAGTGTCAAACCTCAGTATTTTCATTGGTCAGTTATCATTCTGAACATGTTTCTAACCAATCAAATATTTGGGATCAGAGTTTGAGCATAGAAAATTTCTTTACAATCTTGGACTAAGGTTTGCCTATTACAATGTAATGATTATACTTACAGTTTCCAAATACTGCTTGGTTTCTGGGTCTATATAATGGAACTTGTTGTACAGAATAAGATCAGGCCGTGGTTCTCTCAATTTGTAGAATTCAACTCCCTTAAAAATTTAAATAATAACAAATTAATAAACAAGAACTGGATGTTAAACAACATGCTTGGCAATTATTAGTGCTTGATAATTAATCATGTAGGATATTGGGAAAATATTTCTCCAAAGTTAAAGTTTTTAGAAAGATATCTACAATCATGTTCCCGATGTCTAAAAGCGAAACTTCCGTGGTTGTTAAATCTGATAATGTATACAAAATTTTAACCTGAAACTTTTTAAACAATTCAATTTAAACTTCATGCTTAAGATACGGATTTTGAATATTGTACTACAATTATGCTTGAGATATGGATTTTGAACATTGCACTACAATTAATAAGATATCAAGCACCTAAATAGCTGCAAAGATTGTTGAAATATGCAGTAGTGTCTTAATACTTTAAAAGACAGTGTAAATACCAATGTAGCCGACAGAAATAATAAGGAATCTTTTCTGTTTTACTTTAAGTTTAATTAAGAATTTAAGATTGATACAAATGTTTGAATATCTTATTGCTTAAAACAATCATAGGTCAGTATAACATTTGTATTATAAATACTGTAGAGTTGTTAGTTGAAGTATGTTTCAGAATGTTTCAGCGTTGAAATTACAAACAACAATGATGGGAATTACATAAATATCTGCTTTGAAACATACAGTGTTGACTTAATCCCTGCTTTAACCTCCTTACTTTGAGTCTATTATTACATACCTTAAGATCTGTAACACAATTCCACAAGTATGGCTTAGAGTTGTCATCCAAACTAAAGGTAAAATTTGGTCTATCTTTCAATCTTATCCATAGTGTATTGACTGTGATTCCTACAGGAAATAAACACATAGAAAAATTAATTCACAATTTTCATTTTCAAACATAACAATAAATATTGGCATCAAGCTGCAGGAGCTGTAAGCTGTGTAATTTTCTAATCAAAATATCCAGAAGTCTGTAAGTGCCGTGTTACAAAAAGAATGATTTTAATGAAACATGACAGTATGTGCTTATATAGTTTATCAACTAAGGTCTTATGTTTTGATAAAGAGGACAGTCGAGAAAAAAGTGATGAGTTGTTTCCCTTTGTCCACAGACGCAAAGAGCGGAAAGCATGATATTCTTAGAAAATAGGTCTTTTCACTTACAGTTCAACCATAGTATATATATACAGTTACATTCCTCCATTTACGGGGAATCGGTCTATTTAAGACCATACTTGTGGGGTTTATATTTAATGTGGGGCATACATAAGGCCTCGCAACTCTAGCATGTTTAAAATGACGTATGGGGGTGTAGGCTACCCTTCTAAAATAGTGTCTGTAAGCCGGTTTTAATAGTTAATGATATATGCACCACAAATGTATATATTTTTAATGGGGTTTTATGTTTCTTGTCAATATGTTTTCACTTATTGTAAAATTAAATATATAGTTGATATATATAACTTAGTACCCCTTAGTTCTGTTGTTTGGAAATGTTCATTATATGCCTACATAGTGGCATATATAAAAATTGACTGCATGAAATAATGCCACTCAAGTCGGTGTGTTTTTCTCATAGTTACATTACACTTCATAAAAATTTAAGCTCTCTATATTTCTCTAGAATAACCAAAAGTTTTACCTCCCAATGGGTGTTTTTCTGCAAAATTTGCACTGTATTCTTATCTTCAATAAATATAATCCTGAATATATTTCTGTATCAAAACACTTTATAAGATGCAAAAACATGGATAAAAGATTTTTTGGGGTAAAGGTCTTTCAAAGGTCAAGGTGAATAACTCAACTTCAAAGTTTTGTCCTGAATGTTGTTTGTCAAAATATAAACCAAATCCATCAATGAATAACAAAGATACAGTAAATATGATTGCAAAGTTAAAATTTCATATTTGACCTTTGAAGGATCAAAGGTGAAGGTCATACCAGAAGTACTTCACATCATTGTTTATATGCAGTGTGTTTCTTCTTTTTGTTCAAGTATATATGATCAAATCCTTCAAATGTTTTTGGCCATTATAAGAAAAATAAATAACTTGACATTCAAGGTAAATGCATAAGGTCAAAATAATTTGTTTATTAGTCAAAGATAATCCTTTTCTTTTATAAATCAAGTATCATGTACAACAGTTATTTTCTTTTGAACATCAATTTTAAAACAATTTAGCCCAATCTCTCAACTATAACTAGAAATACTTTAACCTTGTTAACAATCAATAGGAAGTATTTTACTGTCTACTATATCAACACTATCATTGTATAGGGTCCTACTTTATGTATGGAAAGTTCTAATAACTGTTAAAAAAGACCATGCGCAAAGGTCATTTTTTTAAAGCACAAGGTCTAAATTTTTAAAACACAAAGCAAAATTGTAGATTAATTCAAAGCTTAAAAAAATATTTTCAAAAAGCCCCTTTATCACAGAATCCCCAAAAAAAATTTTTATTTTCAAAAAAATTTTTTTTGGGTATTTATACTGATTTTTCCTATACAATAATACATGTACATAAACTATCCTTTGCTTTTGCTCTGTCAGCACTACTTCATTCAGTTCTTCAACATGATATAAACATTGTACTCTAAATCATTGTTAAACATATGTTTGATATATCTAAAGAATAAAAAAAATATGAATTGCAAATCTTTACACAGTGATACTATATCTACTTATGTTTTACGATGGGTAAAACACTAAAGACTTCTCTGTACTAAAATACATGTACCTTGGTAATGCTATTAAATGGTATACAATCATGTCTATAATTACATATTAAGTGCTGAAAATAAGATGTAATAAAAAAGCAGTTTCGGTGATTTTAATGTTTTCAATGAGTTGTAGGACCACAAGGCACAGAGGTGGTGGCACAAAGCATCTGGTTGTACAGTCATGTACAATATATTTTGTAAACAGTATGACATAGTTGTCTCCCTTTACCTACAAATTAATTTAGGGACAGAACTGCTCATAGATTGTAATATTACATAATAAATTTCAGTTTTCCTTGACCATGATGTACTCGGTGATTTTCTACAAATAAAATAGAATCTTAACATTATCTAAAAAATAATGAAGCTTGTCAGATTTGAACCCACATCCCTTGCCCTAGCTAACAAAAAAGAACCTGCTCATTAAGGTGTTATCTTATAAATATTTAAGAAATGGCTAATTTAATTAGCATTGAAACTTACTAAAATATCCAAATAACTCGTGCGAACATTAATTATTCAATGACAAAATAAAACGGATAGCGAGACTTGATTAATTCAACATTTAAGTCAGTAAATATCTTACATGCTCTTTCATCATGGCTGGCAGGTTTATCAGGAGAAAACTCCGGAGTCCGTAATCCGGAATCATACGGACATATACATTTTGAGCGAATTAATCATACATGGTTTTGACATAAATAAGTGTTAAAATTGACTGTCATAATTATTTAAAATTAAATGTAATAAGTTTCTTTTTGTCCCAGATATGATATGGTGTCACACACCGTTTTCAGGCCGACTATTTTGCAGAATAAGGATTTTGGTATCGCAATGCAGAATTAGTGTCGCCCAATAGCAAAATTACATGCCGAAAGGAATAGTTATCGAAACGGAAATAGAAGACATGACAGATTCAAAGACGATATGCATTCTATTTTTTTTAAATAAACACGCATTTCAAATTATGTTATTATTTTTTTCACCCTGTGACATCTATGTCATAAAGTATGATTAAAATCCTGATAAATCTATATGATTTTACAGGATCCGAAAATCCTTTCAATTTTATCAGCGAGTTGGAACGATAACAACAAACAAGCACAAAAAGATTAACTGATTAAATTAAGCCTTTTATATTAAATAGGAATTGTCATCTACCAATGTCATTCTTTAGATAAATAAAAAAATGTCTGCAATTAAAGTGCAAAATTTCATCAATGGGAAATTCTGTGAAACCACAAATTACCTGGATAGTTTTGACCCTTCCACTGGAGAAGTTTGGGCAAAGATTCCAGACAGCACTGCGTCCAACGTTGAGGCAGCAGTTTCTGCAGCTAAAGATGCTTTTTTAGGGTAAATCGGTTTTTAATATTTTGTGTTTTCATGCCCTTGAATGGAAGAATACTGGCATGCGAGTTGTTCCCGTACTAAAGCCTACCAGTATTTTTTGTATTTATACATGATTTTTACTCGCACTGTCAAATCATGAAGATGTGTGTCCTATACAAAATCAAAGTGTCAGCTCAATAGTAGGTTAAAAAATATTCTCATATCTGGGACCCTTTGATTACTGTACTTCGGCTTGATTACACTTGATTATGTCTGTAAATTAATGCAATTGTACATTAATTGTGTGTATATTTATACAATAAGATATTATTTTACTTAAACTGTACTTCGGCTCTACAGTCTTAGCTTTCCGACCGGCTAAATAGTGAACAGTTCTGAACCCTGCTATATAGAAATTCATCCTCTAACTTCTCATGGTTACAGAGCAATGTGAATTATACCGTGAGCTATATATGCACAGTGCAGTCACGGCCCCACATTGGGAGCGTTTACAAAGTGAAAAAAATGTGCAGTCTGACCTGGACTGACATTAGGGACCCTCGGTACATCGTTCCGCAGCTCTACCAACTGAGCTATCCGGCTGCTTACATATCCTCTCCCCTAAATAGAGAACAGTTCAGAACATACTCCCATGCTATATAGAAATTCATCCTCTTAATTTCTCAGGGTTAATGAGCAATGTGAATTAAACTGAGCTATATGCAGTCACACCCCCCAACTTGCCTCCAGTTTTGTATGGTCCTTCTTCAATGTAAGAATGGCTGTTTGTACACAAACACCTTGATAATTTAAATAAATGAAAATTAACAATTTCTGGCATAAACCATAGAAATATATTTATCAAAGTAAATAGATTCAAAGTGTGTGAAGTTTGAAAAACTTGAGGCCCTGCATGCAAGTTATGTCTTAATGAAATATAAGTAATTAGTTGTTTGGATGAATAGGCGATGAAATGGGAATGATATAGGATGGTGGCTTGTATATCAGACTGTGATGAAATTATACACATAAATAAGGACATAATTACACAAGATGTTTACAAATACAAGGACAAAATTATACATAAAATGATATTTGTAATAAAAAGAATATCAACCACATGACATTTATGGCTTTAATAAGTAAAATATCATGCATTCAAGCATTTTATTGCATTTTAATGTGTTGGGATAACTGTACTGTGTAATAACACATTTCTTCAATTATTAAAAAAGAAAAATAAGACTGATATAACAACATTGTATGGAATGGTTATGGGTCATGATATTGTGGCATTTAACTAAAAAAAATTGGCCGACAAATAAACTAGAGAATGACTTTGCCTAGAAGTTATAGATTTGGAGTGAAAGTTTGCTGTGACTGCTACAGTCTGTCAAAGGTGAAGATTAACTTGGCATTGACTGGATTGAGCACAAAAAGCCTTTTGCTGTATAACTACATGGGGTTAACACCATATGGATCTCAAAATTGAGAATTTGGGCCAGCAGTTCCTTTATTTTGGACCAAATCATAATAATTTTTTCAATATGGATTTATTTCGTTGTTAAGCATCCTTTGGTATTAATATTTCACAAAAACCATGTATTTTAGGTCCGTTTAATGACATATTCTTCATACATATTGCATTTTTGGACACATTATAACCTATGATGAAAATAGTATCTAGGTGAAGACTGCACAAAAATCAGGGACAAAATTGGTAAATATAGAGGAAAGTTAGTTGGGTAGAATTACATTTCAATTTTCTTCAAAAGAGCTTTGAATTTTACATAAATGTGTAAAAGGTTGAAAAAGTAACCTGTGATTGACCTATTTTCCTTTTAACATAATTATGGTGTTATAGTGCTCATTTGGATCAGCAGAACTTCACATATATTTTTTACAGATGCTTAATTTTAAGATCCATATGGGGTTCACCCTCTGTGAACTAGAGAAGTCTTAGGTCTTGTGTCATAAGACTTGGTTATGTGGTTGCCCCTAAAATGCCTACTTGGATGCACAGTTTTTTACCTCTCGCATCAAAATCGATGAAAAATGTATTGCAGTCTTCATAAATATTGCTTAACGCCATGAAAAACCTTGCAGTACATGAGTGTTTGCTACATGTAAGTCTTGTAAGATATAATCATTGAGTACTGCTTGAGACTGCTGGAGTTGTATATTGGACATCATGAATAAATAGTTGGACCCCTTGAATTTGTGGCTGGAACCCTATTATTAAAGTACTTACATCCACTGCACCTTGCAAATTTGAAGTGATGTAAATCTCTGTGACCTGTATTGACTTTGGAATCAGTAGGTCAAAGTCAAGGTGACTTTGGTCATTACCACAAAATACATGTTAGAGAATGTTTTGGTCTGTAGTTGTCACAGATTTGTCATAGAGGTTGGTCATTACTAGTAGGTGAATCCTATTGATCATGGCTAATTTTGATTGGTTTCTATAGGGGGATACATACATTATCTCAAACATTTCTTGTCTTTTTATTAGTTGGTCAGAAACATCAGTTCAGGAGAGGTCAAAGATCATGATGAAGATTGCAGATGTGCTAGAATCTCGTTTGGAGGAGTTTGCTGAGTTGGAGTCGCGAGATCAAGGGAAGCCAATATGGCTGGCTCAAACTGTTGACATACCAAGAGCGGTGTACAATTTTAGATTCTTTGCTACCTGTGCTCTACATGATCTCAACAGGTAATCAGTATTTATTGTATTATGAAATTGCCATCTTATAAGTTACTGTTAGTTACCATTTTATGTGGCCATATATATTTGTATTAAGTAGAGACAAGTTGCCAAGGACAAGTTCACTTGTTAAAGATGAGTTGACCAAAAGAACAGGACTAGCGGACTTAAATAGGTGACAAGTTGTGAGGGGTTAATCATAGAATTAGTTGACATACAAAATATATTAAGTGTTCTTGAAAATAACAGTTTATAGTTTGATTTCATTGTTAAGGGGAGTGTTTAACACCGTCTGAATTTATATAATATGCAGAAATCTCAGTGGCAAAATTTTTTTTTTCATTTAAACTACATGTATGTTTCAAGTCGCTAGATAACAATTGCAGAAAGTGTTCAGCTGTTATATTTATCAAGTGAATGTAAATTATTAAGATATGCAAGGTGTTGTCATCATGTCACATGTTAATGTTAAAGTTACTCTGTGTTGTATATGTCAATGTCACACATTTGTTTTATCAAGTCATGTGATGGGGTTGTTTCGGATGATTTTACACAAATCTCCACTTAATGTTATAATGACCCATGTCTGTAGGTCATTTGAATAATAGTTTTCTTGTACAGGTTAACCTTGATAAAGGTGATGCTCTGACTTGATAAAACAATGCTGTTTTATTTAAAGATGATAAATAACAGACTTGTCAGCTATATGTTCTGTTAAGGTCTTTAATTAAATTACAAAAACAGTTGGACTGTCACAAATATTCACTTTTATAGTCTACTTCATTTTTATTGCCTTTACATTCTTTACCATGTAGAGTATAAAACATGAGCATAAAACATAAGCTATGACATTTTGTTGATATTTCATGTCTCAAAGTTGTTGTTGACTGAAATGTTACTATAAATACTTCATAGATCCAGTCAGATGCAGGCAGTAGATTGTTTCAACTATACAATTAAAATGCCAGTGGGTGTGGCAGGTCTGATAAGCCCATGGAACTTACCAATGTATCTGCTAACATTTAAATTAGCTCCAGCTATTATAGCCGGTAACACAGTTGTTGCCAAACCAAGTGAGATGACTTCAGTAACCGCCTGGAAACTGGCTGAAGTCTTAAACATGGCAGGTATTAAATTGTCTTATAAATTGCAGTTTTTTTGTTTTTTTTTCTTCTTGATACATGTAATTATTGATTAAACAGGCATCGAAAATTATTTTCAGAGTCACTCGTCATGCAGGATGAGTAGCTACTAAATCCAATGTGCAGGCAACATTTTTCTACTAGTCCTTCACCAAATACTCTAAGATTCTACTCGTAATTACGAGCGGACAAGTGGAATTTTCGATCTCTGTTAACATTGGATGTTCAGTTTGATTTCAATTGAATATAACAATATTTAATATCATTATATCATTTGTATGGATAACAGATTTTCTTCCTGGCCTAGCTAAATGACTTAATTGCATTAGAAAACCTACTTTTTCCATAGAAGATATAAACTTATAACAGTGAAGAAATAATGGATTTGAAGTACATGCAATTGATTATTTCTAATTGTTCATGCAGGTCTCTAGTAAAGGAATGCCTTAATTGACATAACTATTCTTTTCTAAATTTTGGAAAGCTATTGTCAGTAGTAGCTTACATTTGCTAACTTGTGACATATGTAAAAGCAGGCCAATCCAGGTTAATATAAACATGCACGTGTCAACCAGACACAGTAAATGTAATCATCTATGCAGTTAACCAGACTCATTATCACTACTTCATCATTTGACGTCTGTATAAACTCTTTATTTTGTAACATCAACAAAAGTATAATAAATAGTAAAAATGTAAAAGGAACATGTTCATCATATTCAGTTTTGTACACATACCAGACAAAAAGCATTATATATATTTTACAACAATCAGTTAATAAGGCCTCAGCTTGTCAGATTGATGACTTTATTTTTACCATATTGAATTCATTTAACGCCCCTGTGGGTTTGCATTTTTTTCAAAAGGGGGTTGCTTATAAGAATTATAAAAATTTGCTTTAAAATATGTTTATTAAAGAAACAATTCATTTGTCAAAATCATTATGCATTATACATAACTCGAGTGTCATTAATTCATTAATTGTTATTTTTAAGATAAAGATATTTGAATTTTTTTTATTGCTCTTGTAAGAGTTTTTCTTCTACAAAATGTGTTGGGGGCGGGGGGCTAATAAGAGGGTGGGGGGTGTTAATGGAAACAATACGGTATATACTTCTAAAGGTCAAAAATGAATCTTACCTAGGTTTTGTCTTAATCACTCAGAAACACAAATAAGCACTTGAAACACAGTTAATTATAATTGTATTGTAACAAAGTGTAGCATATTTATGTAAATAAAGAGAATTTGTACATGTCTTTCTTAAACCATCTTTGTTATACTACATACATGTATGCTAAAACAGGTGAAACAATTATGTTTGTTGCTGAAAACAACACACACACACACAATATACTTCCCAGAACACCATCATTGCTTGTAACTTTGGCCTCTTCCCATGTCAGAGATTGCTATTTTGAATCTTGAAAAATACAGAAGTATATATTTTAACATTGAGAAATGGTCAAATTATGTTGTTTGGTTACTTTTGTTGATTTGTACATTAAATGTCTCACTTATTTAAATTAGTCACTTATTTAACATGCATTAACATTGTATATAAACAGAATAAAATGTTCAGGAATAAAATATTATGCAGCTGTTTTACCATTTACATGTAGCACTGATTTTGTACATATTTCTTCTGAATATGTTTTTGGAAGTATTGTATTTCAAAATTCAGACATTTTACAATAATGTTGTAAACTACAGATATATAGCCTTAAACACTGTAAAAATGAAATCTTTAAAGAATGGTTTCCTTAACAAGAACAATATGCATCTGTGCAAACTGACATCACTTTGTAGTTGAGTATTTTGTACTTCCACTACAAGGGGCAATTCTAAAAATTCAAGACAAAAAACATGTTCATTACATTAAGCATAGTAAAGGTCAAGTTGAAATTGAATGTTCAGTAATATTTAACTTATAAGTGTTTTTTATGTTTAAAGGTTTGCCTCCTGGTGTCATTAATTTTGTGTTTGGTTATGGCCCGACAGCAGGGGAGGCGATTGTCAGTCACCCGGATGTTCCCATCATATCTTTCACTGGTGGTACGGTTACAGCAACAAAGTTGAGAATGGCCGCTGCACCATTCAGCAAGAAACTTTCCCTAGAGGTATGTTCTAAATAAATCTATTCTAGATAAAATATACTGTATATAAGTGATCACTTATTTTAAAACATTCTATTGTTGTATGAATAACATATTTTTTTTTATCAACACATATATTAAAACATTTGAGATTTGTTAAGACCAAACTTAAATAAACAAGCAATGAGAAAAATTAATCTCAGTTCCTGAACAGTCAATCTTATAAAAACATGTTTCAAATGAATAAAATTTGTGCGAAAAGTAATAATTTTTGCGCGATCAAACATTTTTGCGCATAATTTCAATTAGCAAAAATTTCAAATATTTCCACGTCACAAAATTAACCACTTATACTGTACTAGATCTGTGACTTATACAAAACCAAAATGATTTTACTATGTAAATTTAATTTGTAAACATTGTGTTACAGCTTGGAGGAAAAAACCCTGGTGTGATATTTGATGATGCTGACCTGGAGAAATGTATTCCTACAACAATCAGGTAACTTTTTATGTTTATATTCTTATATTAAATATCAATATATATTAATATATTGTAGTTTTAAACTTGGGTAATATTCCTGCTCAAGTGTTGCTTCTGTTAGTATAAATATATATTTAGTAAATAAGACAATTGTGAAATGTTATTTCCCTGAACATAGCACTACCTGTGCATTAAGTTATAAAAAAAAAGATGATGTAAAATTGTTGTTGTCTATTTCTTAAAGATATAACAGTTAAACATATTATGTAAAGACTATTTACAAGTTTTTTTCTAACAATGTTTCCACATGCAATTTATCTTAAGGCACACTAAGTGGTTGAACAAATTTTTTCCCTACATTTAGAATCTACATAATCTTATAACATTAGAATACTGACATTTTAAGTCCTTGATTAGATGATTTTTATAACATGTAGTAACATGAAAGTGTTATTTAAAGATCAGAAAAATGGTCTAATTAATTATAATTATTAACATATATCTACATATATTTTCGCAAAAACATTTGAAAGTTTAATGCCAAGATAATATATTGAAGTTTTATCCTAGAACAAAAATTATAGCTTTGAATTATAAAGATGTCATGCAATTGCTTTATTGACCCCAATTGTCTATGTCAACATTCTGTTGTAATAGAAAAAATTCATAATTTACGAGGTGAAATAAAATATTTACTAATTTTGAAGACATCATTATTGTTTTTAAAACATGCTACAACCACTGACAATGATAATTGCCTTTAAAAAACTGATTTCTAAATGCTCCAGGTTGTGAGTTGAAATCCGTTTATGGGAAAGGGGTTTGGCAATTACATTTAAAGGACATACTAGTTATCACTATAACCAGCTAAAAGAGAATGAACAATATAATATTATGTATAATTGAGTTACAAGTAGAAATTAGACATCTGTCAAGAGTTTAGCACTCTCTCAGATGTTACTTTAGTTCAATACCCATGTATAGGAAGAGCATTAAGAAAAATTCTTATGCATTTTGAAGCTCTAATTTTAGATATTGAGGAGATGGCTTTACCTTATTTTAGACCATCAAATGAAGTAACATAATTTTGCTAGGGTAATAAATGGTCCTGTTTTAGGCCCACTTTTAGTAAAAATGTAAATCAGGAAATGGTAACTGAAATACATGTATCATACTTATAAACTTTAGTAGGCCAACAGCTGCACTAGAGGTTAGATATTTAATATTAAGAATTAAAGGGCTTATAAAAAAATGGACTGATGATGATTAGTACTTTTCATAGACATAAAAAATAGTTTTCCTCTAAATTGTCAAGGTTTTGATATAAGAAATTTGGTATGTATTATTATCTTGAGAGTCTCTAGAAAAGGTGATTAATTCATTAATTCTAGGAAACTGGTTGTTGGGGACCCAAAAGCAGAGGGTACATTTATTGGGGCTCTAATCAGTAAAGAGCACCTTGCTAAGGTGAAAGGTTATGTTGATATAGCAAGACAAGAGGGTGCTAGTATTCTATGTGGGGATGAGGACATAAATCTTTCAACAAATAATCAAAATGTAAGTACGAACAACTTTTGAAGGAAAATCTTCATGTTTGGAGCAACTGATTGTTTCCATTCACTATTAAGGTACTGAAACTGATATTTTTCCATGGTGATTTTTGTGCCCCCACTATATAGGAGGGTGGGGGCAGGGGCATTTAGATTTTTTTTTTGTCCATCCATCCATCCTTTCTCATTTTGTGTCGCAGGTAGCTCAAAAAGTATTTGACCTAGAGTAATGAATATTTACAGGAATGTTGCTCAACATGTGTAGTTGTGCACCTGGGTATTTTCGTGTGGATTTGACAAAGAGTGAAGTGTGGGGTCACCTGTGTCCTATGGACACATTTCTAGTTTTTGTATTTATAGGATCAGTAGAAAACCTAGTATGCTAGCACTATTATTATCTTAACTTTTACCATGTTATAAATATATGTTAAATGGACAAGACCATTTATCATTTTTTGGCAAAAAACAAAAATACATACTGACTGAATAGTAAACAATGCAGACCATGATCAGATGACACCTATTTTCCTGCTTATCTTGATTAGCACTGGTCATGTGGTTTGAATCAGTAATTGTCTGCAGGTTTAGAGTTAAAGCCTTGAAAATGTTATATAAACATCTTACTTCAAACCACTTGCACCTCACCGCTGTGGGTTTGAATCCCAACAAGGACTTTGGATTCTTTCATGTGAGGAAGCTATCCAGCTAGCTTATGGAACGTCGTTGGTTCTACTCAAGTTCTCGCTTGAAATAATGCATGGAAGGGCACCTGAGGTCTTCCTCCATCAGTAAAGCTGGAACATCTGGAACGTCGCCATATGACCTATACTGTTGTTCGTGTGATGCTAAAGCCAAAACAAACAAACAAACAAAATAATCATCTTATGATACCTTCATTTATAAATGAATTTCATGTAATGAAAATTCTGATTAATTTGTGCTACTATGTGTAGTTAGAGAAAAGAATGATATATATGTATGTATATTAGGGATATTTTATGCGGCCAACAGTGGTGGCAGATCTCAAGGACACATCTCGTCTAATGACGGAGGAAATTTTTGGTCCAGTAGTTTGTATTGTGCCATTTGATACAGCTGAAGAGGTATGTTTCAATTTTTGACATGTTGACATTGTTACTTACATTAATGCTGCATGCCTCCAGATGAGCTAAACTATTAAAAAAAAAAGTAAAACTCGAGTAAAAAGAACTGTGATTTTAAAAAAAGTAAAAAGCTTCAAGATAAATGTAATAATTTCTATGTTATGAGCGATTTGTGATCGATTTTGTAGATTTTGCAGCTATTTTTGCATATTTTGACCTTTTTTTGGTAATTTACATGGGTTGTTTATGCTGTTTGCCATGTGAAAATTATTTTCTTTGTTCACTTCACAATATTTTACTTTTTAATACATTTTCAAAATTTTCATGAAAATAAACATGAATCTTGAGGCTGCTGCTTTAAGTCAAAGTTTTTAAAATGATCACTTCTCCTTGATATAGATAAATAGGGGAGAATTGTAAAATTTAAACAAGAAAAAAACTGTAATCACAAATGCAGATAATGTAAATATAAATAATATTAATTATAATGCCTATAAATTTTCTCCCTAAAATACATTCAAATCATGAATATGCTTGAATAGATAGAAAAGTCTGCAATCATGTTAGTACATATGGAAGTGTCAGACCATTTTTCATGTTGGTTCCCATCTTAGCTAACTATTATGTAGCATTTGGAAACCAAAACTATTGAAGGTGTGGCCTCTTTTTCCACAGTTGTGTATTCATGTATTCATGAATTTTATCTCTTGACATCTGAAATAACAAATACAAAAGTGTATTGAGATTATTTTTGTCTTTTCATGACTTGTTTTGTATAGGTATATTTAAAAGTATAATTATGCTGTGGTAACCATGTATTTTGCTACTGGCATCATGGGAAAAGTTGATATCTCGCTCAACCTTGCTTGTAGCAAAAGCCTCAGAATCCTACTTTACTATGATATTCTGTATTTACATGATCTACAATTTGTATTGAAATGAGGATTGTATATTTAAAATGAAATCTCAAAACAAAAGAATTTAATATGATTATTGTTTATATAAAGGTGATTGTAAGAGCTAATGCTGTAAAGTATGGACTTGCTGCAACAGTTTGGACAACCAATGTGACAACACTTCATAAAGTCTCCCAGAAACTACATGCAAGTTTTATTTATACTGACTTAACTGTATTTAGGAAATTCGGCCATTTTCCTTGACTGGCTGCATAAGACAAGTTGAACTGTACTAAGAAGTGACTTTAAAATTCAATGTCAAACAAAGTTTTGTCTCATTCTTAATGTGTGAATTCCAGGGTCTGAGGTTATAAAGAATTTCTCTATGCTCAAACTCAGATCTCAGGTATTTGATTGGTCGGAAACTGCCACAAAATATTCACTGACCAATGAAAATCCTGAGATTTGGCCTGATCTGTTCAAGAATTAAACATACATCCTCAAATTAAAAATGCTCTCTCTTTATTGAATAGAGACAGTTTGTGAGATGAACATAAATATGCATTTCACTTGGGGTGTCAGGTTTAAACAGGTACGGTCGTTTTTTAGTTGAAAACCGGTTAGAAAATTCAATAACCGAAAATCCGAGGTTAGCTTTGTATTAAGAGGCAAAAAAGTTTTAAATCAATTCTAAATTTTACATTAATTTCCCATAACAAGACATGACAATTTGTTCATATTTAAGTTGCACTCAACAGTGTTTTTTTTTTCGATCTTAGTCAGTATGGTACAACCCTAATGGAAAATAGTTACTATATATCAGATATGTATTATAATCATTTTGAGTGTGACAAAATGTGAACTAAACGCCATTCTTTGTCATAAAGAAACAAAGTTAATGTTAAAAATATAAGGATTTTGTTAGTAGGGTTGGTTAAACGTTTAACTTAGTTATTAGGCCGCAGTTTAAACGGATAACATTTTTAGCTCACCTGTCACTAAGTGACAGGGTGAGCTTTTGTGATCGCTTTTCGTCCGGCGTCCGTCCATCGTCCGTCCGGCGTCCGTAAACTTTTACTTAATAAATGACATCTCCTCATAAACCGCTGAGCCAATTTCATCCAAACTTCACAGGAATGTTCCTTTGGTGGTCACCTTTAAAATTGTTCAAAGAATTTAATTCCATGCAGAACTCTGGTTGCCATGGCAACCGATAGAAAAAACTTAAAATACCATATAAGTACTTATTTCTGCGGCTCAATATTCTGCGATTTTGGTTAAAATAAGGGGTTTTAAATTTCTGCGTATCTTATTTCTGCAGTGTCATCATTCTGGCATTGATGAGTTTTATTTCTGCGTTTTAATTAAGATATTTTTACAAAATTAACGATACAAACAGACAACAATGTATCGGTATATAAACGTTATTAAACAAAAATCAACAACGTGCAATGACAACAATTAATTTTAATACTGTATGTGTTTAAATATGAAGTGTGAAAAATAAACAATTGTAAAATCGCACGTAGATACAATATATTGTACAAATACAAAAGGGTTTGTTCATTGCACCTGTCAAACTATAGTAGTTTTATTTTTAAATAAATCAAGCTTAGGATGAGGGAAAATCATACATACATGATATTTTTTTAAACAAAAAGAACAAGTAAAGTACCGGTATCTTTTGTTTTTTTCTAATATTTCATTCATGACGAATACATAAAGAAAATTCCCATCTACAAAAGCTGACAACGGTACATGGTTAAGTAATGCCGGCTCACCACGGCGAGCCGGTATTACGTTAGGATTTTACTGAGAAACAACCTAAAACTCCAAATCCATCCAAAATTTTTATCGAAGCTTGGCTTCCAGCTTTCTACAAATTTTATCTGTCAGGGCTTAATCTAAAATTATTTAGCCAATCAAATTTAAACTTACATAGCGTCAAAAAACCTTCAATTTTCACGCCATTTGTAAAAATCAGCAAGAATTGCTTTGAGCGCAAAGATATAATGATGATTTAAATGTTTGTTTTCATGAAATCTTTTCAATAAATCATATTTACACTGACTTTTGATTTAGCATTTTCACTTGTTTTCTCTGTAGTAAGTTTTCGTTTGGTTTAGTAACATAAGTGTACATCTGGTTCTGTGCAATTTTTTCTTTTTCTTTTTTTTCCGGTCATTTTATCCTTTCCGGTATATATAGTGGGGGAAAAATCCCGGGACGCCCTGGCTCCGGGATATTATTATATAGGGAAAAGGAATAAACTACATTTGTGTTGAATCTTTGTACAGGAGATGATCATTATGCCAAGCCTTCTTACAATATAATTCCCTTTTATGCTCACTATGAGCAAGTTGTGCTCTGGTGAGCATAAACAGGAATTGGGATCCCTATTCATCTGTTGTCCCTAATGTGTAATTTAGTTTCTCTTTAAATGATATATATGAAACCAAAGACTGCACATTAACCACACTACAGAAGTCCTCTTTCATAGTTGTTCATATTACACATAGGTCAAGGACACGTCTTATATAGAAACACATACGCACACCTTTATACCTTATTAATGCCCAAACCTTAAATATTTGGCATGTGGTATTGCCTTGTTAACCACTTTAACATTTTGTTCATGTATTTAAATCATATCCATTTGTTTAAAGTGTTTCTCATACCAAGATGAAGTGGACATAATTTTTATTAAAATGCTTAGGGAAAATATGTTTAAGTCTAATTGATATAAACTTCATTGCCTCCAGCTTTAATATTGAATATGTACCAATGCCTTGAGAACTTGTACAAATCAAATGTTAATTATGCCCCATGAATCTAAATTCGCCCACACCCAAAATAGTTCTTCAGTAATATATTCCTGTATAGGATGTGTGTCTGTCACTCATTCCAATACTAAATAACATATTACAACTTAACTTTGTATAAAAATACATCTTCATGAATTCTACCTATCTAACATTTTTTTGGTCAAGGTCAACAGGCCATATAGTCAATGTGCATAGACATAGGAACTTCCTTCTATCTGTTTACATGCATCTTCATATATACTCATATTCCTCTTTGTTAAACTGAGAGAACTGGCTTCCATAACTTTATATGTCACTTTTATTTTGATGTTCGCTGAAGTTTCTTCAGCTAACAGAACTGTCATTTTTACATTTAAACACACCCTGGAAAAAAATTACGAAGCGAGTCGCTACTAGCTTTTTTAAAAGCTAACCTTGTTATACAATACAGGTAGTTGACATATTCCGACATACATGACATTGTAGACATAGCGAAAGGCTTAATTTTCTGCGGTTTTTAAATCTGCGGTGCCGTTATAAACCGCAGAAATAGCAGAAATAAAGTCCCCGCAGAAAAAAGTACTTATACGGTACCTTCTTTTAAAAAACCCAAAGAGGTAGAGCTTAGATATTTGGCATGAAACATCTTCTAGTGAGTGTCTATCAAGTTTGTTCAAATAAAAGCCCTGGGGTCAAAATTGGCCCCGCCCCGGGGGTCATTGATTTTCCCTAAATGCATATAGTAAAAACTTAAAAAATCTTCTTTTAAAGAACCCAAAGAGCTAGAGCTAAGATATTTAGCATGAAACGTGTTCTAATGGGTGTCTACCAGGTTTGTTTAAATAAAAGCCCTGGGGTCAAAATTGGCCCCGCCCAAGGGGGTCATTGATTTTCCCTATATGCATATAGTAAAAACTTATAAAATCTTCTTTTAAAAAACCAAAAGAGGTAGAGCTAAGATATTTAGCATGAAACATCTTCAAGTGAGTGTCTATCAACTTTTTATACGCCCGTTTGAAAAACGGGACGTATTATGGGAACGCCCCTGGCGGGCGGGCGGGCGGCGTCCAATTTTGTCCGGAGCATATCTCCTACATGTATGGAGGGATTTTAATGAAATTCATATAGATGTTCACCACTATGAGGAGCAGTGTCGCGCACATGAACCAGGTCTCTAGGTCAAAGGTCAAGGTCACACTTAGAGCTCATTGAAAAATGCTTGTCCGGAGCAAAACTTCCACATGTATAGAGGGATTTCAATATTACTTGGCACAAATGTTCACCATTGTGAGGCGGAGTGTCGCGTGCAAGATTCAGGTCCTTGCGGCCAAGGTCAAGGTCACACATAGAGGTCAAAGTTCAGATAAAAATATGAAGATGTGTATATGGACCATTTAGTCATCATTTATTGAGGGATTGTAACACAAATGGTCATTATCAAGACTATGGCTGTGATACATATAATTTAGGTCAATATATACAAGGTCAAGGTCACTAAAGATGATGAAATATCCAGATTTTGTAAATAGAATTTAATCAAAGGGAGACAACAAAGTTATTACTTTGTTCATAAATGACTTACACAATTACTCCCCTTGATCTATTTTCACTTTCAATTCTAAAAATAGAATTTAATCAAAGGGCATGAAATAATCCTCTTTCTTGGACTTGAGTATGTTCTAAAGAATGTAACATTTATTTACACATGTTTCATTCATTGGTCAAGATTCTTAACTGTGATAACTATGGTGTTCTGTAGACTTGGTATTTGTTCACAAAGATCATACAGTAATTACCTTATCAAATGTAAATACTTTCTCATAGAAATTTAATTATATTTTAGTTTTCAAGTAAATATCAGTTCAGCTCATTCAAAGATTAAGAATTGTAATGAAATGTATTTCCCTAGAATAAAATCTAAAATCAGAATTTTTTAGTTATTAAATTACATGTACTTTTTATACGCCCGTTTAAAAAAAGATAAAAATATGAAGATGTGTATAGGGACGATTTAATCATCATTTATTGAGGGATTGTAACACAAATGGTCATTGTAATGACTACGGCTGTGACACATGTACTTTAGGTCAATATATGCAAGGTCAAGGTCACTAAAGATGGTGAAATATCCAGATTTTGTCTGGAGCATATCTCCTACATGTATGGAAGAATTTTTATAATACTTTATGGAAATGTTCACCACCATGATATGTATTGCTCCATGCATGATCCAGGTCTCCAGGTCAAAGGTCAAGGTCACACTTAGAGCTCATTGAAAAACGCTTGTCCGGAGCAAAACTTCTACATTCATAGGGGGTTTTCAATATAACTTGGCACAAATGTTCACCATTGTGAGGCTGAGTGTCGCATGCAAAATTCAGATCCCTGCGACCAAAGTCAAGGTTACACATAGAGGTCAAAGTTCAGATAAAAATTTGAAGATGGTTATAGGGACCATTTAGTCATCATTTATTGATGGATTGTAGCACAAATGGTAACTATCATACTACAGGTGTTACACATTTAATTTAGGTTAATATTTGCAAGGTCAAGGTCACTGGAGATGATTAAATATCCAGATGTTGTTCTGAGCATATTTTCTACATGCATGGAGGAATTTTAATGTTACTTTTATAGAATTGTTCACCACCATGAGACGTAGTGCCCTGCACATAAACCAAGTCTCTAGGTCAAAGGTGAAGGTCACAGTTAGAGCTCATAGAAAAACACTTGTCTGGAGCAAAACTTCTACATGCATAGAGGGATTTCAATATAATTTGGCACAAATGTTCATCATTGTGAGGCTGAGTGCCGTGCATAAAATTCAGGTCCCTGCGACCAAGGTCAAGGTCACACATTCTGTGCATATCTTCCCTATTGATTTGTTTTAAGGTTCATTTAACAACACAGTGCCAAGAATAAAAACTTGCTTGCTAGATAACACTTATCCATAATGCCCCCATCTCCATCTAAAGCTTTTTCGTAAACGGGTGTATTTTGTGACTATGGCACCCTTGTTTCAAATAAAAGCCCTGGGGTCAAAATTGGCCCCGCCACAGGGGGTCATTGATTTTCCCTATATGCATATAGTAAAAACTTAAAAATTCTTCTTTTAGAAAACCCTAAGAGCTAGAGCTAAGATATTTAGCATGAAACGTGTTCTAATGGGTGTCTACCAGGTTTGTTTAAATAAAAGCCCTGGGGTCAAAATTGGCCCCGCCCAAGGGGGTCATTGATTTTCCCTATATGCATATAGTAAAAACTTATAAAATCTTCTTTTAAAAAACCAAAAGAGGTAGAGCTAAGATATTTAGCATGAAACATCTTCAAGTGAGTGTCTATCAACTTTTTATACGCCCGTTTGAAAAACGGGACGTATTATGGGAACGCCCCTGGCGGGCGGGCGGGCTTGCGGCGTCCAATTTTGTCCGGAGCATATCTCCTACATGTATGGAGGGATTTTAATGAAACTTCATATAAATGTTCACCACTATGAGGAGCAGTGTCGCGCACATGAACCAGGTCTCTAGGTCAAAGGTCAAGGTCACACTTAGAGCTCATTGAAAAATGCTTGTCCGGAGCAAAACTTCCACATGTATAGAGGGATTTCAATATTACTTGGCACAAATGTTCACCATTGTGAGGCGGAGTGTCGCGTGCAAGATTCAGGTCCTTGCGGCCAAGGTCAAGGTCACACATAGAGGTCAAAGTTCAGATAAAAATATGAAGATGTGTATATGGACCATTTAGTCATCATTTATTGAGGGATTGTAACACAAATGGTCATTATCAAGACTATGGCTGTGATACATATAATTTAGGTCAATATATACAAGGTCAAGGTCACTAAAGATGATGAAATATCCAGATTTTGTAAATAGAATTTAATCAAAGGGAGACAACAAAGTTATTACTTTGTTCATAAATGACTTACACAATTACTCCCCTTGATCTATTTTCACTTTCAATTCTAAAAATAGAATTTAATCAAAGGGCATGAAATAATCCTCTTTCTTGGACTTGAGTATGTTCTAAAGAATGTAACATTTATTTACACATGTTTCATTCATTGGTCAAGATTCTTAACTGTGATAACTATGGTGTTCTGTAGACTTGGTATTTGTTCATAAAGATCATACAGTAATTACCTTATCAAATGTAAATACTTTCTCATAGAAATTTAATTATATTTTAATTTTCAAGTAAATATCAGTTCAGCTCATTCAAAGATTAAGAATTGTAATGAAATGTATTTCCCTAGAATAAAATCTAAAATCAGAATTTTTTAGTTATTAAATTACATGTACTTTTTATACGCCCGTTTAAAAAAAGATAAAAATATGAAGATGTGTATAGGGACGATTTAATCATCATTTATTGAGGGATTGTAACACAAATGGTCATTGTAATGACTACGGCTGTGACACATGTACTTTAGGTCAATATATGCAAGGTCAAGGTCACTAAAGATGGTGAAATATCCAGATTTTGTCTGGAGCATATCTCCTACATGTATGGAAGAATTTTTATAATACTTTATGGAAATGTTCACCACCATGATATGTATTGCTCCATGCATGATCCAGGTCTCCAGGTCAAAGGTCAAGGTCATCCTTAGAGCTCATTGAAAAACGCTTGTCCGGAGCAAAACTTCTACATTCATAGGGGGTTTTCAATATAACTTGGCACAAATGTTCACCATTGTGAGGCTGAGTGTCGCATGCAAAATTCAGATCCCTGCGACCAAAGTCAAGGTTACACATAGAGGTCAAAGTTCAGATAAAAATTTGAAGATGGTTATAGGGACCATTTAGTCATCATTTATTGATGGATTGTAGCACAAATGGTAACTATCATGACTACAGGTGTTACACATTTAATTTAGGTTAATATTTGCAAGGTCAAGGTCACTGGAGATGATTAAATATCCAGATGTTGTCCGGAGCATATTTTCTACATGCATGGAGGAATTTTAATGTTACTTTTATAGAATTGTTCACCACCATGAGACGTAGTGCCCTGCACATAAACCAAGTCTCTAGGTCAAAGGTGAAGGTCACAGTTAGAGCTCATAGAAAAACACTTGTCTGGAGCAAAACTTCTACATGCATAGAGGGATTTCAATATAATTTGGCACAAATGTTCATCATTGTGAGGCTGAGTGCCGTGCATAAAATTCAGGTCCCTGCGACCAAGGTCAAGGTCACACATTCTGTGCATATCTTCCCTATTGATTTGTTTTAAGGTTCATTTAACAACACAGTGCCAAGAATAAAAACTTGCTTGCTAGATAACACTTATCCATAATGCCCCCATCTCCATCTAAAGCTTTTTCGTAAACGGGCGTATTTTGTGACTATGGCACCCTTGTAAAATAAAAGCCCTGGGGTCAAAATTGGCCCCGCCACAGGGGGTCATTGATTTTCCCTATATGCATATAGTAAAAACTTAAAAAAACTTCTTTTAGAGAACCCAAAGAGCTAGAGCTAAGATACTTAGCATGAAAGATGTTCTAATAGGTGTCTACCAAATTTGTTCAAATAAGAGCCCTGGGGTTAAAATTGGCCCTGTCCCGGGGGTCATTGATTTTCCTTATATGTGTATTGCAAGAACTTTTTAAAAGATCTTTTTTGAAAAAACCAAAATAGCTAGAGTTTAGATATTAAGCATGAAACATCTTCCAATTAGTGTCTCAAAAGTTTGTTCAAATTAAAGCCCTGGGGTCAAAATTGGCCCTGCCCCGGGGGACATTAATTTTCCTTATATATGTGTATAGCAAAAACTTAAAAATCTTCTTTGAATAAAAACAAATAGCTAGAGTTTAGATATTAAGCATGAAACATCTTCTAGTGAGTGTCTTCAAAGTTTGTTCAAATAAAAGCCCTGGGGTCAAAACTGGCCCTGCCCTAGGGATGTCATTGCTTTTAACTATATGTGTATAGTAAAAACTTAAAAAATCTTTTTTTAAAAAACTCAACGAGCTAGACCTTAGATGTTTAGCACGAAACATCTTCTAATGGGTGTCTACCAATTTTGTTGAAATAAAAGCCCTGGGGTTTAAACTGGCCCCGCTCTGTTGGCCTATATACAGGTGAGCGACTTCAGGGCCATCATGGCCCTCTTGTTTCTAGCCATGACACCCCTATATTTCACTATTTAAATTTTATATCATGATAGTCTATGTTACTCTTAATATATATTTTCAGTATGAAAAAGTTGAAATTTGAGTTTTTTTACATGCAAATATGGATTATGGATTATTAGTAATTAAAGAGTTATATTTAAATGACAATAATCAATTAATTTTATAGAATATTATTGATTTATCAGCATTGTATATTGGAATATTTGTAGGCAGGTACAGTCTGGGCTAATTGCTGGCTTGTAAGAGATCTGAACATGCCGTTTGGTGGGATGAAAGAGTCAGGATCTGGTAGGGAAAGTGCTAAAGAATCTCTCGAATTCTTCACTGAAGAGAAAACTATTTGTGTCAAACTTTAAACATATTATACCAACAGGGCAGTAACAGTATTACTTATAACAATTGGAAGTTAAAGAAATGTGACAGTGTTTTAAGAATCTTGCCATTTTTTAATCAAAACAATGTTATAACTGTGATAATTAAAAATAAGATTACATTGTGATTTGATAACAGTTTTGTCTGATACTTTCATTACAGTAAATATGTTAGTGGAAGATTGGATAATCATCATATATTAGGAGTGCTTAAATATCATTGCTTGTTATATATACAATGTAGGGAGTGCTTTTGTATTGGACGGATCCTGATATACATATTTGCACAAGTTATATATTGGTTGTGTTTGTGATATATTTGAACTTGTCGTATATTTCTACCTTTATACATTTGGGTATTTGAAACATTGTATTGGATCATTTTATATTGATTCATATAGTGATATTGAGTTGTATATAGTGATATTACCTGTCATATATTGATAGTATACAGTTATTTTAAGGCTGTTAGTGAGACAGTCAAGACTGTTGCCCCGAGGTGTCAGGGATGACATTTGGAACTTTTGCCAGAAGTCAAAGGCCAAGGGGAACAGTTTCAAATGTCATCCGTGACACTGAGGGACAATAGTGTTGACTGTTCCACTAACAGCCATGAAATAATTGTTTTATTACCTAATGCTTTGCAATGAAACTATAATATATATTCCAACAACATACTGATAACATATTCACAACTGTTTTAACTGTAAACACTGACGTTTGACATTACCGTACATTGAGATTTTTAAAGCCACATTTTATTTCCAAATACTGGCAGACAGCTTTAACGGAAATACCTGAAGAGGTCGATCTAGGTGTAACAGTTAAAATGTTGACCTTTCAATAGTTCCTTTCATCACTGCGCATGTACAGGATTTTAGTGGTTCAATTAAACAGTTGTTAATAAGGAATTTGTATTTATAGAAGGCATTAGGTACTAATGCCTGTTATATTTTAATAGTTCCTGTTAAATATTGGTTGTACTAGTCATTAAATGGTCAGGGAAAAATTTTTTTTTTCAAGAAGGAGTTATGAAATTTGTCGGGGAAAGGTCGGGAAATTTCAAAAGCACAGGTCTATCATGATGAAAAAACAAAAATAAAGCAAAATTATAGTAAACCATTCCAATTGAAATTTGAAAAGTCAAAATAACTAAATTTTGCCATTATTGTTTTCAAGTCTATATTCTACTTTGTAGTCAATACCTCAAGTGATCCATGGAAATTTCTACCTTTATCCATCCTAATTGTTTTCAAAATGGCCGCCATATGGTCTATGTCCTTGTGTCATACAGCAGAAGATACCTATACGTTATACCTTATGACAATTTTTGTACCATAAGTTTCATGTTTTGTTTTCTTTCTTGCTTCAAAACGTTAAGTACCGTGAACTAAGAGGAGCACAGTATAATTTCTGCTCAACTTAAACATCAGCATTATGTATATATGTTTAGCTAGTATCATAAAGTAATATTGATAATGATAGTAATTATTTTATGCTTTTGAGTGGATTACTGGTTTATCTGTGAAACTAATATTTGATAATTTCACAGTGAAAATTAACAAAATATAATTTCACACTTTTCAATGAAGAGACTATTTGTTAAAGATTTTCCCTATGTGGTATCTCAATTTAATTTTTTCTTACAATTCAGACATTCAATTTACCAAACACCAAATATCATCTCTAATTTTTCATTTCATTTTAACAGTCTGAAAAATACACATCCTCCCACATGCTAAACTGATTTTGATGACATTTGGGAATATTTAAGTATCCTACAAGCAATAACTGTATTGCAGTGTCTTAATGCAATGATGCATGTAGTCACCATCCAGTAGTGTAACAACCCAGCATTCATAAGACAGCCTTTAAAAAAATGCCATGTTTTCCAAATTTCTAGTAGCTTCTAGAATGTTTACTCTTCTGTCAACTCAACAATTATTCATTGTCTGTAATAATCCTCAAATACGTTTTCTTTCTTATGAATGTATGTAGAAATAACAAATCAAATGAAATCCCTCTGAATCAAACACATTTTATATTTTCCTCCTGTGAAAAACACAACTTTAAAAATGGCGGTCTCTTACACTTCAAAGGACAGTCTAATAAAAACTTCAGTGAAAAGAAACAGAAATAAGCTCGGCATCGTATTCCTCAAAATGAACATAATATTAGCCTTTTAAAGGGATTCTAAACTTTTTGATATACAGAAGCCTTGTTCATGTATATCGTTATATTCTAAGGTGTATCAATTTTGTTTTTACAAGTACAATGTATACTTATGAAGAGATGAAAATTATAACATGCATTTTTGTCTGTTTTTGTCATGCATTTACTTAAAAGCACAACATACACGGGTATGGATATTTTTGTAGATAAATGATTTTGTAGATGAATGATTTTAGAAAAAGAAAATAGAAAAATTAAAGAATTGAGTTAAAACTTCTAAGAGTAATTCAGTGACAACACTGGTTGATTTGTATGTGAGAAGAAGGCCAACAGATGTTAAACAGTATGTGCAAAATGCAAAAAATAGATACTAAAACTGCAGACACCATGTTAATACATTTATATTGGTGTGTTATTATATAATGGCTGTGACAGCCATATGTCATATAATGGTGCCCGTCATATAATGGTGCCTGTCATATAATGGTGCCCGTCATATAATGGTGCCTGTCATATTATGGTGATAGTCATATTAAGGTGCCTGTCATATAATGGTGCCCGTCATTTAATGGTGCCGTCATATAATGGTGCCTGTCATATACAGGTGTCAGTCATATAATGGTGCCTGTCATATAATGGTGCCTGTCATATAATGGTGCCCGTCATATAATGGTGCCTGTCATATAATGGTGCCCGTCATATAATGGTGCCTGTCATATTATGGTGCCCATCATATAATGGTGCCTGTCATATTATGGTGCCTGTCATATAATGGTGCCTGTCATATACTGGTGCCCATCATATAATGGTGCCTGTCATATAATGGTGCCCATCATATAATGGTGCCTGTCATATTATGGTGCCCGTCATATAATGGTGCCTGTCATATAATGGTGCCTGTCATATAATGGTGCCCATCATATAATGGTGCCTGTCATATTATGGTGCCCGTCATATAATGGTGCCTGTCATATTATGGTGCCCATCATATAATGGTGCCTATCATATAATCAATGGTGCCTGTCATATACTGGTGTCAGTCATATAATGGTGCCTGTCATATAATGGTACCTATCATATAATGGTGCCTGTCATATAATGGTGCCTGTCATATAATGGTACCTATCATATAATGGTGCCAGTCATATAATGGTGCCTGTCATATAATGGTGCCTGTCATATAATGGTACCCATCATATAATGGTGCCTGTCATATAATGGTGCCTGTCATTTAATGGTGCCCCGTCATATAATGGTGCCCCGTCATATAATGGTGCCCTTTATTCATATAATGGTGCCCGTCATATAATGGTGCCTATCATATAATCAATGATGCCTGTCATGTAATGGTGCCCGTCACGTAATGATGCCCGTCATATAATGGTGCCCCTTCATATTATGGTGCCCGTCGTAAAATGGTGCCCATTATTCATATAATGGTGCCCTTCATATAATGGTGCCCGTCATATAATAGTGCCTGTCATATTATGGTGCCCGTCGTATAATGGTGCCTGTCATATAATGGTGCCTGTCATATAATGGTGCATTTAGGGTTTGTTTTTGTGTTTACATTCCAGTTAGTTTAAACAACATTACATGTAAAACTTGTTATGTGTTGTGATTTAAAAGTAGACTAATAAAATGTTGTCATCGGTATATAGAACATTATCCTTGGTGCTGGCTAGATGTATATATAATATTATAAAAGATTGTTTATGTTGTTGTGTTCTATAAAATGCCATCATAATAACATATACAGGTACTTACATTGTGCCTCAAAATGTTTGCTTCTTTAGAAGGGTTCAAACTGGTTTTGATAACGTTTAAATAATGGTTTTAGAGCATTTAAGATGCTTATTTCCTGAAGATAGAAGCAATGACCTATGAAAAAAATTTGGTCTTAAAAGTAGCAAAATGAAAACAAAGTAGTATTTTGACAAATTAGTAAATCACCATAATGCAATAGAGGTAGAAGATGGTTCAGATGACTGGCCAATAAGTAACTTTTTTTAAAAGATAATATATCAAACATAAAACACTTTTGAGAAATAAAAATGATTGGGTTTCTGAGGAATAAAGGGCCTTTAATCAGTGTGTACATTAATATTACTTAGAATAACATGTATGTTGAAACTTTTCAGTATTAGAAGTATTGGCATTATTATTTTATTTAGTTGACTTTGTCATTGAAATCAATCAATCAAGGTTGTTAATTGTAATAATAAAGGCAGCTGCATGATCATTTACAAATACTAGTATTATGAGCATTTTTGTGTGTTAATGGTGTCAAATATTTTCTATTTTTATTGAATATCATTCTGAATTTCATGACAAGTTTGGTATTTTTCTAGTACATCATCATGTATATAAATAAATTGTCTAGGTATTTTATTTTGACTATATTCAGTTATAATCAGTTGTTAGTTTGATATTTTCAGGGTAAAAGATTCATCTTATATGATTGTTGTTATAAAGAGATTATATAAAACTACTTATTTGTGTATAGTTGTTCTTTTCTTACTGTAGCAATAATCTTACAGTAAATAAAACCAGAGACATAGATAATGTGGGCTGTCGCAACAAGGTTTGAATCTCATCTCTCACAGAATTATCTATAATTTGACAATTATTTTAAAGACCTTGTATGGTTGTGAGTTATGGTCCTCATCGTCTCCAACAGATATACTACATCTTGAGCAATTTCATCGTTTTTGTGTGAAATATATGCACTCCTTAATAATTAGAACGTCAACATAATAGCAGTATTTATGACATTGTCTACTAACTTTTAATTAATACATTCCCTAAGATAAGAAATATATGTAGATCATCATTGCAAGTTGATAATAAATTATAGAAGTTTTCTACACTAGTTCCAGAATTATACCAGCTAAATAGATAATATAAATTTCTAATATCAGTATATTTACAACAATTGAAAAATGCATGATATTCACAGTCTATACATCTAATGTTCCTTTTTTAGCAAGAAGTACATAAACGATCATTGTATGAAATATTTAAATGTCTGCCTACCTCTATGTATAATTATGGTTTGAACAATGCAATTTTACGTTTTAAAGGCATATCAATAGACAAATATCGTTCAACATTAAGTAAACTCTTAAAATGATTATTATGATGACAACGACTTGAGTTATTTATATTATCATGCCAGTTCTGAGTAGAACAATCTGTTGTACTATCAAACTGTAAACAAAATATATTCTACCCTATAATGCATTGTTGTTGTTTTTAAAGGCACATTATGCCTCAGAAATGAATAATTTTTCCCAACTTTAGAAAGAGCAAACATGAGTTTTAAGTGTCGCCGTGAAAATGCTGATAGTAATGCTCTAGCTACTTGGAAACGTAATTAGATTGTATCATGTATAATGAACCTTGTCACATTACATGTGTGTAATGATAAGAAATATATATTTGAAGTAGATACCTTAAAAAGTAAAGAAGTTATGATATTTCTTAAAGAAAATCCTAAGTTCAAAGAGAGATAAATCTGTAAATATTGCTTCAAGAGTTATGAACCTTGTCACATAAAATGTAATTGATGATAAGGAATAAGTATTTAAAGTTTGAGGTAACCAAAAAAAGTTATAGTAAAAAATAACATTTTTCAAGTAAAAAAAATCTAAGTTTATGGGGAGATAATTCTTGCAATATTGGTGCTAGAGTTATGAACCTTGTCACATAACATGTTGTTAATAATAAGGTACATATATTTGAAGTATGAAGTTGATCCCTTAAGAAATAAATGAGTAACAGTAAAAAATAGTATTTTTAAGGAAAATTCTAAGTTCAAGGGGAGATAAATCTGAAAATATTGGTGCTAGAGTTATAAACCTTGTAAATTAAGATGTGGTTGATGATAAGGAACATGTATTTGAAGTTTGTAGTTGATACCTTAAGAAATGACAAAGTTATAGTGAAAAATATTTTACTGCACCAAAACTTTAATCTGGACGCGGACGCCGGGGCGAGTAGGACAGCTCTCCATATACTTCGTATAGTCAAGCTAAAAAACTGTTAAAAATGCAGTTTATGAACTTTTGGTGGCCGGATCTAAGTCATTGCTGTTACCGATACTCAGTAAGATAGACCTTCTATTCTTAAAATTATCAAGCTAAGAAATATGGTATAATGAAGGCATAGTAATAACAAATGCAAGTTTATGTAAAGTATATTTGATTGTTCTACATTGGAGAGAAAGATTATGTAAATAATTTTAACATAAGTAAATATTATGTACTGTAAAAATAACTTGAAAAAAGTAAACTTAGTAAGAGACAAAAGTCAATATTACCCTGTCTACGCTAATAAATATTGTCATTGTATACAAAAATAAAACAATTCAATCTCATAATACATTTCTAAATAACAAGAGCGCCCTATTGACCCAAATCGCTCACATAAGCTATGTTGCTATTAACATGTTATAATTTCTTTCATACAAAAGTACAAGCCAAATATCTAAAAATTGGCCATGTAGTTTCTGACAAAATTCAATTTTTTGCGTAACTCTATGTAAACTAAGTGGGCTAATTTTCACCACAGGGGAATGATTATGTAACTTTTGTAGAAAACCCTACCATATATCTAAGGTTTTTAACAACAACATTTCAATTTGAAAGTTTATTCTTAGATTCTATGACCTACATGTACATTGTACCAAACTCCTAGCATTTATATAATTATCATGCAGGACCAAGAGGAGATCATTCCTGTGAAGTTTGGTCAAAATCCACTTTGTAGTTAGCTGGTGTTTCAAGACATGGTGAATAAAAACAGACATTATGCAATCACAAAAACTCCCTTTTGAGCATTGAGTGTTCAGGCAAATTAAAACAACCAGCTGTAACAGCATAAAATCATATAAATCAATTGTATAAAATGACTTTTTTAGTGCTAAAATGACTATAAAATCAAAAGTTAAAAAAGTTACAAAAGTTATCAGAAGTTAAAAAGGTCAAGAACAGTATGTAAAATCAAAATTCTAACACTCACGTGAATTTGTCACTTTAGACAAAGAAGGAAAAAAACCGGTGTTAAACTGTCAATAAACACTGGTTAGGGACTACTTGTATATGCGGCTGTATGTTTTCACCCTCGATTATATAGTTTAAAAAGCCTTTTAAATCAACAATAAAAAGTATTTTTATTAATATTTTCAGTTCTTATAATGTTTTCATTTCATACAATACCGAAATAATATCTCACATACACTAATGCCACATATTTGATTCATATCAGTTAATAAATATTTTAACAAAACAGCGCCAATCCATAAGCAGCGTAATGACGTCATTCTAAGTAAACAACTCATTTATAAACAAGCTGACGTTATTTCATACATACAAGAAAGATAAATGGGGCACTGGTGTAAACACAATACGACGTAAGTTTTTATTGTTGAAAACTTGATAAAATAATGTTTTTTTCTTATTATTTCTTTTCTTTAATAATTTCTATATCTTCGCAACAGTAGGGTGCGAAAATTGAACAGTGTTATACAAAAATCGGCACCGGAAGTTATTTCCGCTTGAAAAAATAACATTAGTGATCTCCCTTATTTTATCGTGTTAGAATCGAAATAACATCGACCTGAGAGGTGTATATCGGCTATTTAACACCGGTTTTGTCGTTTTGATGCAAAAAAATTAACCACTCAGGCCTACTGCCTCGTGGTCAATTCCTATGCATCAAAACTCCAAACTGGTGTTAAAAAGCCGATATACACCTCTCAGGCCAATGTTATTTCTTAATTAAGGCCCCCAACCCACGGTTACAAGTTTAAACGGATCAGTTCCGATTTTCATTTGTAAAGTCGTTTACGAAATTTTTTACCCTTTAATCAAAATGACAATATTGTCTTACAAAAAATATTAATCATTGCCCGTTATCATGGATTTTATCAATTCATATTGGTTGATTCCAAAGTAAAAAACTGAAAATGGGTGGTTACAACCCTCCACACAGCATCATTATCGCTCATGACATAATACATTCTTGGTAAAGTTGATTTACCGTACCTTTGATGCTCAAAAGAGCGAAATGGGGATACAATGCAGAAAATTTGTTCCGACTCAATCCTGATGAGCCCTGAAAACTATTTATTTGTAATTATATTAAAAATAAAAAGTAAGTCATCATTTGGCTGCTTGAATACATGGTAGTATAGTATATAGAAGTATCGCCGTTTAAACGGTATCGTTTCGGTTCTTAACAATCGTGTAAATGTTTCAAAAAAATTGTTAACGTGAGAGCCTTAATCATAATATGTAAAAACAAGAGCCGGTTGAAGCGGGTGATGCTCCCCAACTAGGTTTTGGACACAGAAAAGTATATCTTTTGTAGTTTCAGAGTTATGTCCCAGACAAAGTTCAAAGTGTGATAATTCAAAACTTAGGCAGGGCAGAGTTACTGTTCTTTGCACTGCACTTCTACTCAATGAGATCTATCTACCAACTTGCGCGTGACACATCGTCTCAATATGGTGATCATTTCTGTGAAATCGTTGTAAAATCCGACTTCAAATAAAGTTATGGGCCAGACACGATTTTGCTGCAAGGTCATGCTGTGACCTTGACCTTCAAAGTAGCGACCAAAATGTTGCGCGTGACACATTGTCTCAATATGGTGATCATTTCTGAGAAATAGTTGTAAAATCTGACTTCAAATAACGAAGTTATAGGCCGGACACGATTTTGCTGCAAGGTCATGCTGTGACCTTTTGACCTTCAAGGTAGCGACCAAAATGTTGCCCGCGACACATCTCAATATGGTGATCATTTCTTTGAAATAGTTGTAAAATCTGACTTCAAATAACAAAGTTATAGGCCGGACACGATTTTGCTGCAAAGTCATGCTGTGACCTTGACCTTCAAGGTAGCGACCCAAATGTTGCGCCTGATACGTCGTCTCAATATGGTGATTATTTCTGTGAAATAGTTGTAAAATCTGACTTCAAATAACGAAGTTATGGGCTGGACACGATTTTGCTGCAAGGTCATGCTGTGACCTTTTGACCTTGACCTTCAAGGTAGCGACCCAAATGTTGCATGCGACACTTTGTCTCGATATGGTGATCATTTCTTTGAAATAGTTGTGAAATCTGACTTCAAATAACGAAGTTATGGACTAGACACGATTTTGCTGCAAGGTCATGCAGTGACCTTGACCTTCAAGGTAGCAACCCAAATGTTGTGCCTGACACTTCGTCGCAGTATGGTGATTATTTCTGTGAAATAGTTGTAAAATACGATTTCAAATAACAAAGTTATGGGCCGGACACGAATTCAGGACGGACTGACGGACTACTCACAAAATGGTACTTATGTGACTTTTCTTTTGATCTTTTTGGCCATTTTTAGTCACACAAGGCTGAAAAAAGACACACAAGTAAAAACATAATGAATAGGATCAAAGATAATTTACTGTTACCCATTGTTCTCCAAGTCACACAAGTACCTCTGGGTTTGTATGGACGGACGGACAACCCGACAACTATATGATCCCCCGAAATTGGGGAGCATAACAAGTACAAATTAAAATAGTAATGCTTTCTTCAGATGTTTTTTTTTGAGATGTAAAAATAGTACTTAAAAACAAGTTTTAACAAATCTGTTATGCTCCTAAAATTGTTAAAGTAGCCACAATACTTATCACAATCAATTGTAAATGACAAAAAATACATATACAAACATATCACAGACAGTTTTATTTGTATCTAAATTAAAACTTCTAAAAATACAAATATATTCCCCTGCATAATATTTTGATTATAATATGATTTCTAGACAATAAAGCTCATTAACCATTGAAATTGCATGCTTCTGTAAAGGTTATACACAAGTGATTCACCATACACAAATTCTTCACAGTATAACATCCTACACAATTAGCCATTAGCCACAATGGAACATCCCACAAAAGTTCTACACAATGGAACATCCCACACAAATTCTACACAGTGGACATTGGAACATCCCATACAAATAATTCACAGTGGAACATACCACAAAAAATTCTCACAGTGGAACATCGCACAAAAAATTCTCACAATGGTACATACATGTACCACACAAATTCTTAATAATGGAACATCTAATACAAATTCTACACAGTGGAACATACCACAACAATTCTCACAGTGGAACATCCCACAAAAAAATTCTCACAGTGGTCCATACCACACTAATTCTTAACAATGGAACATCCCACACAAATTCTTCACAGTGGAACATACAACAAACAATTCTCACAGTGGAACATCCCACAAAAAAATTCTAACAGTGGTCCATACCACACTAATTCTTCACAGTGGAACATACCATACAAATTCTTAACAATGGAACATCCCACACAAATTCTTTACAGTGGAACATCCCACACAAATTCTTCACAGTGGAACATCCCACACAAATTCTTAACAATGGAACATACCATACAAATTCTTTACAGTGGAACATACCATACAAATTCTTTACAGTGGAACATCCCACACAAAAGCTTCACTTCACTAATAAATCTGCTGATGGAACTTATATTCTATACATAAATCACTCATTTAAATATTCAATAGCTACTATAACACAATGGAATGTGTACAATACTCTACTAAAATAAGCATACAGAAGTATTTGCAACAGCTTAAACCGCCAGAAAGATTTTGTCCATCAATTAGATATTATAACATCTTATTCAAATAAGAAAATGCAATAGTAGTAATTGATAGACTTGCACTATTTCAAAACGTTCATATAACAAAGGGATCAGTGAGTCCAAAAAGCTTGTGTTGTTTGTTGAATGACCTCCTCTACTGGTGTTATCTGACTCTGAGATGACATCCAGGACAATGCTTTAGTTTCTATCATCTGCCATTCATCTTGCCTGTGTGGGTACATCTCCATTAGCCATCCTAGTACAATAGCTGTACATACAACACTTAAATCCTGAAGAAAAAAACCCACCACAACATAAAAACGTCAGAACAGTAACTGAATATTGATAGGCTCTCATATGAATGCTGGCAGTGACAATGATAATTTGCCAGTAAAACCAGTACTGAACCTGGCTAGTTTGTTCATTAATGCATACAGTAAGTGATAATTTAACATATTTCAGTTGCAGTGAATATCTTTTGATGTTTATTTAAAAAAAAAAGAAAATACTGTTAGTATAAACAAGAGCTCTTGACAATTCTTAGTGAAGAGCCTGGATAATGCAAAGTTTACAAAGTTCAAAAAGGGCCATAATTCTGTCAATATCCATGTCAGAGTTATGGCCCTTGGTCACAGATCTCCTATTATGCTCTCAATAATTGTGTGAAGTTTTAACCAATTTCCTTCAATACTTTAGGAGAAATCAACTTGCATGCAAAATCTTAAACAAAAATGTGACTGTGACACCAACATGTACACCTTTGTGTGTACAATAGCTCTTCTCTATATGCTGTGAACAGTTGAGCCAAAAACTAACATTGTTAAACATAAACAAGAGGGCCATGATGGCCCAAAGTCGCTCACCTGTATATAGGCCCCTGGAGCGGGGCCAGTTTAAACCCCAGGGCTTTTATTTGAACAAACTTGGTTGTATATGTATGCATGCATATATATATATATAATATATATATATATATATATATATATATATATATATATATATATATATATATATATATGTGTATATATATATATATATATATATATATATATATATATATATATATATATATATATATATATATATATATAAATATTAAATATATATGTGTATATATATAATATGTATATATCTAAAAATATATATATAAATATAAATATATATGTGTATATATATAATATGTATATATCTAAAAAAAAAAAAGTCAAGCTAATGAATGACCCCCGGGGCAGGGCCAATTTTGACCCCAGGGCTTTTTATTGAACAAACTTGGTAGACACCCATGAGAACATGTTTCATGCTAAATATCTTAGCTCTAGCTCTTTGAGTTCTTTAAAAGAAGATTTTTTAAGTTTTTACTATATGCACATAGGGAAAATCAATGACCCCCGGGGCGGGGCCAATTTTGACCCTAGGGCTTTTATTTGAACAAACTTTGTAGACACTCATTAGAAGATGTTTCATGCTAAATATCTTAGCTCTAGCTCTTTGGGTTCTTTAAAAGAAGATTTTTTAAGTTTTAACTATATGCATATAGGGAAAATCAAAGACACCCTGGGGCGGGGCCAATTTTGACCCTAGGGCTTTTATTTGAACAAACTTGGTAGACACTCACTAGAAGATGTTTCATGCTTTATATCTAAACACTAGCTATCTGGGTTTTTTCAAAGAAGATTTTTAAGTTTTTAAGCTATACACAGTCATATAAGGAAAATCAATGACCCCCGGGGCGGGGCCAATTTTGACCCCAGGGCTTTGATTTGAACAAACTTTGTAGACACTCACTAGAAGATGTTTCATGCTTAATAGCTAAACTCCAGCTATTTGGGTTTTTTTAAAGAAGATTTTTTAAGTTTTTGCTATACACATATAAGGAAAATCAATGACCCCCCGGGCGGAGCCAATTTTGACCCCAGGGCTTGTATTTGAACAAACTTGGTAGACACCCATTAGAACATGTTTAGCTCTAGCTCTTTGAGTTCTTTAAAAGAAGATTTTTTAAGTTTTTACTATATGCATATAGGGAAAATCAATGACCCCCTGGGGCGGGGCCAATTTTGACCCTAGGGCTTATATTTCAAAAAACTTGGTAGGCACTCATTAGAAGATGTTTCATGCCAAATATCTAAGCTCTAGCTCTTACGGTTTTTTAGAAGAAGATTTTTTAAGTTTTTCTTATTGGTTGCCATGGCAACCAGAGTTTTTAATGGAATTTAAATTTTTGAACAACTTTGAAAGGGGTCCACCTAAGGATCATTTCTGTAAAGTTTGGTTGCAATTGGCCGTGTAGTTTAGGAGGAGATGTTGTTTGAAAAGTTTGACGCCATTTTTTGAAGGACGTACGATGCACGACGGACGCAGAGTGATGACAAAAGCTCACCTTTGAGCACTTGGTGCTCAGGTGAGCTAAAAACTTACCTGGTTATCTGCCTTTAAAAATACATTCCAATTTTAATAGTGAACAAGTAATTCAAGTTTAAAACAAACCATTTGATAGTTTTTGACAAATGGACGTTACCAAAAAGGTTAACTTGTGGTGGAAATTTTAAGTTGAAAACCTGGCAGAATACCAAAAAGGTTAACTTGTGGTGGAAATTTTAAGTTGAAAACCTGGCAGAACTTTGCAAAACAATTGATAATCTATCCTTTGATAAAGGTTCACATTTTTCATCAAGAAAATGTTAAAGTTTGAAGTGCATGGCTTACACAGTTTCTGAGAAATGGACCTTCACAAAAAGGTTAACCAATGCCAGTTTTGACAAGAGGGTCAGTACATGTAGGTTCACTTTTTTTTCTTCTTAAATAAATGAATTACATAGACTGTTGCAACAAATACTTCAATTTCAACCCTACCTTAGAAATGTCCATTTTTTCCACATCCTCTTGTACAATACCAACTAGTTGTAAGAGCTCAGCAGATATTATCCACTGTCCTTGAAACTGCTGTAGAGATAACACTGTCATCATCTGATCATCTGAAGAACAAGTAATTTTTCTTTTTTAAATAATCCTACAAATATTGTACTATCAAAAGCATATATCAACAATGAATAAATAAACAAAAGCATGGACAAAAGTTTATTTGTGATCAATTTTATTTGTGAACAAAACTAACAAGATTTGAATAAGATATTTATGAAATCATTTGCCTTTGATTGTGAAAATAATTCATGGTTTAATTATTCAATGAAAGCTGTAAATCTGCATTAAATTTTCTAATAGGAAGTTGCTAAAAGAACTGACCTTTTTCAGCTTATGTTATAACAAGATATGTTTGTAAAACATGTATGCCCCCTATCGGCAGCCAATTTGTCATGTGATCAGGTTATTATGCATGACTTCTGACCCAGTGAACAAACAATCAATAAGGGTTATCTAATATCTACTGGTCATGACTAGTCACAAGATTATAATTATTGTGACCCCATAGGTTGTGTGCAGCAATTTAAGTTATTACAAATCTTACCAAATAATATATCCATAAATTTTATGAATCATGTAGGCCTCATTAATGACAGCCAAGTTGTTATATTACATCAAAATACACTTCAAATGTGTATACCAAAAGCATTTTTAGTTTAATATAAAAAAATCAACCAAGGCAACTTGAGTTGTTGAGTTATTGGTCAGAAACCATCATTAAGTACAAGGTCAATATGACATTGACCCATTGACCCTAAAATCGATAGGGGTCAATTACTGGTCATGACCAATCATCATACCAAGTTTGAAGTTCCTAGGCCTAAGCATTATTTAGTTATTGATCAAAAACCGTTTTTTACCTACAAGGTCAATGTGACCTTGACCTTTGACCCCAAAATCAATAGGGGTCATCTGCTGGTCATGACCAATCACGATACCAAGTTTGAAGTTCCTAGGCCTAAGCGTTCTTTAGTTATTGATCGGAAACCGTTTTTACCTTCAAGGTCAATGTGACCTTTACCTTTGACCCCTTTACCCCAAAATCAATAGGGGTTATCTGCTGGTCATGACCAATCATCATACCAACTTTGAAGTTTCTAGGCCTAAGCGTTCTTAAGTTATTGATTGGAAACCGTTTTCACCTACAAGGTCAATGTGACCTTGACCTTTGACCCCAAAATCAATAGGGGTCATCTGCTGGTCATGACCAATCATCATACCAAGTTTGAAGTTCCTAGGCCTAAGCATTCTTTAGTTATTGATCGGAAACCGTTTTACCTACAAGGTCAATGTGACCTTGACCTTTGACTTCTTGACCCCAAAATCAATAGGGGTCATCTGCTGGTCATGACCAATCACGATACCAAGTTTGAAGTTCCTAGGCCTAAGCGTTCTTTAGTTATTGATCGGAAACCGTTTTTACCTTCAAGGTCAATGTGACCTTTACCTTTGACTCCTTTACCCCAAAATCAATAGGGGTTATCTGCTGGTCATGACCAATCATCATACCAACTTTGAAGTTTCTAGGCCTAAGCGTTCTTAAGTTATTGATTGGAAACCGTTTTCACCTACAAGGTCAATGTGACCTTGACCTTTGACCCCAAAATCAATAGGGGTCATCTGCTGGTCATGACCAATCACCATACCAAGGTTGAAGTTCCTAGGCCTAAGCGTTCTTAAGTTATTGATCGGAAACCGGTTTTACCTACAAGGTCAATATGACCTTGACCTTTGACCCCTTGACCCCAAAATCAATAGGGGTCATCTGCTGGTCATGACCAATCACCATACCAAGGTTGAAGTTCCTAGGCCTAAGCATTCTTAAGTTATTGATCGGAAACCGTTTTTACCTACAAGGTCAATATGACCTTGACCTTTGACCCCTTGACCCCAAAATCAATAGGGGTCATCTGCTGGTCATGACCAATCACGATACCAAGTTTGAAGTTCCTAGGCCTAAGCGTTCTTTAGTTATTGATCGGAAACCGTTTTTACCTACAAGGTCAATGTGACCTTGACCTTTGACCCCTTTACCCCAAAATCAATAGGGGTTATCTGCTGGTCATGACCAATCATCATACCAACTTTGAAGTTTCTAGGCCTAAGCGTTCTTAAGTTATTGATTGGAAACCGTTTTCACCTACAAGGTCAATGTGACCTTGACCTTTGACCCCAAAATCAATAGGGGTCATCTGCTGGTCATGACCAATCACCATACCAAGGTTGAAGTTCCTAGGCCTAAGCGTTCTTAAGTTATTGATCGGAAACCGGTTTTACCTACAAGGTCAATATGACCTTGACCTTTGACCCCTTGACCCCAAAATCAATAGGGGTCATCTGCTGGTCATGACCAATCATCATACCAAGTTTGAAGTTCCTAAGCCTAAGCGTTCTTAAGTTATTGATCGGAAACCGTTTTTACCTACAAGGTCAATGTGACCTTGACCTTTGACCCCTTGACCCCAAAATCTATAGGGGTCATATGCTGGTCATGACCAATCACCATACCAAGTTTGAAGTTCCTAGACCTAAGCGTTCTTTAGTAATTGTTCGGAAACCGTTTTTACCTACAAGGTCAATGTGACCTTGACCTTTGACCCCTTGACCCTAAAATCAATAGGGGTCATCTGCTGGTCATGACCAATCACCATACCAAGTTTGAAGTTCCTAGGCCTAATCGTTCTTTAGTAATTGATCGGAACTGTTTTTACCTACAAGGTTAATGTGACATTGACCTTTGACCCCTTGACCCCCAAAATCAAGAGGGGTCATCTGCTGGTCATGACCAATCACCATGACAAGTTTGAAGTTCCTAGGCCTAAGCGTTCTTTAGTTATTGATCGGAAACTGTTTTTACCTACAAGATCAATGTGACCTTGACCTTTGACCCCTTGACCCCACAATCATTAGGGGTCAACTGCTGGTCATGACCAATCACCATACTAAGTATGAAGTTCCTAGACCTAAGTGTTCTTTAGTTATTGATCGGAAACCGTTTTTACCTATAAGGTCAATGTGACCTTGACCTTTGACCCCTTGACCCCAAAATCAATAGGGGTCATCTGCTGGTCATGACCAATCACCATACCAAGTTTGAAGTTCCTAGGCCTAAGCGTTCTTTAGTTATTGATTGGAAACCGTTTTTACCTACAAGGTCAATGTGACCTTGACCTTTGACCCCTTGACCCCAAAATCAATAGGGGTCATCTGCTGGTCATGACCAATCACCATACTAAGTTTGAAGTTCCTAGACCTAAGCGTTCTTTAGTTATTGATCGGAAACCGTTTTTACCTACAAGGTCAATGTGACCTTGACCTTTGACCCCTTGACCCCCAAATCAATAGGGGTCATCTGCTGGTCATGACTAATCACCATACCAAGTTTGAAGTTTCTAGGCCTAAGGGTTCTTTAGTTATCACTCGGAAACCATTTGGTCTACGGACCGACAGACAGACAAATGCAAAGCAATATACCCCCCTCTTCTTTGAAGTGGGGGCATAACTATACACAATAGGGTATTACTTAAAAAAAATACATACTTAGGGTCATTGATATTGGATAGTAACCACAAAGACGTGTTAGCTACATGAGATATGAAGTTGCATTCAAAAGCTTAAGGGTTTTCTAACATAATGGGATTGGAAACATTTTTCCAAGATTTGTGTTCCATCTGATGTAGGTCTGAAACTTGTATGCAAATTTTCAAATCATTCCCTCACCTTGTTTTTTACCAGAATAATTATTTCAAGTGTGCAAAATGACCCCAAAGTACTCAAATCAGGCTTAGAATGGCACTTACAGTTGATTTTCAATATTTAATTCTGAGTATCCTTTGCAGATATTACCATGGTAAGTACTTCACTTGATCTATGTAAAACTTTCAAATTTTATGATTTTATACGTTTGACCTCAGTGGAGGTCCGTTAAGGAAATACTATACTAATGCCATGGTATTATTTCAACTTTTCTTCTAATAGCTAAGGTTCAACAAACAATGACTTAAAACTTCATAACTAGTTATCATCAAAAAAAATGAATAAACTTTCATTTTAAATTTTTAAACACTGAATTTTTTTTGTGAACCTAAAAAATGTAAACACTATAAAAACATACCATCCATTACAAGAACAGCCCCGCCAGAGTTATCTGATACACATGCTGTAAAAAAAAAGAGTCGTAATAATTTTTATTTACTGAACATATTTCAATGTTTTTATATCACCAATAAATTTGATGGTTTACTGGTGAAAAAAATACACCTTAAATGCCCCCATATAAACTATTTCAGGTATAAGATGGCACCTGTAATGCCTGAAATAATAATCTTCAATACAAGAGCTTCATGGCTTCTTTGTACAGTGTAACAACCAAAAGTAGTCAGAGACAAAAGTTCCTAAGTTAACCTCAAGTCATAAAAGCATCTTGATGTGTGTTTAACATTATATTATACATGTATCAAATTACAATGATATCAAATGATGATAATTTTTATTCTAATATTCAGAAAAGTATTGGAAAAGATGAAACTAAATTGCATCGCTGATTCTCAGTGTTTAAGTTTACATAAATTCATTATATAAATTTTGGCACTTGGTTGTAAGATAATCCAAGTTTGTTTGTTTTTTGTTTTTTTGTTATTTAACCAGATATGGAGGGGAAACCATTGTTATCAACTGGGTTGCCCTATTGGAAAAAAAAGCAACAGGAATTGTTAGCAAGAGGGCCATAATGGCCCTGAATCGCTCACCAGAAACAAGTGTTTTTCAGTGTTCGAATTAACTTTTCGAATGAACTTGCAAAAGGCAAGTCAAACTTAACTTTAACTTCCTCATCTAGTTATGTAGTTTCACAACACTGATTGTTTTTTTCTTTCTTCATAATAAACAAGAGGGCCAAGATAGCCTTAGATCACTCACCTTACCCATCATTTCATTGTTCAATATATAAATTGAAATACTTTGTCCTAATATTTTGGAAAGGCTTTGTTAAAATTATCGATTGCATTACACACTTGACATGTTCAGCTCCTCTTCATAATCCTTTACAAAGTAGTAGGTATTTATTATCTTCTTGTAATATATGGAAGGAATTAAATGCAGGTACAATGAACTTTTGCTATGTCATGTTGTTACTAAAATAAATTGTAGATATGTGTTTTACAGGAGAGAGTTTCATATAAGCTCCAAGCTTTCTACTCAATCCTGAATGAAATTTATATATTGTAATATTGTAATATTGTCTGTAAATATTGATGAAGAAATAAATATTGTTTAAACCAAAATTATTGTACCGAAAACAGAATTAAAATAGGTCAAACAATATCAAAGATATCAAAAGTAGGTCAGCTGATATCAAAATTCAATTCAACATCAGAAATTACACACCTGGTCCAAATTTCATGTCTGTATGTCATAAAACAAGAAAGTAGGTCAAATGGTTTCCAAAATATCAGTAACAGCTCAACTGATACCAAATTTAAATTATGCACAAGAAACATATTTCAGGTTCAACAGAGTGTCCAAAAATTTATTGAAATGTGCTTTCTCTAAGTTTGAACAAGTTTGAATCCAATTAAACAAAAAATGAAAAAATTACAACAATTTTTAACATAATCTAAAATAAAAAGTTGAGAATAAAAACCCATTTTTGTTAGTAAGGTACATGTAACAAATGTAATTTTTCCTTATTTCTTTAGGCCTAATTTTATTTCCGAGGAGAATTTTCTCCACTGAGTAAACTGACCTACAACTGACCCTACAGAAAGATTAATACTCTGATGCAATAATGTCAAAATTTTAGAGCTGAAAGTTATTTACACAAATGGAAGATGGTTTTTATTTGTTTGGGTCGTCAGACCAAACAAATAATGGTAGCGAAATTTCAGAGTCTGATGCTGTTAATTGCAAATGCCGAAAGTAGGCCGCTTTTTTGAAGCGGTTACTTCCCTTTATATGTACACTAACGCCGAAAAAATTCAGGGGAGATCACTGCGTAAGGATGGTCAAATGACAGGCGCATTAATTTTTAAGCAAAATTATTCCCGAATGGTCGAAGATTTCTAATATTGTTTTATCCTTTATAGATATACATGCTTATAATAAGCTCCATGATTATTAACATCTGTGTTAAACAACAGTAAGCGCAGAAATAATAAGGGTTACAAACCCTAATTTAGAATAATTTGGTTTTCTTCAGACCTTTTACAAATCCTTAAAAAGTGAAAAAGAAAATGTAAAAATAAGATTATTTCTCTAAATATTACATATGTGACATCCCCCCCACCCCAACCTACACATAAACAAGAGGGCCATGATGACCCTTAATCGCTCACCTAAGTAGATGGTTCAAAAGAACAAGATTGACCTCTCATTTGAAAGTTTTTTTTTTTAGCTCAGGCAGCAACCTTGATCAGCAGACCATAACCATTTAAGCAATTTTATTTTATAAAGGAATATCAAACCAACATTTATGTAAAGTTTTATCAAAATCGACCTCATAGTTAAAGTATAACGGTTTTTCCTATATTTAGCTCTGGCAGCCATTTTATTCTGCACACCGGTACAATTTTAGTAACTATGGTAATGGACTGCCAAATGATCATTTCTGTAGAGTTTTATCAAAATCTATGAGTACACATTTGGGGATAAAATGTCATATAACACTTTTTTATTTTTTGCTCTGACAACCATCTTGTTCAGCAGATAGGAATCATTTAATCAATTTTCATAGAAAACTATCGTAGGACTCATTCCTGTAGACTTTCATCAAAATTTACTTCATAATTAAGAAGTATTGGTAGATCTGGTGGAACTAGAACTGCCACTGTCATGGCGTGAATACCCCCACATACCACTTTGTCAGAATCAACAGTGGCCATTTAGAGCTCAAGGACAACTTCCCTGCCAAATCTGAGGTTACCAAGCCAGTGCATTGCTAAGTTATGTATTCTACATGCTTCAAATGTGAAAATGTCAAAATCAATACACTGCGGACAGGCGTTCTTAAGCAATTGAGGGGAAAAACTTATTTTTTTGTCAAGGTCCCTGTGACCTTTGACCAAGTGACCTCAAAATCAATAGGGGTCATCTACTAATCATGACTAACCTCCATGTTAAATATAAAGACTGTGGGTCAAAGGAATCTTAAGTTATTGGGCGGATAAGCTTTTTAAAGTCAAGGCCCCTGTGACCTTGACCTTTGACTCGGTGACCTCAAAATCAATAGGGCTCATCTACTAATCATGACTAACCTCCATGCCAAATATGAAGACTGTGGGTCAAAGGAATCTTAAGTTATTGGGCGGACAAGTTTTTTGAAGTCAAGGCCCCTGTGACCTTGACCTTAGACCTGGTGACCTCAAAATCAATAGTGGTCATCTACTAATCATGACTAACCTCCATGCCAAATATGAAGACTGTGGGTCAAAGGAATCTTAAGTTATTGGGCGGAGAAGCTTTTTGAAGTCAAGGCCCCTGTGACCTTGACCTTTGACCCGGTGACCTCAAAATCAATAGGGGTCATCTACTAATCATGACTAACCTCAATGCCAAATATGAAGACAGTGGGTCAAAGGAATCTTAAGTTATTGGGTGGACAAGCTTTTTGAAGCCAAGGCCCCTGTGGCCTTGACCTTTGACCCAGTGACCTCAAAATCAATAGGGGTCATCTACTAGTCATGACTAACCTCCATGCCAAATATGAAGACTGTGGGTCAAAGGAATCTTAAGTTATTGGGCCGACAAGAAAAAACCGACGAACAGCCGGACGGCCGGACTTCTGGACAGCCGGACGGCCGGCCGGACGGACAAGCTGATTCCAGTATACCCCCCTTACAACTTTGTTGTGCGGGGGTATAAAAAGATAAAGGGCCATGATTCCTCCAAATTAAATAAATATAAAAAATCCCAGTTTATATGTACCAGGGCACTTTGTGACAATAATTTTGTGAAAAATGGTTGAAATCCCTTCAGAAATTTTTTAGAAGTAGAGCGCAGGAGTATTTATTCATTTCATTTGTCAAAATGCAACAACAAATAGCCATAACTCTGCATAAAAGGATGAAGTAAAAAAAAACGTAATAAAATACCAAAAGTCGTGAAAATAGTTATTCGATGGTCTAGTTGAAATTCTTTGAGAAATTTAGAATAAGTTACGCACAGAATTTTTTTTTGAGTCTGCCTGCCAACATTCAATAATCTTATAACCAGTATTTTCTTTCAGAAAAGCTAGCTGGAAGAAACAAGAGGGCCACGATGGCCCTGAAATCGCTCAACTGAATATAAAACTCTCCATGACAAGGAACATATATTTGTACTATTGTAATCTATAAACAAAAGCAGATATAAAATCTAAATCTAAAACTGATATCACAAAGTTCATATTTGTATCTGAAATTCAGTGCATGTGTAAAAACATTACTGACTGCTATTGCTTAGGAAAAACAAGAGATGTGTACATATACACGGTGATAGGGCGATTACCACAACTTTTCCGCGCAACGTCAAAATATCATCCTTCTGACCGAGACACCGTATATTTCTGGACAAAATATTAATGGCGGGATAAACAAATTCCAGGTAATAGCTTACAAAATATCTTACTGCTGGACATTGCAAGATTATTCCAATTGTTTAAGTATTCCATCGAATTTTTGAGACAATTTATTGTTAATCTAGCACATTACAATTCACACAAAAACACATACTTCGAAGAAATAGTGTTTACAAAAGATCGTGTGTACCTCAACATGACTCGTACTTGTCACAAAAACATGTGTTATAACGACGATGTCTTTGTTCTGTGACCTAACGAGCTCGGATATTTATTATTGTTAACCCTAAGTTCAAGTTCCATACAAAATTGTGTGTTTCTATCGTAAATTTCAGGGAATATTTGTTGAAAAAAGGCCTACTGACCCGAATATTGGAGCACCGTACAACACTGAATTCAAACACCGCATTCTTTTTCCGTTAGACCGATAAATACTGGAACCGTCTTCTTTTGAATTATACAATAATCTTACAAATATGTTTTATAATAACTTTTATTTGATGAAAGTTTGATGAATTGTTTACTTGCTGTTATGTTATGTTGCTGTTATATCATACGTTATGTTATGGAACATTTCTGAAGGTGATCTGTGTAAAAATAATACTACCAGTTAGATAAGTGCAATGGTATCTATATATAGATAAGGATGTCTTTTCCTTTTCGAACTTATTCAAACTGATAAACCCCACATGGAAAGATTGAAGATCTTGGCAGACTATACCATCAAACAACATCGAGAAACAAAAGAAATGAACTATTTGTTAATGGGAATTTCTTATTGCATACTAATTTGATAAAGTTGCAAAAGTCATAACACAAATTTTCATGGTGTAGTTTTTGCAGGAACCCGGGCAATATTTCCATAATCTCTTCATCGTCTCCAATGTGCTTTTTTAAACAATCTTTTGCGAAAGTTTGACTTCATATTCTTTTTCTTATGTGGTGCGTTACGCATATCGTCCTGAAATATAGGGAGGCGCTGATCCATTGGCGTACTGCTAATATCAGAAGACTTAGTTGGGCGCTCTACAGTTGCTGCAGTATATGAAGCTTTGCCAATTTCGCACGTTGCTTTGGCTTGTTCAGACATAGGTTTGAACGTCTTCTTTTTCTGAAAGCAAACATTAATATCAAAAATCAACGGTGCTAAAAAGACAAAAAAATGCGGTGATTTTAAGGAGGAATAATGCGGTGCCCTAATCTTATGATTGACAAAGTTGTGCGGTGCCTTAAAATACACACGTGGAAACATGAAAATCATACCAAATATACAAAAAACGGGTTATTTATGTATTGTAACTTGTTCATACGACAATTATGTACATATTTATATTGTATTTTGACCAGTTATATGAACTGAACGGACTAGAAATACATTATATTTCGTAATCAAAGCAAGATTTTTTTCAGTATGCCCTAAATGTTTTCACTATCCTGACTTAATTAATGAAGCATTTTGCATGTAGTAAAGATAAATAAGTTTCAAATTAAATGGCACATTCGATGAAAAAGAAAAAATGATGAATTTACCTTGTCTTGAGCAAATTATATGCTGTTTTCGTCTCGGTTACAGGCTTGCTGTCCATTTTGTACCACAGAAATATACGGTGTCTCGGACAGAAGTAAGATATTTTGACGTTGCGCGGAAAAGTTGTGGTAATCGCCCTATCACCGTGATATAAGAAAAATCAATGACCCCCTTGGGAGGTGCCAATTTTGACCCCAAGGGATTCAATTTGAACAAACTTGGTAGACACTCATAAGAAAATTTTTCATGCTTAATATCTAACCTATAGCTCTTCAGGTTTTATTAAAAGAAGATCTTTTAAGTTTTTACAATGTACATATAAGGAAAATCAATGACCCCCTGGGGTGCGGCCAACAAATTTTAATCTTAGGGTTTTTATTTGAACAAATTTTGTAGACACCCATTAGAAGATGTTCCATGCTTAATATCTAAGCTCTAACTCTTTTTCTTTTTTTTAAAAGAAGATTTTTTTGTTTTTTACTATATACAAATAAGGAAAATCATTTGACCCCAGGGCTTTTATTGACCCAGGGCTTTTATTTGAACTAACATGGTAGACACTCACAAGAAGATGTTTCATGCTTAATATCTAAGCTCTAGCTCTTTAGGTTTTTAAAAGAAGATTTTTTAAGTTTTTACAAAAGACATATTAGGAAAATCAATGACACCCAGGGCAGGGCCAATTTTGGCCCTAAGGCTTTTATTTGAACAAACTTGATAGACACTCATTAGAAGATGTTTCATGCTAAATATCTAAGCTCTAGCTAAGATAGTTTTTTTTAAAAGAAGATTTTTTTAAGTTTTTGATTTCGGTTGCCATGGCAACCAGAGTTCGGCATGGAATTAAATTCTTTGAGCAATTTTTAAAGGTGACAACAAAAGGAACATTCCTGTGAATTTGGATGAAATTGGCTTTGTGGTTTATGAAGAGATGTCGTTTAAAGTAAAAGCTCACTGGTGAGCTTATACTAAATAGGGGGCCTCCGTGTCCGAGTGGTTAAGGTTGCTGACTAGAGATCACAGGTCCTTCACCGCTGTAGTCTCGATCCTCACTTGGGTCGAAATCTTTCATGTGAGGAAGCCATCCAGCTGGCTTTTGGAAGGTCGGTGGTCCTACCCAGGTGCCCGCTCGTGCCTAAAATAATGCCCGGATGGGGCACCTGGAGTCTTCCTCTACCAATAAAGCTGGAAAAAAATCGACGAAAAATCTCGGTGGGACGCTCAAGGATGGCCGACTTGAGTGTACTGTCGCTCATATGGGCTTTCTGGCGGCGACCACAAATAAACGCATTAAAAAAAATAAAAATAAATAAATAGCATTCAGAAATTATTTAGTTGATGAATTTTATAATTGTGCCAGCCTCACCCTCTCACCTTATGTAACCCTGAACAAAAATCAAAATGTAAATATAAATATTCACGATAATGAAATAAAGAAGAAATCCGAGCTGTTTTGAGAAGAACCGGAAATATTGTAGAATTAATATTGGGTAAAATGTTAAAAATAGCGACAGACAGTCTAGCCTAATAAACCTAATAGCTATGGTTCTTATAGAAATACAAGCTAAAAACTTGAACACTTACCAGCCAAGGAAGACTGATTTTTTAATTTTTTACAAAACAAGTTCTTTTTTAGTTTTCTTTGTGGTGATCTCTCCTCCTCCTCCTCCTCCTCCTAAAATCAAAATCATTTATCAATTTTAGTAAGGCAATTTTAATATATACCATAGTTTATGTTAGAGTATATCCCATAAGGAAATTATCAAAGATATGTAATTTTTATAAATGTCTGAATAATCAAAACCAAAGGTCATTAAAAGCACTTTATTCTTACATACTGAATTACAATATTCCTTATAAACTAGAAATGTGTCCATAGGACACGGACGCCCCCACACACCACTGTTCTGTCAATCTTATGACTCTAGGTCAAATATTTTTTGGACTACATGTGCCACAAGTTGAAAACTAAAAATCAACAAAGGGCCATAATTCTGTTAAATTTGGTCGCAGCAAAAATTCCTTCCTTTACTTCCCTCTACACACTAAGGTTGTTCATCCCTGGAAGTTTAAGCAAAATCTGCCATCCGGTTTAAGAGGAGTTGAGTTCACAAAATTTCTATATGTTATATAGTGAAAAAATCAACACAGTGTTATAATTCTGTTAAATTTGGTTGCAGCAAAAATTCCTTCCTTTACTACCATCTACACATTAAGGTTGTTCATCCCTGTAAGTTTAAGCAAAATCTGCCGTCCGGTTTAAGAGGAGTTGCGTTCACAAAATGTTTACATAGTATATAGTGAGAAAATCAACAAAGGGCCATAATTCTATTAAATTTGGTTGCAGCGAAAATTCCTTCCTTTACTACCATCTACACATTAAGGTTGTTCATCCATGTAAGTTTAAGCAAAATCTGCCATCCGGTTTAAGAGGAGTTGCGTTCACAAGATTTCGGGACGTACGGCCGGACAGACGTACGGACGGACGGACAAGTGCAACGCTATATGCTCCAACTTTGTGGGGGCATAAAAATTATCATAACTCACCCTTATTCAATTTCTATAACTCTTACAGATTTAATTAACATTATTCATAATGATTATTTATAATTTATATGTATACCAAATAACTACTTTTCTAAAAGATCAGTTGCTTTATCATAATATATGCTTATTATGTTTGCTATTTCACTCATGTACTGTAACATTTCAATTTCTAATTATTATAACTCATGCATGTTGAATAACTACTATTTGTGTATACAATTTATGATTCACAATATCTAAATAATCATTACTGATGTATATCGTATTACTACTATTAATACCTGTTGTTCTTTGAATTTGTGTGCTGGTCTCCTCTCCTCCTAAAATTATACCATAGTTTATGTTAGAGTATATCCAATAAGGAAATTATCAAAGATATGTAATTTTCTGTACGAAATCTGCTGTGGTCATAGTATTATTTTTACAATAGCTTTAGCTCTTACATTTGGTTTGCTATTTCTAATCATGGTCATGCAACTACATAGTTAGGTAAAGAAGCAGACGCTTGTTTTGGTTGAGTCTATTATGTTTTGTTTATCATAATAATAATTAATTACATTCCATGAAAATGTTTAAAGATATAAAATATCTCATGACATGTTTGTTCATTTTACATTACACCTTTAATGCAGCAAACATAAAAAGTCTTCACAAAAAGAAGTATGCAATCGTACCTATATTACATACAAATGTATGTAATATTTTTCTTGTTTATGAATGTCTTCAAGGTCATAGAAAAAATCTTTATTCATACATACTGAATACAATCATAACTGACCTTTCTTCCTGCAAATTTTCCAGCTAAAATCTCCTCCTCCTCCTCCTCATCCTAAAATCAAAATCATTTATCAATTTTTAGTAAGGCAATTTTAATACACTCAGCAAAAATAGAAACCTGACAGTGTATATTTTATTATTATTTTCAGGAAATCGATGACGGAAATGTAAAAACGAATGTTGGGCATGAAAAAGAGATGCATGCAGGAATTTGATCTGCATTTTGTTGTTTATTAATTATGTTTAAGTTTGTTAAATTACACTAGTTCTAAGGAAAGGGTCAAATTCATTTTATCAATTTTGTGGCTACAATGTTTTGACTACATGCAGATAGGTTTTAATCATTTCATTAACAGTTTTAAAATGCATGCGATTTTTTCATTTAATTCAAAATCGGTTGTGGCCATCTCTGGCTCTAAGTAGTGCTTCAATGTGTCGACACATAGAATTGACGAAACGTTGAACAAGGTTATATGGAAGATTGTTCCATTCCGCTATCAAAGCATTAATGTCAGTTGGAGGATATTCTGTGGGGCGTGATGTGGTCGGACATTTCTGCGAAGCACATCCCAGATATGTTCCATCAGATTCATATCTGGAGACATTGCTGGCCATTGCATAGTATTGACGTTGGCTGCAGCTAAGCGAGCCCAAGTTATCCTCGCCATGTGAGGACAGGCGTTGTCTTGTTGGAATAGCCTCGGCATTCAAGACTTTGTTGATGTATCTCTGGGCGTTTAAGTTGCCATGTATAACAATCAGCCTGGTCTTTTGCCCACCTATTATCCCACGCCCCATACCATGACGCTTCCACCAAAGAAACGATCATGCTGTCTAACACAGACAGGTGCAAACCTTTCGCGCTTACAAATGTAAATTCTTACAAGGCCATCGGCATGACTGAGATTGTAACGAAACTCGTCTGAAAACAGCACAGTATTCCAGTCACATAACCTCCAATGACAATTCACACATGCCCACCTAATACGGGCCTGACAATGGCGTAAAGTTAGAATACCACCTGTATATGGGCATCGCGTTCTAATAGGGCGATGTTGTGCACATAGCTTGTGCAGTTATGTTTAACGCGGGCGCAGTCAAGGTCGCCCATCTTAACCTGTCACGTGAGTTAAAATAATTGCCCTGTCGTCCCTTTGGGTAGTTGCCCTTGGTCTACCTGGCCTTGGACGATAGTACATCAACTGTAAGTCTATAGCTTCTTACAAGTTCATGAACTGTGTTGCGACTACAGTTAAACGTTCTACTCGCGTCAACAACAGATGCCCCACCCAGTAGCATTCCATTGCTTGATTTCTCTCTGTTTCTGATAAACGTGGCATTGTGAAAGCTATCAACTTTAGGTTTGAATAACACTAAATTTTTACTGGACACATGTAAAGTGCCTTACATCACTGTCTATTGACATCGTTCAGCATGCAATGGGCTAACTTGCAAAAACTAAAATTTAACGTTTTGCAGCATTCTACTGACAATACGCAGTCAAAACAAAAAACATGTATAGTGTATTTATAGTACATGAATACTTACTACACATTATCTGATTTAAATCACAAATTAGAAAATATTTAAAAGAAATAAAGTGTCATGTTTCTATTTTTGTTGAGTATATATTCCATAGTTTATGTTAGAGTATATCCCATGAGGAAATTATCAAAGATATGTAATTTTTTATGAATGTCTGAATAATCAAAACCCAAGGTCATAGAAAAATATTTATTCATACATACTGAATTACAATAATTATTCTTTATAAATAAATTATTATAACCCATGCTTATTCAATTTTTATAATTCTTACAGATTTAATTAACATTATTCATAATGATTATTATAATAATTATATATATATACCAAATAACTACTTTTCTAAAAGATCACTGTTGCTTTATCATAATATATGCTTATTATGTTTGCTATTTCACTCATGTACTGTAACATTAGGTCAGGTATATCATGTTGAATAACTTTCATTGTGGTGTATACAATTTATGATTCACAATATCTACTGATGTTTATCTTATTACTACTATTTATACCTTATAATTGAAAAGTAATAAACATTCTTTTTTTCAAAATAACACAGCTAAACTGACCAAGAATTTTTAACAGAGTTACCAACGTCCCCCGCCTCAGGGAAGTTTTATATAAAGCATAAAATTGTGCTAAGATTGAGGTATGGATCTCAGGACTTTCAGTCCAAAATTATGATCAATGCTAGATTTGCAAATGCAACAATAAATTTATTAAAGAAATAAGATGAAACACGAAATTTAAAAATCTATCATGTTCAGCTTTGACCTCAAAGTGTGACCTTGACCTTGGAGGTAGGGGTGCAGGTGTTGTATTTGACATGTTGTCTTATTATTGTTTATTATTGTGACTATTTGTGCCAAGTAATTTCAAAAACCCTTGAACTATGAAGAAGTTCTAGATCAGACACAAAATATACCCTATAACAGACTATATTAATCTTTGACCTCAAAGTGTGATCTTGACCCTGGAGGTAGGGAGTCGAGAGGTACATTATGACTTTTGTATTTTGCCTTGACTCTTCCATATTATGGACAATTTTGGCAACCGTTTTTGGTCGACTTATGGCCGCAAATCTACGGTATAACAAACATTTGTGCCATTTTATTACAAATTCCTTTGATAAATGACAAAATTATGGACCAGACATGAAAGTGTGACGCACGGACAGACATTTGTATATCCCCCTTTTTTCTTCGAAAAGGTGGGGGACAGATTGAATTCTTACAATTCAATTGTAATTAATTCAATACAATTCAATTCAATTGAATTCTTACCTACGAAAATCTAATGAAATTTTAAGTGCAATTATACAATTTTGGTTTAAAAAAGTTTAGTTGTTGCTTCTAGAAAGGTTAAATTTATTGTGAAGTTTAACTTTGGAAGGAATTGATATATTTTTTGAGCCAAGGCCCACTCTACAGAGAGATAGTTTTACGTTTTCTCTTGAAAACAGACTCAAATAAACAAAGTCTGCAATTTTCATTATGATATTGGTGTTTTTGTTGTTTCTAAGGGATCTCACCTATTCAAGGTTTTGTAATTTGGTATTAGCAAATTTTGTTTTTATAGTGCACTAACATACATGTATGTTACCTAGAGTTGATATAGAACAAGAGCCACCACCTGGTGCTGGCCAAGCTTAACTTTTTTTGTTACTAAAGTAAAAAACATCAGAGGAAGATTAAAATCGTAAAGAGTACTCCTTGAAAACAATTTTTGTGTGTAAGAAATAAAATTCAAATTTCATATTTGACCTTGACAGTCAAGGTTTATTTAAGGTCAAGGTAACATTTGAATTAATAATCATGGCGGTTTTGTCATATGTGTTCTTTTGTCCAAGAATGAATCAAATCCATTAATAAATATCAAAGTTATGATAATTGAAGCAAGTATCAGAATAATTCAACATTTTTGGTTTGTCATACATGTTCTTTTGTCCAAGTAAGAATCAAATCTGTAATAAAAGTACAAATTTATGACAATTTAAGCAAATTTCAATAATTTGACCTTGATGGTCAAAGTTAAATAAAGGTCAAGGTCATGTCAAAATATTGAACATGCCCATTTTGTCTAATGTTGTTTTGTCCATGTATGGCTCAAATCCTTAATAAACAACAATGTTATGACACTATAAACAAATTTCAATAATTTGACCTTGACGGTCACATCAAATCAATGTCAATGTCATGGATGAGTGAAGGTAATAATAAATTTAGTCTGAAGGTTATAATCAATGAAGTCTTAGATGATTGTGTCCAAGTATGAAGTGAAACAATTCATTACTAAAAAAGTTACAGCCAATTTTAGCAAAAATCAAGCAAAATTCAAACATTTGACATTGAAGGTCAAGGTCATTTAAGAATCAAGGCAAAGTTCAGTCTGGTCTACATGAAGGTCTTGGCTAAATGGTTGTTGCCTCTGTTTTATAGGTCTGACATCATCTGACTGTATTTTTTCATATTGAGGTGTGTAAAACAGATATCATGATAATCTGTACTTCTGTAAAGTAATTTTATTATAACATGGCTTTATCACACTCCTGTGCTATGATTATATGATAAATAATGTTTTAGTTTTTATTGCATGCACAAGAAGCTTAAATTGAAATAAAGTACTGTATTGTATGAGTGATTCCAAATGTATTTTAATCATGGTACACTAACATATTAAAAGCCTTACCTTGTCATCCCCACCAAATTGTTCAACTAAACCAAATGATTTCAAATTTGCTTTGTAGTACATATCCAATTTCTAAAAGGAAAGAAACAAGCTAATATATCTCAAATAAAAACACAAAAGAATCATGGTAAAATTCTAGGTTAAATACAATAGCATTTCTAGAAGATAAAGTTCTGATTTTTTTTGAAATACTAAAATTCTTATATGTCATGTGATTTTGTCACTATACTCAAAGAAGAAAAAAATGGGGTTAAAGTACCAATAAACACTGGTTAAAGACTACATGTATATGTGGCTGTTCTTTTTATTCTCTCTCTGATAAGATGGATAAAAAAGTCTTTTAAGGCAATAATAACAAGAATTTGTAACAGAGTTACCGCCTCAGGGAAGTTTTATATGAAGCATAAAATTGTGCTATTTCAAAAGATTGAGGTATGGCTCTCCGGACTTTCAGTCCAAAATTATCATCTATGCAAGATCTGCAAATGCAATAATAATTTTTTTTTTAAAAATAAAATGAAACACTGAATTTAAAAATCTATCATGTTAAGCTTTGACCTCTAGGTGCAACCTTGACCTTGGAGGTAGGGGTGCAGGTGTTAAGCATGACATATCGTCTTATTATTGTAACTATTTGTGCCAAGTATTTTCAAAATCCCTTGAACTATGAAGAAGTTCTAGATCGGACACAAAATATACCCTATTACAGACTATGTTAATCTTTGACCTCTAAGTGTGACCTTGGAGGTAGGGACCCATATTTTGCGCCTGACATATCGCCTTATTATTGTGATTATTTGTGCAAAGTATTTTCAAAATCCCTTGATCTATGAAAAAAGTATGGTCTAGACACAAAATATACCCTATAACAGACTATGTAAATCTTTAACCTCTAAGTGTGACCTAAGTGTAGATCTGATGACGTCACATCCGGATAAACAACTTTAAAAACGCTAACGTTATTAAAAACGTAAAAATAAAATTATTTTACATCAAGTGCCTTAAAGTGATTTAAAGAAATTTAATTTGAAAGGCAATATTTCTCTGAACATATTTATACAAAAATGGAATAATTCGGCTGACATAAAGCGATGTTATGAGTGAAAAACTATTGCGCTCGCCCGGAACAAACCGGAAGTGGACCAAATTATCATAGAAATAAATATGTTTGATCTAAACAAAGCTAGAGAATTGAGGAAACAACTAAAAGCAGCAGAAAGGGAAGGTAGTGGACTTAAAATGGAAGTGGATTCTAAAAATTGTGAAAACAATGATATTAAAGAAAATCAAGTTTCTATAAAATCAAAATGTGATGGGAATAACAAAAACAAAGAAAACTTTGAAAATGACAGGGAAAATCGGAATTACGAGCTTAATGAACTAAAGTCAATGAAGAAAAAATTAACAGCAACGGAAAATGAAATATTTAAATTGATACATAAAGACGGTGGTGTAATCTTGAAATTCAATGCCGGTATGTATTAATTGTTACGTATTTCCACAGAATCATATTTTACAAACTCTGATATTGGAATTAACTGTAAAAAAACTATTGCACATGATAAAGCTTCAAACAACGTTGAAACGAGATACAAGGTTTCTTCTCATAATTCTGGACACTATACTTTGAATATGTACCACACGACTTCGTCTTGTTTGATTAACGGAAAAAACACTAAACGTTTCCTAGAAGAAGATCTCCCAAATATAATATCAGTGATAAAAACAAAACTATCCAATGAAAATTGTACCATTGACGACTTTAATGAATGTGTACGTGATATGATCATTCAGTACTTTAACGTAGAGAAACCAGATCAGGTCCAAACAGAGCCATCGGATTTACTCCAAATATCTGAACAGGAAGTTTGTATTTCAACGTGTATAAACACTGTAGAGGAAGAAGAAGGGATTAATGTAATTTGTCAAACAGAGTGTGATGATAATTTAAATTCAAGCAGTAAGGAATACTTACAACAGTCAACACAGACAACAGATGATAACTATGAATTTTTGAAGTTGATTTATGAGGACATTTCAGAAATAAAACGACAACTTTCCAGCCATGTAGTAGTTTGTAACAACAAATTTTCACAAATGAGCGATGAAATTGTAGTTTTAAAAAAGCATCTAACTGTACACCATTCATTCACTGACCAAAATTTGGAAGAAATGATAAAGAAGCAAAGTGACATAAAATCAGAGGTACAAAAAGCACAAGATACTTTTCAAAGGCGTTTTAATGGAATCATGGATACATTAAAAATTATTAATGAAAAAAGTTATTCTTCAAAAACAGCGAGAGTTCCTTTGACGAATAAGGAAACGCAAAGCGATATCTTACAAACTGGCGCCACGTTACCAGCTTCAGTTGTATCATCGGCAGAAAGTCTAGACAGGGAATCTACACAAGAAGACAGCAGCCAGGATATCATTATCGGGTCTTCTAATTCAACAATGAAGGAAAATTCTCCAAAATCTGGCATTTTTCATAATAGGGACCGAACACTTCTGATTGGTGACTCCATCGTTAGAGGAATACAACCTAAAGGTTTAGATGATAAGGTCGATCGATATGTATGCAGCGGTGCCATTCTGACAGACATCGAACGTAAAATCAACCAACTAGATTTGACACCATACAAACACGTCATTATTTTTGTCGGGGGAAATGACGTCAGTTCAGGGAAACGCCCTGATGCGTCACATTCAAAACTGTTAGAGCTCACTCGCTCTATTCAACATCATAAATGTAAAGTGCATATCTGCACGATTTCGCCGCGACTCGACGCTGATGTTACGTTATACAACAAAAATGTAAGGGACATCTGTATTAAAACAGGTGCTGAACTTATAGACGCATATTCATCGTTCGTTTATGGTGATGGTAGCATAGTGAAGCACTATTTAGCTAGAGATGGGATACATCACAATAAATATGGATCCAAAACACTTGTGGCAGCAATAAATCGGTGCGTATACATCGTAAAAAGGAAATTGGATCATGCTAATGGAGAAATGCGGCCGAGATACAATGGAAAAGAAAACTCAGGTGCAGGCAGTCCGAGATATAGACATTATAATTTAAACAGACATGAAAAGGTTCACAACTTTTTTAGACCTAGGTTCCATGACCAAACTTCATGGAGTGAGACTTCACTTAATAATACTGCTAATACCAGAACCGGAAGTGTATTTGCGTACGACAGAAGACCCGAAAGTGAAAATTGTTATTATGGACAGAATAGCGTCAGAATAAATAGGAATTAGGAAATATCCGACAGGCACTCAAATTTTGAAAATCAACAATTTGAAACATACAATTGTATTCATAATGAGGTAACTACTTATAAATCTATGTTAAAACAAGATCTTTATAGCGATTTTCAAACTTATATATCAATTCATAATGTATGTTACGATTTTATGTTGTATTCCACAATTGATATTTTACATATATGTTTAAATACGCGAAAAATTATCGATTTGATAGTAAAAGAACGAAAATTAATAGACACTATTGCATCTGGTAATCAAATTGTTACTTTTGAACAATCAGTGCCATACATTAAATACGGAAATGATGAATATAATTGCAAAGTACTAAATAATGTTACGCTCCATAAATCAAATTTTCCAGATAATAAATTGTTCAGTTCTAAGTTTGAAAAACGAGGTTTACATATTGCACACCTTAATGTTAATCACTTAATGCCTAAAATAGACGAAATAAAATACAATCTATTTAACAAATTAAATTCGCCAGATATTTTCGGCTTTACTGAGACATTTCTTGGTGATGATACAACAGACGATGAATTAAATATTAACAATTTCACACACGAAAGAAAGGACCGTAAAAGTTGTCAAAAAGGCGGGGGAGTTGTAATATATATTGCTGACAAGGTGCCATATCGGCGCCGTTACGATATAGAAACGGACGAATTAGAATCTGTTTGGTTGGAAATTATTTACCCAAATTGCAAACCTTTTCTTTTAAATTTTATATATCGCCCACCAAATGTACACCAATCTTGGATTGACGATTATGAAAAACAACTAAGTATAATAGATATATCAAATATAGAATATCATATTCTAGGAGATGTCAATATAAACTTTTATCCAATGAATAAAAAGAAAAAAATATGACAATACAAAATGGGGGGATTTGATAACGAAATATGGTTTGGAAACAGCTTATCACAGATCCTACTAGGATAACAAAACGTACCCAAAAAATTATAGATCATGTTTATACAAACAGTAGCAGATATATTATTGAATCGTTTGTTTCTGATACCTCATTAAGTGATCATTATCCGATAGGTATTTCAAGATCAACGAAAGCATGTAGTACCCGATTGATTAATGAACATAATTCGATTAAATATAGATGTTTTAAAAACTTCAATGAAATTGATTTTCAGGCAGACCTTGTTTTATCCGATCTTGAATTAGTCGAGCACATAATAAATCCGAATGAATCCCTTAGCTTATTTTACTCCATTTTAAATACTATCTTGAAAAAGCATGCACCAATAAAAGAAAAACGTATCAAACGTGAACACCGCCCGGAATGGTTTACTGATGAGATAAAATATCTTATACATGAACGCGATTACTATCATAAAGTAGGGAAACATGAACAATACAAATTGCTCAGAAATAAAATAACATCAATGATTAAAAAAAGTAAAAGAGATTTCTTTAACAATGCTATTAAAAATAACAAAGACCCGGCATTTTTATGGAAAAATTTAAAGGACGTTTCAAATCTAAATAAAAAAGGTTGTATTACAATGCCAGACAGACTAGTGACAGGTAATAAAGAAATTTACGGAACTGTTAATATTATAAATGAATTAAATAAGTATTTTGTCAATATCTCGAATGTCATACATAAAACAAAGTTTTCAAATACAAATTTTTCAAAATTGAAAGAAACTTTAGACCAAAAGCTAATACATCATGAATTTAATATTGAATTAATTACACCGTTTGAAGTAAAACTTATTATTGAAAAACTGAATATTAAAAAATCTACAGGATTAGATGGAATTGGACCAAACATCATCAAATATTGTGGAGATTATATTACACCAATAATTGCATCAATTATCAATAATAGTATTAAATCTAATATTTTCCCAGATGATTTAAAAAAAGCTCGAGTTATACCTATTTTTAAATCGGGGGATAAGAATGAAGCAAATAACTATCGACCGATATCAATTTTGTCAACTATATCCAAAATATTTGAGCGCCATATTGCCAAACAAATACACTCATTCTTTGAAAAAACGAACATTATTCATAATAAACAATCAGGATTTCGTAAAAATCATTCATGTAATACTGCACTCATAAGTTTAATAGATACTTGGTTAAAAGATGTTGACAGTGGAAAAATTATAGGGACTGTATTTTTAGACTTAAAGAAAGCCTTTGATTTGGTTGACCATGAAATACTTTTGCATAAACTTAAACTTTATCATTTTTCTGAAAATGCCGTTAAGTTTTTTATGTCATATCTTTCTAACAGAATACAACTGGTTAAGATAGGTGATCTACAATCTCAGACAATGAAAATAATTTCCGGTGTTCCACAAGGCTCAATATTAGGACCTTTATTATTTCTAATATATATAAATGACATAGCTTTCATTGGTAATGATATGAAAATTGATTTATACGCAGACGATTCTACTCTTTATGAGTCCGGAGAAAATATATCAAAAGTAGAAATAAAACTTCAAGATCATTTAAATAACATTGACAAATGGTGCAAAATAAATAATATGGCCTTAAATCCAGATAAATCAAAATGTATGGTAATAGGAACAAGACAAAAAGTAAATATTATGAGAAAATTAATTCTTAAGATAAATGAAATAGCTCTTAAAAATGTAACTGATCAAAAAGTCTTGGGTATTTGCATAGATAACAACTTAAAATGGCACTTGCAAATTGACAATGTTTGTAAAAAACTTAACGGAAAAATTGCCTTATTGAAAAAAATATTGTATTTTTTGCACTTTGATATGAAATTATTGTTTTACAATGCATATATATTGCCCATTATGGACTATTGTTGTATTATATGGGGTAAAGGAAACACAAACTACATAAATAATGTTTGTAAGTTACAAAAACGAATTGCTAAAATCATTTTACAGCAACCTCAAAGATCTCCGTCAACAAATCTATTCGAAACTCTTAATTGGTTACCATTCCTTGACAGATGTAAATACCACACGGCGGTGCTTGTTTTTAAAACTTTAAATAACATGGCACCGACGTATATGACAGAACTGATGACTTTATCCGACAACAAAATATATAACTTAAGATCTAGGTCACGGAAAGATATTGTATTATGGACAAGACCTAAAACAAATTATATTAAAGACACATTTTCTTATTATGGCATGAACATATGGAACAATATACCTTTAAATATTCGTAATGTTAATAACCTTAAATGTTTTAAAGAAAAATACAAAGCATATCTTGATGTTCATATGAATGAATGAGTGAGTGAATGAATGAATGAATAAATATATGAACGAACGAATGAACGAACGAACAAATGATGCAATATACATATATGTTTAAACAAAAATTGTTGAGTGCCTGTCGAAAGTATATGAGTTGTACTATTCTAAAAATTACATATTATACATTCATTTTTCTACCTATGCATGTCCTGTTGTTGTTGTTGTTGTTGTTTTCTTTTTCAGAAGGCCACTTTGGAAATAAGATATATATGATTGTTATTGTATGTTCTTAATGTGTAACCTTCTTTAAATAAAGATATTATTATTATTATTATTATTATTAAACTTGGAGGTAGGGACACAGGTGTTATGCATGACATTTCATCTTATCATTGTGACTATTTGTGCCAAGTATATTCAAAATCCCTTGATCTATGAAGAAGTTATATGTAGGACACAAAATAAACCATATAACAGCATCTGTTAACCTTTGACCTCTAAGTGTGACCTTGACCTTGGTGGTAGGGTTGCAGGTGTTGTACTTGACATATCCTCTTATTATTGTGACAATTTGTGCCAATTTATTTCAAAACCCGAAGAAATTCTAGATCGGACAAAAAGTATACCCTAAAACAGACTATGTTAATTTTTGACCTCTAAGAGTGATCTTGAACTTGGAGGTAGGGATGCAGGTGATACGTATGACACATCCTCTTATTATAGTGACTATTTGTGGCAAGTATTTACAAAATCCTTTGGATCTATGAAAAAGTTATGGACTGGACACAAAATATACTCTTTAACAGACTATGTTGATCTTTGACCTCCAAGTGTGACCTTGACCTTGGAGGTAGGTGACCAGTTGTTGCGCATGACACATCATCTCATTATTGTAAACAATTGTGGCAAGCATTTACAAAATCCCTTCAAAGATAAGAAAGTTATGGACCGGACCTGACATATACCCTCAAATAGACAATGTTGACATTGAATGAGCAAGTGCTACCTTGACCCTGGAGGTATGGGTCTGGTTGTTGTGCATGAAACATCGTCTTATTATAACAAACATTTTTGCCAAGTTATTTCAGATTCCTTTGATAAATGACAAAGTTATGGAACGGCCATGAAAGTGTGATGGACGGGCAGACGGATGGACAGACGGACAGACAGAGCCTATTTCTATATCCCCCTTTTTTCTTCGAAAAGGCAGGGGACAGTAAAACATTTTATTGATATTTTTCATTGTTACCATTTATTTCAACAGTAACTCACTTGAAAAGCTGCATATGAAATGAAACAAAATTAAATGATATCTAATTACGCGAACAAATGTTAATTTTGACACAGCTGACTGTAAAACAAGAATTTGTAACAGAATAATCAACATCCCCCGCATAATGGAAGTTTTACATGAAGCACAAAATTGTGGTATTTCATAAAAAATTTCCATATCACTGATTTAAGGTTCTATTCTAGTACAAGATATTAACTTTTCTCATCACTTACCACTTTTAGTTCACAAATGAATATATCTGTCAGGGTAGGTACTTTAGAAAACTTGAGACCAGGATCCTTAACAACATTTTCTCCCTTGCCATTCAATGCAGAATAAAAAGTGTATTTTGAGATGATGTTACTATGGCAACTAAAACTCTTTATCTTTTGTCGTAGAGAACTAATGTCGGAACAAAACTCAACCCATTGTAGTATTTCTGGATTATCTATAACAACAAAATATATAACTAGAGGATGCTTTTGTAAAAAAGCGCATGTCTCCCCCACTGCTGAGAATAACTGTGAATGGAAACAGGAATGGAAATGGAGATAAGATAATGTAAATACCCGGTAGTCACTTCAATGAAGGCTGTCTATGGATGGTTTCTATTGTTAAGGTTGTATGAGAAGATGCTTCCTAAACTGTTTGTTTTTAACCAGGTATTCAATTTTGAAAATCCTGGTTATTCAATCAGCGTATGGCAGGCGGGCGTCAAACGAAATTGCACTTGATGGTCATATTAAAAGAGGGATCATCTGCTCAATAAGACCAATCATCCTATGAAGTTTGAGGGTTGTAGGTCTAAAGGAACTCTAGTTATCATCCGGAAAGGAGAAATTAACCAACGGTCGCTGTGACCTTGACCTTTGACCTACTGACCATTAAAACAATAGGGATCATTTGATTAATAAGACCAATCATCCTATGAAGTTTGAGGGTTGTAGGTCAAAAGGAACTCTAGTTATCATCCGGAAATGAGAAATTGACCAACGGTCACTGTGACCTTGACCTTTGACCTACTGACCCCAAAAACAATAGGGATCATCTGCTCTATAAGACCAATCATCCTATGAAGTTTGAGGGCTGTAGGTCAAAAGGAACTCTAGTTATCATCCGGAAACGAGAAATTGACCAACGGTCACTGTGACCTTGACCTTTGAACTACTGACCCCAAAAACAATAGGGATCATCTGCTCAATAAGACCAATCATCCTATGAAGTTTGAGGTCTGTAGGTCTAAAGGAACTCTAGTTATCATCCGGAAACGAGAAATTGACCAACGGTCAGTGTGACCTTGACCTTTGACCTACTGACCCCAAAAACAATAGGGATCATCAGCTCTATAAGACCAATCATCCTATGAAGTTTGAGGGCTGTAGGTCAAAAGGAACTCTAGTTATCATCCGGAAACGAGAAATTGACCAACGGTCACTGTGACCTTGACCTTTGAACTACTGACCCCAAAAACAATAGGGATCATCTGCTCAATAAGACCATTCATCCTATGAAGTTTGAGAGCTGTAGGTCAAAAGGAACTCTAGTTATCGTCCGGAAACGAAGAATGGACGGACGGACTGACGGACTGACGGACGGACGGACTGACGGACGGACAGGGCAAAAACAATATGTCTCCCCCCGAGGTGGGGGAGACATAATTATATAATGGCAAAAGAAATTATAGAGGTTTATTTTTCTTATTTATCAGGGTGTCCGTTTGACCCTTGAAATGACTCTTTGACCCTTCAAATTTCTAAGAGACCTGATTTAACCCTCAGAATTTTAACTAGAGGGTCAAATTTTGTTAAGATCATGGGGATTTGTCCTTGTAGTTGGTAAAACTTAGTCAAAATGACCCTCAGGATTTCATGGCTAGTTTATTGATTTTTTTTTAATTAGCAAGATTAATGATATAATTATATTCAAGTTTATATATTTTTTTATAATCTATCCACACAATACTGAAAAAAAGTACTAGAAAATTTTCAAAATCAGTCATCTGTAACTATAAGTTATTGTAAATGTTATTTACATGGTTATGTTATAATGAGCTAAGTGTTGAATTTTATCATCCTATTCAAAATATTGACTTTCAAGGAAAACATAAAAAAGACATACGGAAAGCTACAAATTCCTCTTCCTGATCTTCCAGAAGCTTTATCTGAGCTTTGGTTGCTAGGTGATGAACTGCAGCAGATACAGTGACATCATCTGATTTAAGAATGTCAAAGGTCATGCTGCGAGTCAAAGCTTTCCCATCCTGTACACCTTTCAAGGTCACTGTGCAGGGAGCATTAGTAGTCTGTAAAGATAAAATACAATTACTGTAAATAATTAAGAAATCTAACATAGAAATTAAAACTGAACTTTGGACAAATCAATCATGTTTATATGTTTACACCAACCAGCTGGAAAATTAAAGATGGGGCATCTGTAGTTGAGTTCCTATGGTGGCTGACATCTTAACACTTGCCCTACAATATTGTAGATTCAAACCATGCTTGGGACTTTAGATTCTAAACTGTCAGCAATTATGACTATAACAGTTGGTTTCACTTTTTAATGGGCAAAGGCCTTAGCTTCTTGATTTTGAGAAAAAATTATCCATATACTTTATAGAATTGAGCTAAAAACAACTTACATTTTCCTTAACTCCCTGTATAGCAGCAAATATTACCAGCCTCTCTCCAGCAGAAATCACATTTTGAGGTTTCTCAGGAATGAGATCTACAGACAAACCCGATGGTATATCCCACTTGACTTCAACATTTGTAATAGCTGGTTGCATAGAATACTTAAGTAGTGCTATAGCCTGTAATTATAATAGACGATTTCATAAGATGAGGTTCCAGGACAATAATAATCAAATGACAACTGAAATCAAATCTGTGTCAAGGTTTCATTTTATTGCTACAAAGTTACAAAAGTTCTCATCAGTAAAAGCTGCGATATAATATAATCTAACTAGTAGTTTCATTTATTGTTATAATATTTGCAGGTTAAACTGTAAAAGGCAATTCTAACACCTCAGGGATGCAAAATAACTATGCCCGACTTGCCTGGCTCAGGACTTTTTGCTGATGGACAAGTGGATTTTCACATAGCAGTTGTCTGTGGACAAGTGCATTTCTGAGTCAGAAAAAAGGAAAATGCCGAAATTCTAACTGCGCTTGATCTTGAATGATAAATTTTTTCCCATATTGTTTAATCTGTATATTTTACTTGTACACCATCTCCAAACAGCACAAATAATTCTATATGATGCTAATTCAGCACTTATGAGGCCTCTCGCTTCTATTGGAAAACAAGCTTGGAGATTGGTTGTATCAAGCCAACCGACCCGTGCCTTAGTAAATAATGCGCAGCATCATATATTCAGTGTTGCGTTGTTAATTGTTTTGATACAAAATAGTCTAATTTTTCACAAATTCTGAAAATAATCTGAAAAGCATAAATCAAAATTGCAGAGAGACAAAGAGTATGACTGCAAACGCATTTGGATGTTTCAAGATAGCTGGTTAACCAATTTTACTTTGCTCTGAAAAGACGATAATTCAAACAAACTTTATTGTCATGTAAGCAAAATGTTCCTGCAAATGGTGGATACGACCTTGCCCCTTTATGAAGGAAAATCATTAACACTTAAGGACACTCATACATAACATCAAATGTCATTCAAACGTGTCATGTGTGTCCAAATACGAGTTTTAGCAAAATCAGAGTAAACAAGGACCCATTGGTTAAATTATGAAGGCATTTGTAATAAACTTTTCTACTGTTTATTTGGGCAAGTGAACTTGAGCCGCGTACAAGTATAAATTTTAGTCCAACTAGTCCCTGGGCAAGTGGAAAAAAAACAAAATTCCACACCCCGGTACCTTCAATCATACTTCATTATTCTAAAGTATATCAACAACAAAAAATAAAAAGACCTTCATACTAGACAAGGAAACATAACAAGAGGGCCGTGATGGCCTTAGATCGGTCACCTGACCCATCAAACTCATCCCAACAATTACCTAGACAAACATTCTGACCAAGTTTCATGACAGGTTAGTCAACAAGAGCTGTCACAGGAGACAGCGAAGCTCGACTAATGAAATACTGGACGCAGTAAGGAGGACAAAACTATGAAAGGAAAATCAATTATGTATAATTATGTATTAAGTTATAGTAAAAAAATAATATTTGTTAACATAAATTCAAAGATCAAGGGGAGTAATTCTAGAAATAGTCATGCTAGAGTTATGGACCTTGTCACAACAACATTTGTGTAATGATAAGAAATATATATTTGAAGTTTAAAGTAGATACCTTAAAAAAATAAAGAAGTTATTGTATTTCTTAAAGAAAATCCTAAGTTCAAAGAGAGATAAATCTGTAAATATTGCTTCAAGAGTTATGAACATTGTCACATAAAATGTAATTGATGATAAGGAATAAGTATTTGAAGTTTGAGGTAGATACCTTTAAAAATAAAAAAGTTATAATAAAAAATAAAATTTTTCTAGTAAAAAAATCTAAGTTTATGGGGAGATAATTCTTGCAATATTGGTGCTAGAGTTATGAACCTTGTCACATAAGATGTGGATGAGGATAACGTAAATATATTTGAAGTATGAAGTTGATCCCTTTAGAAATATAAAAGTAACAGTAAAAAATAATATTTTTTATGGAAAATTCTAAGTTCAAAGGGAGATAAATCTGAAAATATTGGTGCTAGAGTTATGAACCTTGTCACATAAGATGAAGATGATGATAATGTAAAATAATTTGAAGTATGAGGTTGATCCCTTAAGAAATAAAGAAGAAACAGTAAGAAATAGTACTTTTTGAGGAAAATTCTAAGTTCAAGGGGAGATAAATCTGAAAATATTTGTGCTAGAGTTATAACCCTTGTCACATAAGATTGGGATGATGATAAGGTACATATATTTGAAGTATGAGGTTGATCCCTTAAGAAATAAAGAAGTAACAGTAAAATATAGTATTTTTTAAGGAAAATTCTAAGTTCAAGGGAAAATAAATCTGAAAATATTGGTGCTAGAGTTATTAACCTTGTCACATAAGATGCGGTTGATGATAAGGAACATATATTTGAAGTATGAAGTTGATACCTTAAGAAATGACAAAGTTATAGTGAAAAATATTTTACTGCACCAAAACTTTAATCTGAAATCTGGACGCCGACGCCGGGGCGAGTAGGACAGCTCTCCATATACTTCGTATCATGACAGGTTAGTCAACAAGAGCTGTCACAGGAGACAGCGAAGCTCGACTAATGAAATACTGGACGCAGTAAGGAGGACAAAACTATGAAAGGAAAATCAATTATGTATAATTATGTATTAAGTTATAGTAAAAAAATAATATTTGTTAACATAAATTCAAAGATCAAGGGGAGTAATTCTAGAAATAGTCATGCTAGAGTTATGGACCTTGTCACACAACATTTGTGTAATGATAAGAAATATATATTTGAAGTTTAAAGTAGATACCTTAAAAAATAAAGAAGTTATTGTATTTCTTAAAGAAAATCCTAAGTTCAAAGAGAGATAAATCTGTAAATATTGCTTCAAGAGTTATGAACATTGTCACATAAAATGTAATTGATGATAAGGAATAAGTATTTGAAGTTTGAGGTAGATACCTTTAAAAATAAAAAAGTTATAATAAAAAATAAAATTTTTCTAGTAAAAAATCTAAGTTTATGGGGAGATAATTCTTGCAATATTGGTGCTAGAGTTATGAACCTTGTCACATAAGATGTGGATGAGGATAACGTAAATATATTTGAAGTATGAAGTTGATCCCTTTAGAAATATAAAAGTAACAGTAAAAAATAATATTTTTTATGGAAAATTCTAAGTTCAAAGGGAGATAAATCTGAAAATATTGGTGCTAGAGTTATGAACCTTGTCACATAAGATGAAGATGATGATAATGTAAAATAATTTGAAGTATGAGGTTGATCCCTTAAGAAATAAAGAAGAAACAGTAAGAAATAGTACTTTTTGAGGAAAATTCTAAGTTCAAGGGGAGATAAATCTGAAAATATTTGTGCTAGAGTTATAACCCTTGTCACATAAGATTGGGATGATGATAAGGTACATATATTTGAAGTATGAGGTTGATCCCTTAAGAAATAAAGAAGTAACAGTAAAAAATAGTATTTTTTAAGGAAAATTCTAAGTTCAAGGGGAGATAAATCTGAAAATATTGGTGCTAGAGTTATGAACCTTGTCACATAAGATGTGGTTGATGATAAGGAACATATATTTGAAGTTTGAAGTTGATACCTTAAGAAATGACAAAGTTATAGTGAAAAATATTTTACTGCACCAAAACTTTAATCTAAAATCTGGACGCGGACGCGGACGCCGACGCCGGGGCGAGTAGGACAGCTCTCCATATACTTCGTATAGTCGAGCTAAAAATGTGACCACTAGTATTAACAAGGATTATCCATATTTGAGCAGTGTGACCTAGTTTTTTACCCAGGTGACCCTATTCGAACTTGACCTAGAAATAATCAAAACAAACTTTCAGACCAATTTCCAGGATACTTGGATCAAAACAGTAGCCACAAGATTTTTCTATGTTTAGCTCCGATGACCTAGTTTTTCATCCGGGATGACCCATGTTTAAACTCATCTGAGCAATTACCTAGACAAGCATCCTGACCAAGTTTGATGATGATGGAGGCAAAAATGTGACCACTAGAGTGTTAACAAGGTTTTTCTATTTTTGGCTCCGGTGATCTAATTTTTCATCCGAGATGACCCATGTTTGAACTCATCCGAGCTATCACCTTGACAAGCATCCTGACAAAGTTTGATGACGATTGAGGCAAAAATGTGACCGCTAGAGTGTTATCAAGGTTTTTTTCTATTTTTAGCTCCGGTGACCTAGTTTTTCATCCGAGATGACCTATGTTGGAACTCATTCCAGCTATCAACTAGATAAGCATCCTGAATAAGTTTGATGATGATTGAGGCAAAAATGTGACCGCTAGAGTGTTAACAAGGTTTTTCTATTTTTAGCTCCGGTGACCTAGTTTTTCATCCAGGATGACCCATGTTTGAACTCATCGGAGCTATCACCTAGACAAGCCTCCTAACCAAGTTTGATGATGATTGAGGCAAAAATGTGACCACTAGAGTGTTAACAAGGTTATCTATTTTTGGCTCCAGTGATCTAGTTTTTCATCCGAGATGACCCATGTTCGAACTCATCCGAGCTATCACCTTGACAAGCATCCTGACAAAGTTTGATGATGATTGAGGCAAAAATGTGACCGCTAGAGTGTTAACAAGGTTTTTCTATTTTTAGCTCCGGTGACCTAGTTTTTCATCCGATATGACCTATGTTCGAAGTCATCCAAGCTATCACCTTGACAAGCATCCTGACCAAGTTTATTGATGATTGAGGCAAAAATGTGACTGCTAGAGTGTTAACAAGGTTTTTTCTTTTTATAGCTCCTGTGACCTAGTTTTTCATCCGAAATGACCCATGTTCGAACTCATCCGAGCTATCAACTGGATAAGTTTGTTGATGATTGAGGCAAAAATGTGACCACTAGAGTGTTAACGAACAAGTGTGGACAGAGGACGGACGACGGACATTAAATGATCCTAAAAGCTCACCTTGAGCAAGCTCATGTGAGCTTAAAACTTGTGCAAATATCAATAAGTGTTAAATTTTGTTTTCTAAAATTATATCTTTAGAATTATGAAGATGTTTTAAATCCCAGTGATATAACCTACCTTTGTTTGTACACGCTCATTGTCCTTAATAAACTCTGCTCTACCAAAGCCGATATGTGCAACATCTTTAAACAAAACAGTTGAATAGCCATAGTCCATGGCCAGGATGAAAATCCTGTTAAAAATACAGAAAATAAAAATATGTACATCTCATAACAGAAACATAAGAAACAAGAGCTGTCACCCAAGTGACGAATGCCCCCTAAAAGGTTTCTTAAGGATGCAGGTATTATGAAAAGAAAAGAGAATGAAAGTAACTAATTGCTGAATATTGTTCTTTGTATTATTGTACCTGTAATTGTGATAGCATGAACCTTCAAAATATAAGTTTGACCTTGACCTTTGAAGAAGGGATGTGGTTCCTGGACGTGACAAAATGTTGTTATAAGATAGACATTTAGGCCAAATCATTTCAAAATCCCTCAATGCATGACAAAGTTACATCTGGACATGATTGTTGTGTATGTGGGGACACAGGGACAGATGGACATGAGCCTTAGTCGCAACACATTGTCTTGATGTGGTAGACATTTGTGCCAAGTTATTTTAAAAGCCTTCCATGCATGACAAAGTTACAGTCCAGACATGAATGTGTATCTTCAAACTCTTCTCGAGAGAATGAGTACCTTCAAACTATAAGTGTGACCTTGACCTTAAAGGTAGGGACATGGGTCTTTGTCCCAACATTTTGTCTTGATGTGGTAGACATTTATGCCTAGTTATTTTAAAATCCTTTGATGCATGACAAAGTTACAACTCGGACACAAATGTGTGAACCTATAAACTCTTATTGTGATAAAGTGAACTTAAAAATGGTAGTGTGACCTTAACCTTTGAGGTAGGGATGTGATTATTGAAGGCGACACAACATCTTGATGTTGTAGACATTTATGCCAAGTTATTTTAAAATCCTTCTATGCATGACAAAGTTACAGCCCAGACATGAATGTGTATCTTCAAACTCTTCTCGAGAGAATGAGTACCTTCAAACTATAAGTGTGACCTTGACCTTAAAGGTAGGGACATGGGTCTTTGTCCCAACATTTTGTCTTGATGTGGTAAACATTTATGCCTAGTTTTTTTAAAATCCTTTGATGCATGACAAAGTTACAACTCGGACACAAATGTGTGAACCTATAAACTCTAATTGTGACAAAGTGAACTTAAAAATGGTAGTGTGACCTTAACCTTTGAGGTTGGGTTGTGATTATTAGACAAAACTATTATTACAAAACTCATGACCTTTCAATTCAGTAAATTATATAGTATTTTTCACATAACACCCCCAACTTCACATATGGGATCAAACCAAGAAATGAAAGGTGAGCGCCTCAAAATCAAAGACTTGAACCACTTAATGATGGAGGAGTCCTCATTTAAATTCATTGCTTGTCATCTAGGCACAATTTCTAGTAAATACCTCCTTGGAAATAAAGTATTTTTGTGTTGTTCAATATAATGACAGTACAGAAATGCTGATACAATGTATCAAACTTATAATACTGGTAAGTGATTTATTTTCCCCCGCCTTTTCAAAGAAAAAAGATATAGAAATAGGCCCCGTCCGTCCGTCTGTCCGCACTACCGAATAGGGATAGGGGGCCATCTAACTGTAAACAGAACAAAAGAGAACAATAGAGTTCATTCCGTAACAATAGAGTAAAGGGCCATTGGCCCTCTATTAAACAATAGAAAATTAGAAAAGAAATGGCCCCTTATTCCATTTCGGTCGGACGTCCGTCCGTACGAACCCAGAGGTACTTGTGTGACTTGGAGAACAATGGGTAACAGTAAATTCTTTTTGATCCTATTCATTCCGTTTTTGACTAAAAATGTCCAAAAAGATCAAAGGAAAAGTCACATAAGTACCATTTTGTGAGTACGTCCGCCTTTCCGTCTGTTTGTCCGTCACACTTTTGTATCCGGTCCATAACTTTGTCATTTATCAAAGGAATCTGAAATAACTTGGCACAAATGTTTGTTATAATAAGACGATGTGTCATGCGCAACAACCAGACCCCTACCTCGAGGGTCAAGGTCGCACTTGCTCATTCCAGATCAACATTGTCTATTTAAAGGTATATGTCGTGTCCGGGCTATAACTTTCTTATCTTTGAAGGGATTTTGTAAATACTTGCCACAATTGTTCACAATAATCAGACGATGTGTCATGCACAAAACCTGGTCACCTACCTCCAAGGTCAAGGTCACACTTGGAGGTCAAAGATTAACATAGTCTGTTAAAGGGTATATTTTGTGTCCGGTCCATAACTTTTTCATAGATCAAAGGATTTTGAAAATACTTGGCACAAATAGTCACTATAATAAGACGATGTGTCATGCGCAACACCTGCATCCCTACCTCCAAGGTCAAGGTCACACTTAGAGGTCAAAGATTTACATAGTCTGTTATAGGGTATATTTTGTGTCCAGTCCATAACTTTTTCATAGATCAAGGGATTTTAAAAATACTTTGCACAAATAATCACAATAATAAGACGATATGTCAGGCGCAAAACATGGGTCCCTACCTCCAAGGTCACACTTAGAGGTCAAAGATTAACATAGTCTGTTATAGGGTATATTTTGTGTCCGATCTATAACTTCTTCATAGTTCAAGGGATTTTGAAAATACTTGGCACAAATAGCTACAATAATAAGATGATATGTCATGCACAACATCTGCACCCCTACCTCCAAGGCCAAGGACACTTAGAGGTCAAAGCTTGATATAATAGATTTTTAAATTCTGTGTATCATTTTATTTCTTTAATAAATTTATTGTTGCATTTGCAGATCTAGCATTGATCATAATTTTTGACTGAAAGTCCTGAGATCCATACCTCAATCTTTTGAAATAGCACAATTTTATGCTTCATATAAAACTTCCCCGAGGCGGGGGACGTTGGTAACTCTGTTACAAATTCTTGTATGGAATACTTGTACGCACCCCTTGTGCTTCTTATCAGTTGCTAGTCCCATTACTCAGTTGCTTGTTCCATTACATGTCTCAAACTATATGAATTATTAAAATACACAAACTGCTTACATACATAGTAAGTGAAATACAGCGCCACAATTGCATAATTAAACTATGTTATTACTGTTACCTTGTATTTGTTTTCTGTGTTTGTTTCTTTACAAGGTCTGTGACCTGACTTGTTATTTTGGCATTATATTCCTTCTTTCCATCTGTTAACAAGAACACCTGTGGAAACGAAATTGGGTCATTAAACTTTTGAGTACTATCAGCAAATATGATACACCTATGTAAAAGAACAGAGCAAAGCCAGCCAGGAAATCCATAGTCTAACCGTACTCTACAACTTCTGCTGAATTTTAGCATAAAAATTTGATATCAAAACTCTTTACACAAACAATGGACTGTTCCAAAGTCTAATCAAAGGACTGCAAGCTCTGTGGTATTTTCTGATCTTTGCAATCTAAATCTTACTGTATATCTGTATGTATTTTCCTGTATAAGTTTATTTTTATATACTATTTTTTGTCTTACAGGGCATCGAGATGCAGGGACTGCGTTTAGATTTTTTACTAGAACAGATGAGTTTGATACATCCGGAATTTTGCATGACTAGAGTTGCATCAAAAAATCATTTATGCTCATTTTTTATGACAGCCACACTTTATCCTTGCATATAGTGGCTACTTCCTTAAACAAGAGGGCCATGATGGCCCTGAGGTCGCTCACCTGTATATAGGCCCCCGGAGCGGGGCCAGTTTAAACCCCAGGGCTTTTATTTGAACAAACTTGGAAGACACCCATTAGAAGATGTTTCATGATGTTAAGTTTTTACTACACACATATAATGAAAAACAATGACCTTCCCCCCCCCCCCGGCAGGGCCAATTTTAACCCAAGGGCTTTTATTTGAACAAACTTGGTAGACACCCATAAGAAGATGTTTCATGCTAAACATCTAAGCTCTAGCTCATTGGGTTTTTTAAAAGAAGATTTTTTAAGTTTTTACTATACACATATAGTTAAAAACAATGACACCCCTGGGGCGGGGCCAGTTTTGACCCCAGGGCTTTTATTTGAACAAACTTTGTAGACACTTACTAGAAGATGTTTCATGCTTAATATCTAAACTCTAGCTATTTGGGTTTTTTCAAAGAAGATTTTTAAGTTTTTGCTATACACATATAAGGAAAATCAATGACCCCCAGGGCGGGGCCAATTTTAACCCCTGGGCTTTTATTTAAAAGAAAATTGTAGACACTCACTAAAAGATGTTTCATGCTTAATATCTACTCTCTAGCTATTTGGGTTTTTTCAAAAAAGATTTTTTAAGTTTTTGCTATACACATAAAAGGAAAATCAATGACCCCCGGGGCGGGGCCAATTTTGACCCCAGGGCTTTTATTTGTACAAACTTAGTACACTATCACTAGAAGATGTTTCATGCTAAATATCTTAGCTCTAGCTCTTTGGGTTCTTTAAAAGAAGATATTTTAAGTTTTTACTAATATGCATATAGGGAAAATCAATGACCCCCCCTGGGGCGGGGCCAATTTTGACCCCAGGGCTTTTATTTGAACAAACTTGGTATACACACACTAGAAGATGTTTCATGCCAAATATCTAAGCTCTAGCTCTTTGGGTTTTTTAAAAGAAGATATTTAAAGTTTTTTCTTTCGGTTGCCATGGCAACCAGAGTTCTGCATGGAATTAAATTCTTTGAACAATTTTTAAAGGTGACCACCAAAGGAACATTCCTGTGAAGTTTGGATGAAATTGGCTTGGTGGTTTATGAGGAGATGTCATTTAAAGTAAAAGTTTATGGACGGACGACGGACTGACGACGGACGAAAAGCGATCACAAAAATTGGCTTTTAATTGGGCCAATTTTAACCCAAGGGCTTTTATTTGAACAAACTTGGTAGACACCTATAAGAAGATGTTTCATGCTAAACATCTAAGCTCTAGCTCATTGGGTTTTTTAAAAGAAGATTTTTTAAGTTTTTACTATACACATATAGTTAAAAACAATGACACCCCTGGGGCGGGGCCAGTTTTGACCACAGGGCTTTTATTTGAACAAACTTTGTAGACACTTACTAGAAGATATTTCATGCTTAATATCTAAATATTGAGCTAAAAAGACATTAAAAAAAAAGAATGGCTGCCTTGACTGGGATTTGAACTCCAGACCTCTCACACCCTAAACGAGCATGTTATCCCTGCACCAAGGGGAAGTTATACGAAGCCTGAATAAAATCAAATAATTCTAAATTAGGAATTTCCATTTCAGATTTATAATCCTTATTAATTTCAAGGTATTTTGTTCACGATAAACCTGTTGTTTAACACTAATGTAAATAATTTAGCGAAAATATTCTCGCCAAAACAGTCTGACATGTATATATTCCACTACTCGACAGTGAAATTTATTTGTGTACTACGCTCTGAAGTATTTGGTAATCAACATCGCTAAAAATAGCATTTTCATTGATTAAAATGATATTCATCCGCGTAATTTGCGATTGTACATTTATTGACAATTCTATAAGCCAACGCTACTTTTAAACTTTGAATGCGTTGTAATTTGTTGGATACTTGTAACAAAATAAAAATATTTCTTTCTTTTACATTGCTAATTTTAAGCTGTTTTGAGAACTACTTGTTGTTAGGTTTGTCGTGAAATTCTGTGCCAGAGATAGAATGTCAGCATTGTATTTCCTGATCTGCGATCAGAAAATACAAAAAGGACAAGTCCACTATAAAAATAAAGCATGGTAAGGGTTGGTGATTATAGTTCATTATTTTTTCTAATAGTGATGGACTTAATATATCCCCCCCCCCCTACTCACACACACCTTTCCTTTTTATTTCAATTTATCACAGTCATTATTAATGTACACTATATCAACCATCTGGTTAGCTCAATAGGTACAGCATTGGACTATGAAACAGACCTGCAGGTCACATGTCATTGTGATTGATCATTAAATCCTTTCTACGGTTATTCAAACTGTATCTCTGCTATGACATGTACAGAAGTTATCAGTTCCTTGCAAAAGTGAAGGCAACTAGTACTGGTAAACTGCCTGTTAGCCTGCCCAGGAACAAGGCGGTGGCTGAACTGTGCTCTGGTAAATACAATGTGGCTTACTGTCATAATCCAAAGTGAAAACTACTAACACCACGTACAGTATCATATGTGAAACATACAAAGTGATGATTTTTTTATACTGACCTGAATTATATGGATAATACAGGCTAATCATTGTCTGTGCTAGCATCCATAAAGTTCAGAACATATTGTTAACTGTTAAAACACCATGGAATTGCACATTTATTTAAGAAATAACATCGGTCTGAGAGGTGTATATCGGCTACTTAACACCAGTTTGCAGTTTTGATAAGTAGGAATTGACCACGAAGGCCGTAGGCCTGAGTGGTTAATTTTTTCGCATCAAAATGACAAAACCAGCATTAAATAGCCGATATACACCTCTCAGGCCGATGTTATTTCGATTCTATCACGATGAAATAAGGAAGATCACTAATGTTATTTTTTAAGCGGAAATAACTTCCGGTGCCGATTTTTGTATAACGCTGTTTGATTTTCACACGGTGACCCTACTGTTGCAAAGATATAGAAATTTTTAAACAAAATAATTAATAAGAAAAAACATTATTTTATCAAGTTTTCAACAATAAAAACTTATGTTGTATTGTGTTAATTACATAAGTGCCCCATTTATCATTCTTGTATGTATGAAATAATGTCAGCTTGTTTTGAAATGAGTTGTTTACTTAGGATGACTTCATTACACTGTATACGGATTGGCGCCGTTTTGTCAAAATATTTATTAACTGATATGGATCTTATATGTGGCGTTAGTGTATGTGAGATATTATTTCGGTATTGTATGAAAAGAAAACATTATAAGAACTGAAAATATAAATAAAAATGCTTTTTATTGTTGCTTTAAAAGGCTTTGTAAATTATATAATCGAGGGTGAAAACATAAAAGCCGATATAAAAGTAGTCCCTAACCAGTGTTTATTGGCAGTTTAACACCTTTTTTTTTTCCTTCTTTGTCTATTGTGACAAAATCACATGGAGTGATGGAATATATATTATGCATCTTTATTTATTAATATATTATGCATCTTGAAAAAATTTTGTTTATAGAAAGATAAAAAAAAAATAATAGAAAACTTACCTTTCTGGGATGACCGGATATAGGTTTTTTACCATATATGTGGTCTAAAGCTTTGAATATGTCTGCATTGTTGGTGATGTCAGTTTTCATCTTTTCCAAGAATATGAATGCTTCTTTCAGTGTTTTCTCTGTGTATTTATTACTGTTTCTACAAAAAAAAAATCAATTTCCCTCTATTTTTATGCTTTGCTTAAAAATTTCATTTGTTTCTATCTTAAAGTCATTTTTTTTTGTTTGGTCTGGTTTCATGTTGCACCAATAAAGTAAAGGTAATATGGCGACTTTCCAGCTTTACAGGTACAAGAAGACCTCAAGTGCCCTTCCATGCACTATTTCAGGCACGAATGGGCACCTGACTAGAACCATCATTCAATAGGCTAGCTGGATAGCTTCCTCAAAAGAAAGAATCAAAAATCACTTTTGGAATTCAAACCCACAGCAGTGAGGGACAAGTGGTGTTAAGTCAACGGCCTTTACCACTTGGCCAATGACGCTTTTATTTTTTTAAATGAGATTGAAACAAATCTATTCAACATTATACACCCTAACTTTATTAAGTTGTCACAAACTACCTTGTACCTGGTGTATAACTAAAACAATATGAGATAGGAATTGTGAGGAATGGTTAATTATTATATTACTTTATAATATTCCAGGAAGTGGTATAGTATAAATAAAAGTATTCTTACCTAAATAGAGAGTTGACCTTAGCGGCATAGCATATGACATTAAAGAAACAATCAGCTGGTAAACTCCTTAGGAACAGCTGCAGTGCTTTCTTGGCATTTCCCATCTTAGTTCCCTCCATCTTTCCTAAAAATAGTAAATAACAAAGGGTCAGTATACATGATAAGTCACTGATGAATTAATTTTATTGATTTTTCTTTTGGTTGAGTTTTACATCGCACCAACACCGTAAAGGTTGTATTGCGACTTTCCAGCTGAAGTGGTGCAAGAAGACCTTAGGTGCTTCTCCTTGCATAATTTCAGGCACAATTGAGTTCCTGAGTTGAACCACAGTTCCACCAGGTACTGTATAAGTGGATATTTATATGTCACAAAAATTTTGCGAATGTCAAAAAGTGGACTTATTTGCAAAGTATGATTTCTTGAATTTTATACTGTTTTTCTGATATCATTAATAAAGCAGGTTCATGTTAAGAATATGCCGTAATCTTTCTATTCAGGTGTTCAATACTTTATATAGTTGCGTCCCTTGTTATGGCGGCAGGTCAAATTTTTACACATGTAAACTTCAAGTAAAATTTAATAATGGGAGTGGATATTAACATTTGGCGTATGAGAATAGGATGTTTTATAACTCGCACTAAATCTGTGAAGCGTTTTCAAGTGCTAGTTATCACAAAGGGACTGAAAAAGTCATTTTCTGGAATACTTTATTTATGCATGGTGTAGCCATTGTGATTCTATTGAGTGGTGATGTAGAAAGAAACCCTGGACCACCTAAGCTTGATGTGATACGCGGAAAGGGACAACAAAGACATTCAGGGGTTGATGGTTCATGCAGTGGGCATGCTGATGTGCTTACCCCAGGTACCGGGAGTCGTGACGGTGTGGTGAATAGACAGCGGACCATATTCTCGTACACATTTTCAGAGGTGGCATCCCCTAACAATAGACTGGTAAATGACACTAGAAATGCACGAAGTAAGTCTCATACTAGTACTAGTAATACAGACTCTGACAGACTCTGATATGTTTACTTTCCTTAGAAATATGAAAACTGACATTGATAGGCAATATGAACGCTTAGTTACTGAAGCCGGAGATATGAATTCAAAAATTGACTCATTATTCTCGTCAATTAACAAGTTAAAGCAGGATAATGAAAGGCTAAAGCATGACAATGATTTGCTACGAGAAGAAATATCTCAAGTCAAAAATAAACTAGATGTCCTAGAAAACCAATCACGAAGGAACAATTTACACTTTAATGGAATTCTTGGAAATATAAATGAAGCATGGGCAAAATCTGAGGAGAAAGTTTGATCCTTTCTGAAAGAGAAGTTAAATTTACATGAATAAGCCGACACAGTAAAAAATTGATCGTGCGCATCGGATTAAATCAAACAACATAACTAAGTGTACTATACTTGTACAATTCAATAAATACAAGGATTGTGAACAAATATTACAACCTTTAAATGATTTGCTTCAAGAAAATACATCTTATTCAGTTCAACGGGACTTTAGTGATAAGATCCGAATGCATAGAAAATATCTGAGTGAAAGGATGTTGACAGAACGACGAAATGGTAACTATGCTGTAATTCGGTATGACAAACTGATAGTGAATGATTCTGTGTATAATTACGATGACACTACACAGTCTATTGTGTCAATTGGTGCTCGCAGGAGGATTACACGCCCACGTGTTTTACCACGTGGCCAGGCAAACGATGTTTTACACGTAATGCAGCAATTGGATGTACGAAACCATGTGAGTGCTGACGTAGATCCCGATCAACTGCGCTGTGTAAACCGACCAATAGGGAATGATACAGGTTTGACCGATGATGCTTCCGACTCATCTTATATAGAATAGGGATACGGTCAAGGCCAAATAAACAATGATTATTCATGTATAAACATTGTAAGTTGGAATATTGCGGGATTAAGTAAACATGTTGACAATGCTGAACTTATACATTTTTTCTCTTCTTTTGATATTATTCATTTGTGTGAATCATGGGGAAAAAGTGTTGGTGAATTTAGCTCCTTTTTAGAATATTATATTTGTTATAAACATGTTAGAGCACAAGGTTCTTATAGCATACGTAATAACGGTGGTATTGCTTTTTTTTTTTGAAAGCAGTTTATATAAACTGAATATTATTACACGTATTAAGAATACTTTTGAGGATTGTGTTGTATTATATTGTAATTTTTCAAAAGTTTTCAAGTGTAAAAATGTTATTAATGTACTTTGTTTATGTATCACCTGAAGGGTCGTCTATTTACGATTCCAGAGAGGAAAGAAATGGCATTTCTTATTTACAATCAAATTTAGAAGAAATATCTTTAGAATTTCCTAATGATTTAATATTTCTTGCAGGTGATACAAAAGATTATTTAGACTTTATTTCACATGATAACTTAGATTTTGTTTTTGGGGAAGTTGAGTATGAAGGTAGTTATTTTGAACTGCTTCGAAATAGTAAAGACGTTCTACGGTGAAAATAATTTTGGGAAATCACTAGTACAAATGTGCTGTGTTTTAGATGTACATTTCTTAAATGGAAGAATTAATGGGGATCTAGAGGGAAATTTTACGTGCATTTCTAACAACGGAGCGTCCATTGTCGACTATATGATAGCCTCGTCAGAGTTGTTTGAAAATATATGTAACTTCAGTGTACTTGATCGAACTGAATCGGACCATTTTCCATTGCATTGTTGTTTAAAATTATATGGTTTAAATGATAGAAATCGTAATTCAAATGTTGTGAATAATACATTATCGGAACTAAAAATGTACAAATGGGGGGATCACCAATGATGGTGACCATTTTCGTGAGCAAATAAATGCTCTACTTTTAGATAATGACCAACTAATAACAAGTCTTGTAAATGTTGATATTGACCGAGCTATTGAAACTATTCAGTCTTTATATTATAATGCTGGACGTTAAATGTTGGCTTCTAATTCATCAAACACGTTGCAACCACCTTGGTGGGATGAACGTTGTGAAATGCTTAAAAGACAGAAATACTCATTCTTAAGGCGGTTTCGAACATCAAACCTTGCATCTGATTTAAGAATTTATAAAGATAAAAATAATGAATTTAAAAATTATTGTAAGAATAATTTTTATCAGTACCAGTCTCAAAATCGGCAAAAGCTCATTAATAATAGAAACGATCCATGTTTTATGTGGAAACAACTTAAACAAGCAAAACAAAAGCAATTTATAGATTTAAGTATCGGAGCCGATGATTGGTATACATATTTTCGTGGTTTATTGTTTGATAATGATAATACCTTTAGAATATAATAATGATAATGATGACGTCATCATTGATAATATACATGATATATCAAACTTAAAGGAACCATTTATGTTAACGGAGGTTGAGTTAGCTATTCGGAAGTTAGCAAACAGAAAAAGCTGCGGCTTAGATGGAATACCATCTGAATTTATAAGAATAGTTTAAACAGTATTGCACCTTATTTAGTATTAATCTTTAATAAGCCGTTTTGAAAAAAATTCATATTTCAACATCTATAATCATACATAAATAATAATAAATAAATAAATAATAAATAAATAAATAATAGTGTATTATTATAGATGTTGAAATATGAATTTTTTTCAAAACGGCTTATATTAAGTTTTTTTGATATATATGATCAGTACATGTGCTGGGATTGACAAATATGCATTTTATTTGGATTTAAAAGGCGTTTTGAGCTCCAAACCC